CACCATTAACATGACTCTCTTCACCTGTCACGACGCAGGTTCTTTATGATATTTTCCGGTATGATCTACGGTTGTGGAAAGCATATAGCATGACATTACAGGTAAAAAACAAAACAAAGCAATCTCTTGTTTCCATAACAACCAAACCCCAATTCACCACGTGACAGTCTCCTCCTAAAAACTTGGTTCATTGTTTCAGTCTCACTTGGGTTTCGCTCAGTACCATGACTTACTCCAGATCTTAGAGGAGAAGCTCTCAGCGACCGCACGAGAAGAAAGAAGTAGAGGTTCCACCTCTTGATAATTGTTTTCCTTTTTGGAGCTTTTTTTTTTCACTTATAAACATTTTCGGCCTCTCTTCAAGATTTGTCACGTTCGTGTAGATATAAAACATGATCCCAGAAGAAATAAGAAGTACATCTCCTCGCATGGACTTTTACTTCTTTTGGTGACGAGTGAAAACACGAAAAGCCAGAATTCATGTTTTAAGTTAGTTTTTGATCACCACGTTTTGATCTAGTTAATTATCCCATTGTTGCATCCTATAAATCGGAAATCAAAACTCTACATTTTGTGAAATGAGAATTCCATTTGAAAACGGTTGGGCCGTGATAGAAGAGCAAGTTTATAGGGCCCAACATAAAGTCCGTCTTTTTTTTCTTATCTATTCACACAAACTTTTTCTTATCTATTAAAACAACTTCTTTTTATTCAAATCAATAAAGTTTGAATAAAAATATATGAATAGTACTAAATGTATTTTGTTTTTTTTTGCTAAAAATGTACTAAATGTATTTTGTTTTGCCACTATAATTACAAAATATTAGATGAGCGATTTTGTTGTTTTGTTCGAAAAGAAAACAGAATTAAAAACTGGAAAGGAAGATAAGCACCCGTGACGGTGAGTAAGCATGGAGGCGTGAGAAGTGGGTCGGCAGAAGTGGATGAGTGGTGTTGTAAGTGGGACACACCCAAAAGTTCACGAGAACCTACTTACTTTGCTAATCAAAAATCCATCTTAAAATATCAATAACACATATTAGAAAAAACATTATTATCAAGCACAATTTAATATTGTGTTTGTATGCTTCTGTTTTGACTTAACATGGCCTCACACATTCTCAATCCTATGTATATATAGTAATGGAGATGCTTTTGTATGCCCCCAATCTTTGCAAAATCTAAGTGGGATAGATTTCACTTGAGATCATAAAATTTTCTTTTTACTTTTTAGTTGAATTTCCGTTAATAGTAACGAGCGAGTGTACTAAAAGATGGTATAAAGAATCTAGTAGTTAAGCTGAAAGAGACAAAAGTGATGTTTGTACTCTACACTCCCAAGTCACAAGTCACAAAGAGACAATCACCCTTTCTTATGTTATTTTTATTTTTATTATAATGTTTTAAAAAAAAAACAAAAAAAAACTCTTCAAACATTAAAACCCGTGAGTATAAAAACAAAGGAAATAAAGGAATTGATATTGTTCACCTCACATTTTTTCATACTTGAAACAAATATGTTTCTTCTAGACATATGGGATAGTGGGAAGATACGTGCAACACATTTTAAAAAGATAAATATTGTGATTGCGGCAAATGATCGTTTTACCATTTTGTAGTATTCATCATATAATTATTAGAGTGATGACATAGAACACAATGGTTTTTTATACATAATATATTTGCGTAAAGTTTCAATTTGAAGTTTACAGATGACGGTTAAATTGTTAGAACATATCAACGCAATTGCGAATTTATTATTTTGAAACTAAGAAATTCTAGACCTATAACCATTACTTCTTCGGACCAGAGATCTAGACAAGTTAAACTAGTCTCCTCGTTATTGTCACTACTTTGAATTCATTTCTTATGCTTACAATTTTGGCCAGTTGCAACACTGAAGATTTTTGGTATTATTTCAACCATACCAACGATATGCCTTCGTTTGGTAGTATTTTCAGCCTTTTCTGTCGACTCTTATACCAATTGATCTCCCACTCAATTGATATAGTGATAAAATCATTGCTGAAATTATAAGATCAACAAACACTCATGACAAAAAAGTTTGAATCTTTCATCTTGTTTCTCCATTATTTATCCGCTTATAAATACTTATTCACTCCACTCACATCCTCAAAAACCATTTAGCCCCTCCACATCCACCAAAGGCTCACAAGTCACAAGTAACTCTCTCTCCCTCTCTCTCTCTCTCAAACACATACACACACAAACTGTATGAACAAACCCACCACTTTGTTTCAATTAAATGTTCATTATGTCTCAAGAACATAAACCCCATTTTATTTCACCCATAATTTGTTCAGCACCACTAACAAAGCCCATTACTTTAGCTCCCACTCTCAGAAAAAAACCTAAAATTTTCAATAATTACTACCCCCACATGCACCGATATTCTTATGATACAAAAATGAAAAACCTATTTTTTCAATTTACTCCCCTCTTTCGCAAGCTTCAGTAATTATTATGATACAAAATATTATTTTTTTCCTATTTTATTTCTAACTCTCTTTCTTTCTTTCTTCTTTTCAGATACAAAAAAAAGCCATGAAGAACATACTCGCTTCCATTGTTGTTACCATCATAACCCTCTCCATCGTTATAGATAACGCTCAAGGAAAAAGGGTATTACAGTCATTTGAAGCATTCGAGTACACAGCAATCACCTGCAGATCACACAGTGCCTCCATAACAGAGTTCGGTGGCGTCGGAGACGGCAAAACACTAAACACAAAGGCGTTCCAGAGCGCCGTAGATCATCTCAGCCAATACGCATCCGACGGTGGAGCTCAGCTCTTTGTCCCCGCCGGAAAATGGCTCACCGGTAGTTTCAACCTCACAAGCCATTTCACTCTGTTTCTTCACAAAGACGCTATTCTTCTCGCTGCTCAAGATATCAACGAATATCCAATTCTAAAGGCTTTGCCTTCTTACGGCCGAGGACGTGACGCCGCCGGCGGAAGATTCGCTAGTCTCCTCTTCGGAACTAATCTCTCCGACGTAGTTATCACCGGTAAAGTTTTCTTTTTTCTTAAATTGTAGTACATAATTTGAGAGGGAAAAAACTGGAGCCGTTGGATGTTGTTTTACAGGAAACAATGGTACGATCGACGGTCAAGGATCGTTTTGGTGGCAGAAATTCCACGGTGGCAAGCTTAAATACACTCGACCTTACTTGATTGAGTTAATGTTCTCCGATACTATTCAGATTTCTAATCTAACGCTCCTTGATTCTCCATCCTGGAATATCCACCCGGTTTACAGTAGGTACTAAACACTATACCCTGTCTCAAACTCATATCAGTCGTACGATTAGCTATGGATTAAATTATAATCTAACGGTTCTTAATTCTCCTACGTGGCAGCAATATCATCGTGAAAGGTGTGACGATCATCGCTCCGGTGAAATCTCCGAATACCGATGGAATAAATCCAGGTTTGTTCGTCGTCGCCGATCGAATCGCTTCTTGTTGTTCCTTCGATTTGTTCTCACTAATTTCATTTCTGTGGTATCGATGCTCAGATTCGTGCACGAACACGAGGATCGAAGACTGTTACATAATCTCCGGCGACGATTGCATCGCCGTGAAAAGCGGATGGGACGAATACGGGATCGCTTTCGGGATGCCGACGAAGCACCTCTTGATCCGTCGACTGACTTGTATCTCCCCTTACAGCGCGGCGATCGCGCTCGGGAGCGAGATGTCCGGCGGGATCGAAGACGTCAGGGCGGAGGAAATCACCGCATATCAGACGGAATCCGGCGTGCGGATCAAAACCGCCGTGGGGAGAGGAGCTTTCGTAAAGAACATATACGTGAGAGGGATGAGTCTGCACACGATGAAATGGGTTTTCTGGATGACCGGAAATTACAAAGCTCACGCTGATAGTCATTACGATCCTCACGCTTTACCGGAGATAACCGGAATCAATTACAGAGATATCGTGGCGGAGAATGTTTCGATGGCTGGGAGGTTAGAAGGAATCTCTGGAGATCCTTTCACTGGGATCTGTATCTCGAATGCTACGATTTCTATGGCGGCTAAGCATAAGAAGGCGATTTGGATGTGTAGCGATGTGGAAGGAGTTACGAGTGGCGTTGATCCTAAGCCGTGCGATTTGCTCGATGGACAACAATCGGAGAAGAAGAAGAAAACCGACGGCGGATGCGATTTTCCGACTGATGTTTTGGATATCGATAATGTTGAGCTCAAAAGCTGTAGTTACCAAATGAACTAGATAAGAAAGTCGTAATCCTTTTTAACCAGAGTTTGTTTATGATTTTGGTACCTTCGCTGTGATGAAACCAATCCATGAATGTGTGTATCTATGGCAAACGAAGAACAAATCAAACTGATTCACTGAGACTATCAATGGTTACTTGTTCACAAACGATGTAAATTTGAAGTTGTTTGCCCCGTTTACTATTGATGTGGAATTTGGCAATGTAGACATGGACTATGAGTTAAGAGTTTTTTATGCTGAGATTGAATTAGTGTACAAGGTTATGGTAGCAGAAAAAAAATTGGTGCAATGCACAAGATGAAAGAAGGACATGATTATTGGGTTTCAAAGCCACGTGCACTGCATCCTCTAAGCTACCATGAAGAAATGTTGCAAGACTATGATCATATTCACTATCCTGTAATATTCATCTTTAGCCTATATATGATCATATTCACTATCCTGTAATTTTCAGACATGATACGCATTACGAGAAAATCATACTGTGTTCAAAGCAAGGCTCTGAATAATCCGTGTATTACCTTATCAATTGTATTGTATGTTGTTATCTTTTCTGAACGAGCTCATGTCCCAACCTGTTTACACAAGAATCAACCAAAAAAAAGCATATATAAATTTGAATCAGTTACCGAAATAGTAATAAAAATGGACCTGAGATTTTCTTTTATGCTAGGCCCAGCCCAATAAGAAACTCTCTGGCCTTTTATATATATAGAGACGAAGCAGGGAGATTCAGCAACAGATCTAACCCTAGAAAATAGAAATTAACAAAAAGGACTCATCGGCACAAAATTAATGTCTTTTCCTTTGAAAGTATACAAAGGTAAGATCTCTATTCTCTACCTCTTGCTCGAAGTTGTTTGTCGATGATCTGAATTCGATTCTCTGTCATCGTAATCGTCATATTTATTAATTTTGGTCTAATTTCGCAGACGGTAATACATGTGTGTTTTGGGACGTCTCGAACTACCCGATTCCTGATGGTCAGGATCCTGTATTGCTTTCTCGGGATATCAAAGAAGCTCTTGTGAAAGAGGGTTTTAATGGGGAGGTCACAATCAAGGCTTACGTTGATAAGCTCTCAGATGAATTGCAAAGTCAATATTCGGATGCCAATGTCAAAGTCACCATCTTTCCTGAAGGTTAAGTCTTTAAACCTTTGTTTTCTCTTTCTTTTTTTTTTCCTGACTTGTTATACATCTCCGTTGATTTATTTATAATTTCCATTTTTCCAGGTGGTAAATTTGGGAGGATTTCTTTCATGTTAGTGGACGTCCTTATGTGGGCAATGTCAAATCCTGGAGACTCAAATTTGATTGTACTCTCAAAAAACGTCATAGGAGATGCAATTTCTTCTTTTCAAGGCCTGTATGCGAGAAATCGTGGTGTTCTCTTATCCGACACTGATCCAACCTGGAGCCTTCCTTGTGAAACTGCACTCTCGTTTTTGACATGCCTATTTGACAATAGGAGGAAGCGTTAAGAGATTTACTTACTATGATTACTGACTTAGGAAACACGGTTTTTAGGTTTCTGAATGAGGAACGTCACGATGTGTAGATTTCACGTTTCGTAATTTATTTCGTTAAAAGAGTTTTAGTGATCTCATGTTCATCCATCTAATTTACATGTGTTCCCACACGTGCTTATGTAGTGAACGTCACGATGTGTAGGTTTTTTTTTGTTCCAACAATAGCCAATCGGATCACCGAATCTTTTTTACTGTACTCAACCTGATAAAAAGGATCATATGCTGTACAAGAATACCTCTTGATTACAAAGTTCTTAGGAGATTTGAAACGAATCTGATGAGACAAAAGAGTAGAGAGAGAGAGAGACAAAGAGAGCGAATTGGTCCATCATAGAACACAAATGTCCAGTTTGTGATAGAGCTTTCTCATCTGTCCCTAATGTTACTATTCTCTTAACTTTGCAATTTCTAGTAAAAAACATAACGAAGAAGCAAAGTTCCCCAAGCTTTCTACTTTGTGTTCTTTTTTTTTTCTTCTTAAATTTACCTTTTGGTAATCTTAAAGAACCAACAACCTCTATATTTTGGCCACAGACTATGAGAAGCATTGATTAACACCTTCCACCAGCATAATGCAGTAAACTCGTTATGGTTGCATACATGCTTTGATTTCTAACTTGCACGTATGCAATGTAGCTAAGCCATGGAAGCTGTGTAAGTCGATATATTTATCAGATTTCAGACAGAATAAATTAAGCTCCAAATGTTAACTCACACGAATAAACAAATAATGGAATCTATAATAAAGGTTTCATCTTTCGAATTAAAATGCACAAAAAAAGGATCTGTATTCTGTCCTATCTTGTCGATGAAAACAGATTAAAAAGGATTACGTTTTCTTTATTATTTAAAAAAAAAAAAAAAAAAAAAGTCTTTCAAAGAGATTGCACATTGTGCAAGTCTTAGATTAGAAGAAATTGATATACAAAAAGTAACGCTTCGATTAAAAGGAGCAAACTAGCCACGGCCACGCCCACCTCTATTACCACCTCATCTTTACACACCTATTCTTTTGCTTTATAGCCGCGTTTCGACTCCTTTTCCCTTGTCCATTTCAAGCGAAGACACACCGCCAAGAATTCACCATCAAGATCCAACTCATCCTCCAAAGGATCCGACAAACTGGAGACGCTCAACAATTCACCATCCTCCAAAAGATCCGACTCATCCTCCAAAGGATCCGACAACCCGGAGGGTGGGGAGTCAAACAACTTAGAGTAATCGCGGTTGTCTTCAAACTCATAATATGTAACAAAGGACGCACTACTTCGACGATAGTTAGACATGATTTTGGCTTCGTCAACGTCTAAGTTTAGGACGGTTTCAGGCGGTGCAACGGCAACATGACCACCTCTTTCTTCCAAAAGAAGACGAAATTTGGAGAAAAGGGGATGTTTCTGGATGTGTTTGGAGATTATCAGCACATTAACTCCTTCACCTTCGGTGTCTGCCCAGAAAAGGCTGTCCACTAGTATCATGCTAAGCCTCGAAAGTTCATCATCTGCAAATAGTGTTAAGTAATATGATCAGAGAAAACGGAGGAGGAGATCATAATATATACAAGTTTATAAACAAAAAAACATTATAAAGTTTTACAATTTTACCTTCGAGTGTTAAAAAGGGGTAAATTCTGGCTTCCTCAAATGCCATCCACGATTCCTCCGTGAAGTTATTCTCATCAGCACAAACACACTTCATTGTTAACTCCAGCGGAAGATAACCTTCCATGGCAAGATATTCTCTGATTTTCCCTTCAATCGAACTTGGAGGATCAGGAATTTCGAAATCCTCCATGTCCAACATCGCAAGTGTGCTAATCCCTGCACAAAATTACCACCAATAATATCAGAATTAAAAATTTAATCTCACAAGAGATGAAATCTAATAAAATTGTATATACAAGGAAACAAAAAACTTAGAGTCCAGACGATATATAGTAGACAAACAATTCCGAACAAAAGATAGAGATCTTACCGAACGTATCTTCGGAGGAAGCTGGGAATTTTATGCTCATGCTTTCGACGGAGATCATCGCTGCGGATGCTGATGAGAGAGACTTTGTGAATTTAGGGGTTTCATCTGCGTGCGTTTAACTTCTATATATATATATGTGTGTATATCGCTATCTAAAGACCAGAATCTTGTTGGGCTGGATCTAACATATATCAGATAAGGCCCATTTACTTTTTGTAAAACCAAATTTTATAAACCAGTTTAGTACTTAACTCTGAGGTTAAAACCACATCATACAACAAATTGCTTACAAATAGGGTACAGAGTTATGGCCTAGCAAACAAAATTGCTTGAAGATTCATGAAACTGGTAAAACAAAACTTAGAAAGTGAAATTTATATAAGTAGAAGTTTTTCTTTTTTTTATAAATATTGAATCTCTACTCTTTTTGTAAATATCTATAGGGTATAGACAGTCTATTAAGTATAACTCAAACCGTTTTCAAGTTCGGAGCAATGGTGAATGTGGGGACATCAACCTCGGTGACCTAACATGTTCATCGTACATCATCGAAGAGAAACTCAGCTTGAGATTCTTTTGAAAACTCTTTCGTTTCTTCTTCTCCTTTTCCTTGTTACAGCTCTTGTTCTCTCTGTCTCCGAGCACAAAGTCTTTCATTCTCCGTAGTCCAGTGTGGAGTGTGTCTTCGTCCATATTAGCAAAGCAGACTCGGAACCAACCTGGCTCAGAGCAGTGAAACGACGAGCCAGGAGAGACATTGATCTTCACCTTATTGATGATTACTCGCCAAAGAGCCATTTCGGACTCAAAGCTCTGATCTTTAAGCATGTGTCTCAAATCCATCAAGACGAATAGACCAGCGTTGCTTCTCAAGCAAGAAACTCCTATCTTTTTAAGCCCTTCAGTGAACATACGGTGTCTCTGCGCCACTCTCTTTGAAACCTCCTCAAGAAAACTATCGACGAATCTCTGATCAGATAACATAGCTGCTAGAAAGCTCTGCGTCTGTGACGAGATCAACCCGAAACTCGACATCCTCCTCGCGCAAGACACAACAGCATTGTTGTATGAGTAAACCACTCCAACCCGGAAACCGGGAAGACCCATGTCCTTTGAGAGACTGTGAACGATATGGATCAGGTCGCGGTTAACATAATCCATCTCATTGATGATCTCTGCAACACTGATGAATCTTGGTTCTGCAAAAACCGTGGCTGCATAGATTTCGTCGCAGACTAAGTGGATTTGTTTGTCGTTGATGAAGCCGACAAGCGTCTGAAGAGTTTCTCGGTCAAGACTTGTTCCAAGAGGGTTTGATGGGTTTGCGAGGATCACGCCTTTGATCTTGATACCAGTTTCTTGGGCTTTAAGATATGTTGATTCTAGGGCTTGTTTTGTGACCTGGAAATTGTTTGAGCTGTTACACTCCACAGGAATTATTCTAACCCCTGTTCTCCAACTTAAGTCTCTGTCGAATCTGCAATATTTAACCATTAAATTAGTACTGAAGAGTAAGTCAACCAAGTGTTAATTAATTGTTGACTTTTGAGAAGAGTCAATGGACAATTTGATGAGATTTGTGTCCATGGGTTTGCTTAGCAAAATATTGAATCAGTCAAATGACTTATAGTTAACGATGAAAAAATAAAATAAAAAAACCCGTTGACGAAATACGAGTACTATTTTAATCAAAAGAGAACTTTCGTTTTGACCAGACTGAAAGTTATATGTATCAAGAAAAATATATACAATGCCCTTTTCAACAACTTTTAATTTACTACAGTAAAATCACTAATTCATGTTCTTTCTTTGACACCTAATATTAAACTGTATATATGTATATACTTGTTAGACCCTAAAAATAAAATCAAAAAAATTCTAAAATATACGTACGCAGCATAATAAGGAGTAGGGACGAGAAAAGCGTCGCCGGGATCAGCAAGACAGAATATGAGCGTCTCATTTGCCCCCGTGGCTCCGCCGCTCATCACCACTCTCTCCGCCTCAAAACTCACCCTTCCTCCTCTCGCTCTCTCCATAAACGCTGCAATTCCCTTTTTATTTTTTAAGTCACCAAGAAAATATTTACAAACCAAAAATAAACATATTAGTTTTAGCAATTACCCCACACACACCGACACACGTATACATATCTTGATATATGTAAAATGAAGTACAATACAAGATAATGAGTTTAGTTAAAATTAACTATTTTGTTTAATTAACCACTTCCACTATTTCTATAACGAATAATTAATTACAAACATAGTTATAGTAATATAAAATGAATTAAATACCTGTCTAAATTGTTTGAGACCGTGGTAATCTTGGAAAACAGCGATGTCGGAGAAACCGTCAATGCCCTCCGCCGTGCAAATAGATGCTTGTGGATTAGCCTTTATCCATTCTTTGATCAAATCGGAACAAAGCTGAGACAATAACAACAACAAAAACTTATTAAAAGACAAAGAAAGATTATGTTTCTTTTTTTGGGGGGTTTAAGATTTACAAGAAAACTTATTAGCTATGAAGAGGAAGAAGACGAACTTGATTTTCTGCGAGACCCATTTGAATAACGCCTTGTGGGTTATGATCAGGATGAAAAGGGTTATTATCGTAAGCTTTCCAACCGTCGAAGTATGGCGAATCTTCTCCGTGTTTGTCACCGACAGCTAATTCGGACAGCAGATTCTTGTCGGGAGACATTTATCCGATCTAGTAACTTCTTGTGTGTGTGTATGTACACAACAATGTGTGTTGCTGTTTGTGAAGTTGTTGGATTGGTTTGCTTGTGCATATTAATGAAATGGAGGAGTATTTATAATGTGATCTTGAGAGAATATAAGAAATAAACTTGTTTCCATTGTGAGAAAACTTATTTGAAATCTTCTGTCTTCTATAAAAGTATTGTTTTGTGGGGACAATATGTGTTCCCATAAAGTCAAACCTACATCAACATTCTTTATCTATACAAACAAACTGTTTTTTTTTTTTTTTGGTTTTCAACAAAATGTTATTTTAAATGAATTTATTATAAGCAAAATTTATTATAAGCAAAATTTATAATATCATATATTTAGAAACTTAAAATCTAGAATTACAAATTTAAAATTTATATTTGAAATTTTGTTGTTTGATAAATAATTTTTGGAATGGTAATTGATAGAGTAAACAATATAGGAAACTACATCAATCTATAATTATATATTTCATAGTTTGCTATTGAGAGATGAGAATTCACATAGATGTAGATGTGATTGAGGAATCACTTTGTGCAAGAAATAGCATTTGATTTGTAGAATTTTTGACATAACGACCAACCTATACACATGTATGTAGTACATTTTCAAATATTTAAAACTTTAGCCAACGAAAAACTTTTTTTTTGGCTAAACGCCTACGAAAAACACTGTAAAGACAATATATATTTGTAGAGTTGTAGTGTTTATGGTTTTTATAACAAAAACAAAGACTTTATGAAAAAGTTAGATCAATAAAGAATATTTAAGACAATAGAGAAGAAACAAAAGGCGAGCGTGCTTTAAAGATTCAACCGTCTTAGTCCCAAATTGCAAGTTCAAGTCTCACGAACTCAATTATTAGACCCACGTTGTTATATATGGATTCGGGAGAAAGTGTTTAATTTGACTCTATTTGTTTTTGTAACAAGGGTAAGGTTTTAATTTGACTTGGTGTTCTTTACTTTTTTATTTTATTTTGAGGCTCGATCTAACATCCGTATTATTTTAATGATAAATTAGTCTTTTATACACAGTTTCTTGTAAATTTACCTTTGTATAATTTATTGACAAAAGATCGTCATTTTTCTTTTTTCTAGTACCATGATGTATGCGGTTCGCTCGTGTAGGCAGGCGTGTAGCACCCGAATACAATGAGAATATTCAACAAACAGTTTTCTTACTAATATTTCTTTCTTTTTGCAGTCCCACCATTGGGTACTTTTTTTTTTTTTTTGGTAAAAACCATTGAGTACTATATATATTGAAAAACCAAAGCAATACGATTTACCACAGATTACCTACACTGCTACACATATGACGTTTGAAAAGGAAGAATATTATTTGACGTCGAAATCTAGAATACTACGGTTTTACAGTCGTATTCCAAAAGCGTTAATTAACTATTTTTTCAGATTAACAAACCATGTTATACTTTGGTCAAATCATATCATTAAGCTTTAAATTATTACTTGTCGACCCCAACGTGACCGTAGTCCAATCACGTGCAATCAAAATTTCAAATTATTTTCCTCTGTATAATATCAGTTTTATTAAGAGGAATAAAATGATGTAAAAGGTACTTCTGTGTAATGGGTTGGTCGTTGGGGTTTTGCTCTGGAAGTTCTTCAAGGTCATTCGTTCTGTTGATATACAGTAACAAAAAGATAACATGTGAAAACAAATTTCATAAATATTGGCACGTGGCAGCAGCCCACTAAGGAATTGGAGGACTAGGAAGATCTTTTTGGACGGCTTTTTAGATTAATGACATTTAAAGTAAAGCTTCTATCTAGATTAATCTTTGCCTTAAATTGAATTGGTCGGAGATCAAAAAGTCTAAAACTAGATGGACACGTTGTATTTTAAGTCGAGTGAATATAAATGAATAGTAAATCGTTTTCCTAGAGTGTATTTATAGAGTAAAAGAATACGTACACGCACGAGTAATAAAATGCCATTTGTCTACTTTCGAACTGTAGTGTGGTATAGCTGTCGCCTACAAAATATTTCTAGTGAAATTAAACATGAATGTATTTGATGTTACACCAACTCTCTATCGATTTTGTTCCAAAAAATATTTTTTTCATCTTTAATTTTTGTTTTAATTTCTATCTTTAATTTTCTTGAGAAGTTCTAATAATTTCTTCCTTCGTAAATGTATGTAATGCCTTTAGTATACAAAAAACTTATGTGAACAATTACACATTACCAACGATCGGACTTCTCGAAATCTAAGTGGTTCAACTTCCAGGTTGATATTTCATACTCAGATTGAATACGTATTTGAGTACGGTATATAAGTCTTAGACAAAAGAATTACACATTACAAAATCGTTTTGTTTCTTTGCGTAATGAGTTATGCATGGACATTATGATGATTTTGTATATGAGTTTTGCATTTGCATTATGATCGTTTATTTGTCATGTATTGGTGCATGGTGACATAAAATCAATTTTTGTTTGACGCAGAGTATCCAAAATCCATTTGTTCTCTAAAGGTGCTTGGGATAGATTCATTTATCTAAAAGAAATTATTCTAAATTAATTATGTCTAAACTCTAAAGGTTACATTCATTAATTTTCCAACTTTCTATGAATGATAAGAACAAACTAATGTAGCTAGGTGGATAGTGTTTTCATATTAATGTAAGCTTACCCCATTTGTTTACGTACGGCAATAGTTAACTTTATATTTTAGCTTGCGTAATCGCTAACATACCTAAAAAAAAAAACAATGTAGATGTCAAAAAAGCTAATAATCGAATCAATCTTTGTTCTCTTCGTTCTCTTTTTTCATATCTTACACAAGATGGACTTTTAAAAAAAAAAAGATGGAAAATTTATTAAACATGGAAAGTTTTACTTTTTTTAAAAAGATGACCCACATGAAATTGAATTGCCATGTAGTCCTAGGAAAATACAAGTATCTTATACTTATGAATTTGACATTGTTGGAACTTGGAAGAATAAAGTTCATCATTTTCGTTGGTTTAAGAATATTAATTAATAGTTCCTCAAAACATAATAAATATTGATAAGTAGGAAGTAGGCAAGTAGCAGTGATCAACTAGAGCCATGATGGTGCAATAGAACGAAATTATAGATTAATTAAAGTTTAGTGCCAAGATCGTACGGTCGTGAGCCTACTAGGCTCTTAGAGGGGAGTTATAATGATTAGTCAACAAATTTATCAAAGGGATCTTTTATAAATAAATAGCTATTTACTAAGATTAAAAACATTTCTAGTCAACTCGTTAACATATGACCGGTTTTGACTTCCTCGTATTAGTCATCTGAAAAATAAAACATAAGTCAAAAATGTCATGGTTAATTGATGGGCTTGAGTTGTAAAAAAAATTGATGGGCTTGAGTTAAATATGGGTCACGTTTCTCTTTAAACGGAGTAGAAAATCAAAAATGTCAGAGACTCACGCGCTGATGACTCCAATTCCTAGGACAGTGATTTCAAAGTTGAGTGCTTTCGTACTCTCTCTATCTACTCCTCGATCAAAATCGTTTGGTTCACTTCCCGGTGTAATCAAATTCTATCGTTGCCGGATATCTCATCGAGGAATCACATCTATGGCTGGATCAGGATCGGCCTCCTTCGACATGACTGGCGACTCGAGGTCGGAGCATGTGACAGGGAATTGGTTTTCGGTGCCGGAGCTCCGATTGCGTAACCATCGATTCATAGTCCCTCTTGATTATTCCCTCAATTCCAAAACTTGCCCCAAAATCACCGTTTTCGCTCGAGAAATCGTTGCGGGTAATTTGCAAATCGAGGCTTTTCGATGGCGAAATCCTTCTATGATGCTATTATCAAGCTGTTATCGAGATACCAATCTCATGATTTTTTAAATCTTTTGCAGTCGGGAAAGAGGAGCAAGCAATGCCGTATCTATTGTATCTTCAGGGTGGTCCAGGATTTGAAGGTCCACGACCTAGTGAAGCTAGTGGGTGGATACAAAGAGCTTGTGAAGAATTTCGCGTTATCTTACTCGATCAAGTATGATACTTTTATACAGTTTATGCTCTTCTCTTCTTGACACCTTTCTTATTCTTTGGCTCTAATTGTGCTGGTCCTGCAGAGAGGAACAGGCTTGTCAACTCCTTTATCATCTTCCTCTATGCTTCAATTCAAGTCAGCAAAGGATTTAGCTGATTATTTGGTTCATTTTCGAGCGGATAATATTGTGAAAGATGCTGAGTTTATTAGAGTTCGTCTTGTTCCCAATGCTGATCCTTGGACAATTTTGGGTCAGGTAATCTGTCTCTGTGTTGTCTATTAGTCACTCTGCTTCAGTTCTTGTCATTTGATTTTGTTTTCGATTGGTTTCTCTGCAGAGTTTTGGTGGCTTCTGTGCTGTTACATATTTGAGCTTTGCGCCTAAAGGACTAAAACAAGTGCTAATAACTGGAGGAATCCCACCAATTGGCAAAGCATGCACAGCAGATGATGTCTACGAAGCCGGTTTTGAACAAGTTATTCGTCAAAACGAAAAATACTACAAGAGATTCCCTGAAGACGTTGAGATTGTTCGTGAAATCGTAAACTACTTGGCTGAATCTGAAGGCGGTGGGGTGAGGGATTTACAACATTTGCCAGATCCACTGATCATTTTTAGTTTAGTTACTTAGTTTAGTTTCTGTTTCTTTGTGTTTAGGTACCTCTTCCTTCAGGAGGCATCCTCACTCCTAAGGGTCTTCAAACTCTTGGTCTTTCTGGTTTAGGATCGAGTACTGGTTTTGAGCGTCTGCATTACATGTAAGAGTTTAGCTTTGTTCATTTCTAATCAATCAGCGCACATCTTATATAAATTTAACGTTGACTTCTTAATTGATCATAGGTTGGAGAGAGTGTGGGATCCAGTTTTAGTAACTGGAGCACCAAAGCGTATTAGTCAGTTCTTCTTAAACGCTGTAAGAGAGCCACACAATTTGTTTGCTCCCAAGTATCTGTTCTAAGTTGGAGTCGATAGTCTGAGGTGTTTCATATTTATCTGCAGTTTGAGAATTGGCATTCTTTTGATACAAACCCACTCTATGCTCTTCTCCACGAGTCCATATACTGTGAGGTATTAAAAATCCCATTTTCTTCTTCGCACAATTGCTTCTACCAGTTGTTATCCTTTATTCTTAGAGTACAAAACATGTCAGGGTGCTTCATCAAGATGGTCTGCGCATAGAGTAAGGGAAAAAGCTGAGTGCAGATTCGATGCAATGAAGGCAGTCAAAGGTGGTCAAAATGTACTCTTCACGGGAGAGGTACGTGCTTGGAGTATATCTCATTGTATGCTAATTGTTAGGCTCACATTGTGGTTAACTAAAATAGAATTTTTGGATTGATGTTCAGATGATATTTCCATGGATGTTCGATGAGATTCATGCCTTGAAGCCATTCAAAGCTGCCGCAGATATCTTGGCCAATAAAGAGGATTGGCAGCCATTATATAATGTTGCTGCTTTAAGCACTAACAAGGTCTGTTTCAGAATCTTCATCATCCATTTCTTATGGATCAAACATGTTACTCTTGTTTTCACATGAGTTCCTTTTGGTAGGTGCCTGTTGCTGCTGCCGTATACTACGAAGACATGTATGTAAATTTGAAGCTGGTGATGGAAACAGCTCCTCAGATTTCGGGTATTAGGCTCTGGGTAACGAATGAATATATGCATTCGGGTCTTCGTGATGCTGGAAGACAAGTTCTTGATCATTTGTTGGGAATGATCAATGGGAAAAAGCCTCTCTTTTGATTCCTTATAGTAGTCAACGCTTTGTACTAGTGTTTTTCTTATTTATACTCTCTTTGAGAATTGAGTAAAAATTAAAGATAATGAATAAGAGAATCTTTGAATTTTGGAATGAATAAGAATTGAATCTTGGTCTCACTTTCCAGCTCCTGTTCATGTTCATGTTGTAGCTTTTCAGTTGTCAGAAACCAACGGGGAAGATAATGTAAATTTAGATATTAAATGTCAATGTCATATCAGGTCAACGATCCGTTGTAGTCTAGCTGGTCAGGATTCTCGGCTCTCACCCGAGAGACCCGGGTTCGAGTCCCGGCAACGGAGATTACTTTTTAAATTTTAATTTTCTTTCTTTAAAATTGAATTTAGACGTAAGATAACCGCTTTTTTTTTGTCTGGTCAAGAAAAACTGAATTTTAGCAACGATTTAGATCCCGAAAGTAGATACAAGAACAACCTATTACCTTTGGTTAAGACAGATGTTGACTTCTTTTACATACAACTATAAGACTAAGAATTTGGAATTTCTCATCGTTTTTGATATATACTCTTATACTGTATTTTCAACAAGTAAAATATTTATGGTAAAATATCGATACAGTTATAACTCTTCTTGATTGATGAAACGAAATAACTGACGTTTTTTTATATAAAAAAATAAATATATATCACATATGTCAATGTCATGAGGCTCATTCAAAACCAAAAAAAAAACAAGAAAACAAGAAAACAAAAATTGACGATCCTTGGGCTACTTAAGTGAAGCCACTATTCACTAAACCTATAGCAAGAACCTTAATAAATGCAAAGCTTTTAATATTTGCCAAACTTTGTATTCAATGCAGCAGCTACATTTTCCCACCCACCTGCCAAAAAAGAAAATAATAATAATAATAATAATCTCCATCACTCTTTTTTTTCCATCTTTCTCTGGCCAATCCACACATGGCCCTAACCCCTCTGATCTTCACCATCAAATGTCAACCGCCGCCGCCCTTGCCGTCTTTCCTCCGCCGCCTCCCGTCCCTATCCCCACTTATATCACCAGCCTCGGTCTTGGCTACTCCATAGCCATAGCTCTTGGTTTCCTCGTTCTCATCTCCACCATCATCCTCTCTTCTTACATCTGTTGCCGCGCCTCCCGCCTCCGCTTCTCCGCCGAAACGGAAAACGCAAACGCTTCTTTCGGCAACCGTAGCATAATTGTCCCACGGATCATATTCGTAGCTGAAGACGACGATCTCGAGTCAGCTGTTTCCGGAGGCGTTGTCGTTGGTGGACTTGATCAACCAATCATCAACTCTTACCCAAAATTCCGTTTCACTAAAGACATCTCCCTCGCCGCCGGAGATGGATTTCAAGGCGTAGACGGCGAAGGAGGAGATACGACGTGTTCGATCTGTTTGTGTGAGTACATGGAAGAAGAGATGCTTAGGATGATGCCCGAGTGTAAACACTACTTTCATGTTTTTTGTCTTGACGCGTGGCTTAAGCTCAATGGATCTTGTCCCGTTTGTCGGAATTCTCCACTTCCGACACCGCAATCTACGCCGCAGTCGACTCCGTTGTCTGAAGTTGTGCCGTTATCGCAATACGCCGCCGATCGGAGGAGAACCAGAAGATAATATTTGTCTTTGTTTATTCCATATATTGAATTCATTAAAATATCTTCTTCTTCTTCGTTTTTTGGTAAATGATTTCACTATAACTGAATTTATAATGATTGATTGATTTGCTTTACATATTCTTTTTCGCGTATCAAGCTGAATATATATAAAAAGAAAAAAATCACTGCTGCATCAATTAGTAAATCAATCATAGTTAGCCATACGAAAGTATGAACTATAAAGTCAAATATATGTATATAATTCAACTATATGTTATATTAATTGTCGGAGATGAGTGTCTCTAAAGATGGGAACAAAATAGTTGGAACTTGAGATTTGAACAAAAGTGTCCCTAAATATTTACGGCGTTGACTTAAATGTTTTATAAGCAATTTGATCCCCTTTTTTTTGGGATTTATAGTTTTATATAGTTCATGTAGTAGTGCGAAAGCAGTCAAAGAATGTAAAAAAGAACACTCAAATGGGGTCCAACTATACTAGTCGGCTTAAAATTGCGTCATCGAAAAATGAAAGTCTCCACCTCATTCAGAGACTTTACCTCTCGCTCCCGAATAGTTAGCACGACGACGTTTTGCGATCGCATTTTTGAAAACGAGTGAGCCGTTGATATTCTGCATCAATGATCCGATTATCGACACGTGTAGGCTTGTCGGTTTACTTTATGGAAATTGAAAGGTTAAAAGACGACTTACACACCGCACAAAGCCACTAGCATTGGTTGCCTCCACGTTCGAGGCACTAAACGGTAACGTCCGTCTTTTCCTTCTTTTTTTTTCCCTTTTCTTTCTTAATTCTTCAAAGATTAACGCCGTTAACGTATCCTTGGGCTCGTACATACATATGTTGTAGGCCTCAGAAGTCCTCCTATTTCACCGCTCGTTCTCTCGCTCCATTTTCTTTACCTTTCTCTTGACGTTGGATCGAAATCGGAGAAAGTAAACCAACGAAAATGGCGGATGTGTTGGAGAAATCTGTGCCGACGGAAGAATCTCTGATTGAGAAGATTGCCGAGAAGATCCACGATCACGATTCTTCGTCGTCGTCTGAGTCCGAGCACGAGAAACCGGACTCTCCCTCGGCTTTGAAGGCGAAGATTTATCGTTTGTTCGGGAGAGAAAAACCTGTTCACAAGGTTCTCGGTGGTGGATTGCGTACGTTTTCTTTTAATATCCGTCTTTCTGTTTCGTATTTTCTCTCCTCTGTTTTAATGCTTGATCTGCAATAGAAGGATCTCGTATCTGTCGACGCAAACTGCGATTTATTCACCCTCAATTTTCTTGAAAATAAGCTATTTTGTGAATGTGGGATGTAACCTGTTTATGTGATTTTCCTCTTCACGATTCGATCTTGGTAGAAAAAGAAGCACAAAGTAATTTGGGGTCCGAAGTTTTTATCGTGTGAATGATAGATAGGGAAGGTGTTGGAATTGAGAGAGTTTGGACTTTGCATCTTAACAATGTAATCCTTTTGCTTAGGTTTTTATCCATTTGGAATTGGCTCAAATGTGCTGTAATGCAGTGAAATCATCTTCCAAATTTGCAAGTTTTCATTTTCACAAGTTTTCACTTTTATTTCTCTGCGCAGCTGCTGATGTGTTCTTGTGGAGGGACAAAAAACTCTCAGCCGCTGTTCTTGGCGTAGCGACTGCCATATGGGTTCTGTTTGAACTGGTTGAATATCATTTTTTGAGCCTTGTGTGTCACATTTTGATATTCGCTCTCGCAGTCCTGTTTTTACTATCCAATGCTCATGCCTTTATGAAGAAGTAAGCTTTTGTTGCCTTAATCATGTTACAAGAAACAGCCTATATGTTTCATTTCTTTCTTTGCTTAAAGGGTTCCAAAACTCTCTATTTTCAGGAGTCCACCTAAAATTCCTGAAATCCATATTAAGGAGGAACATTTCCTTTTGATTGCTTCTGCACTGAGAAACGAGCTGAACCAGGCCTTTGTTATTCTAAGGAGCATTGCGTTAGGAAGGGACTTGAAGAAATTTCTGATGGTAAGTTTACGTTCGGTTTGTTGATGTAGATATCTGCAGTTAAGACATTGTTTAAGTATGTGTGCCTAAGTTTTAGAACGTGTGCAATCTACATAGACATGTCCTCGTTTTCCATCAGTTGTATTGTGAAGAAGTCGTTTTCATCTGGTTGTTTTGCATTGTGTGTTAATCTCAGGTGGTTTTTGGACTGTGGATAATCTCGGTTGTGGGAAACTGGTTCAACTTCTTGACTCTTGTATACATCTGTAAGTATTTGTACCCATAAAAAAACTTTGAAGTTGCATAAAGTTTACGCCTTTTGGGTTTTTGAATCTGAATGTTTTGTGTCTTGAAAAAAAAAACAGGTTTTGTGGTGTTGCATACAGTACCAATGCTGTATGAGAAACATGAGGACAAGGTAGATCCGGTGGCAGAGAAGACGTTGAAGGAGCTGAAGAAGCATTACATGGTGTTTGATGAGAAGGTTCTTTCTAAGATTCCAGTTGCTTCCCTCAAGGCAAAGTTGGGTTAGAGACTTTACAGTCAAGTAACCTCTCCCTCTTTATTCTTTCCCTCCCCTTGACGTTTTTTGCTTTGTCTTGGGGGAATTCTATTTTGTATTCGAGACCCGTAAAGAAATTGTTACACACTGCTATTACTTATCTTCATTTCTTTTATCCTTGGGAAATGATTCTCTCTTTTTTTGGGCTAGTTGATCAAATTCAGAAAGAGAAAAGCATTTAATCTTTAATCTTTGGGAAACCCCTCAAAGTAGAGCTTAATTAATCATCGAACACAAAAAATACAAATAAATAATTTTTCTTTAGTTTCCACTCAATTTCCAACCCAAATTTTTTTTTAAAGTACCGTACATCAGCAAAAGAGAAAACAGCTCTAATAACTTTTCCTTTCTAAAAGAACAATTGCAATAAAAGAAAAAAGGAACACGTATGAGATCATCATAATTACAAAGTTTACAAATGTCTATTATAATGTATGTATGTATCTCTAGTTACCTTCTTAAGGAAGCAATCTCGAAAGCCGTTGATTACTCTCCGATGATCTGAGAGGCACCGTCGAGAATTCCGAATCAGACAAAGCCGCGTCTTGTCTTGTCTTCTCCGATTCTTGCCTAGCTTTGGTTGCTGCTGCCTCTTCTGCTTCTCTTCTTTCTCGCTCTTCCGCGTCTTTCAGTAAGAAATCAACCCACAGATCCGCAAAAGACTGTAACAAAAAAAAAAAAATCCCAAAAATAAAATAAAAAGAGGAACACAACAAGATCTCTCAGTGAAACTTGGCTCTGTGTAATGATTCTGTGACGGCGTTTCTTAGCCGTTGGATAAGTGCTTCATTGTGTAACGAAGGTTTTTTTTACCTGGTTATCAGAAGCTGCATTAGCATGTGAATCTGCAGATTTCCCACCCAAGATTCCCCCAACAAAGCGACCGGGAAAGCCCAATACGCCTCTTACAACACCTTTACCTCCTCCTTGTTGTGCCACTCCAATCCGCTCTTTATCTTCCTCTGAGAATCCCAGCATCCGAACCATGAGGTCCAACACCTAGGCAAAATCAACGAAACAACTGAGCAAATATGAATGTCTGAAAAACCGGAATTTGGAATTTTAAATCCAATGTTTACCTCTTTGCTATGATTCTTCTGGAAGTACGTTATCAGCAATTTGATAACGATACGCCTGCAAAAAGAATTTGAGTTTCATCACTGCATCTGAACATCTATTTCTGACAGCAGAATCGAAAGATCTATATATGATGTGATCATTGCTGTACCTATCAACTAGGTAATCCGACTCCATTGACATTCTATTTAGCCTCGTCATGCTCTGTTCAAGAACGCGGCGTACTTTTGAATTATCTTCTTCAACCTTGCTCACTCTGTTTTTCCATTCAGCTGCAACCTTTTCGACGTGCAACAGCTTGGATGTGACGTCTTCCTTTTCTTTCTTCGATGACTCTAACCGCTCATCAGCATCCTTAAGCAACAGCAGAATACCATCAGACCTAAATCAATATGCTAGGTCATAGCTGACAAAGGAAAATGACAGTTATTCCTACTTTCAAACGACCATAAAGCTTCATCAACTCGTCTTTAGCCACCGCAAGTTCTTGTGCAAAATGCTCCTGCAAAATGAACAAGACCACGTCAATAAAGTATGTAAGAGAAAAAGTCCATAAAATTTCAATTTTTTTAATACAAACCTTAGCTTCGATTTCCGCATAGTACTGGCCAAGAGCAGTTTGAAGATTTAAAAGTTCCACATTCTTGGACTCAATCGTTCTCAAACAATTTGTAAGCTTTTGATTTAAGTCATCGACTGTTTCCTTTAACTTCCGGATTTGATTATCATTGCTCAGCCTGTTATCCTCCTGATTAGCCATTGCCTGCTTAAGTGTTTTCTCCAACTGTGATATCTGAGACCTTTGATATTCATTAGTTTGGCGGAGTTCTTCAATCAACCGGCTATCTTCATCCATTTTCTCAGACTCCTCGGTTTCCTGAATTATGGTAAAGATAGCATAAATCCATTATCCTCTCAGAAAAATATTGTTTAGAAGGAATTTGTAATAAATCTTAAGAGGATTGCTAGAAAACGGAGATAATTTGTAAAATTTTGATCCACAAGCTAATAATATGTATTGACAGATGGAGTTTAGTAGCAAATTTAGCTAACCTTTTCTAACAAGTGTTGTTTAAGCCGTTTTAGTTCTTGCCGTGCCTTATCCCTATCCCGTCGTGTTTCCTTTAAATCTGTTTCCAACCTCTGCAAAGATTGCTCCATTTCTTCTTTATGAGGAAAGCTTTCATGTTTCTCCTAGTTAAATATGGAAAAAGCATAAGAAGAAATTATAAATACAACTACAAATATCATGATAGAAAGGAAAAAATTTGTATTAAAATAAGTCTTTTCTGGTTTAAGAACCTTGTCCAAACTACTAAGATGTCTAGTCAGAGCCCCTGTGGCGTCTGGGAAGACTTTGCTACTGGTTGGCATCTTGCTTTCTTCCATATCAGCTGCTAGCGCACTTCGTTTCAACTACGTAACGAGAGAACAGCAGATCAGATTCGGTTTCAGTGTCCAAAAGGCAAAATAGACATACACACATCTAGAGAATGACAGTGAGGCAGAATGACACACACCTTAAGCTCGCTGTTTTCCTTCTCCAAAGCTTTGTTAACTTCTTTTAGATGTTCCATGGCAGTTCCAAAAGCGTGGCTCTCCTGGCCATTCAACTTTATCTGTAAATGTTTTATTTCTTGTAATTTTGCATCCATTTCACTACGAACTTTGCTAATCTCCAAGGAGGTCTGCAGACAGATGGAATATAGAAAATAACAACTTTACAACTTAAAGATGATGATTGCTATCTGAGTCCATAAAATGTAAGTATTTTCAAACGCAAAGACTTACTTTTTTCTTATCTAACCTCAGAGACTCGATTTCCTCCTTGAAAGATTCACTCCGTTTCCGCTCCTCTGATGTGATTAAGGTAAGTGAGAATACTCTAGTGGAGATACAAAAGAAGCACCAAGATACTAGTGACATTATATACCCTGTAGAGAAAGCTGCAGATCTCTTATTTTTTCACGCTCTTTGGCAAGCTCTTTCGCTTGAACAGCTGCCAGTGACTTGGTTCTACTTTCTAGCATATCTGCAAGCTCCTAAAATAGCATCCAGATTACCGCTTAGAATTTGATATAACAAGAGACAACAATGCACAAAAAAATCTGGAACGTTAATTCAAAACCACAGCATTTATCTTTAACTAATGGTAAATTAAAGTTGCGGTTACCGTTTCCGTTATCTGTAAATCGGCATCCTTCCCTTTTCCATTGGACAAATGGCTTCGACTTTTTAAATTTGATATAGATTTTTGAAGCCGGTTGGGTGACTGATCGTTTTTTCCCTGTAGAATATTAGTAGATTACAAATCAATCTAATAGTTTAAGAGTTAAGACCTTCAAGCATGATCGCATACTTCAACAAAATCAGCAAAATAAAGATTCTACATGCTTATCAAGATAATGATGTTGGTAAAAATTCTAAATAAAAGACCAATGTCCAGCTTCCTGAAAACTTGATTAATATTTGACCTAAAGATAGCTTAGTTTCCAACTAAATCCCAGTAACATGCTGAGCAGTGAGCACATAACCACTCATATCAATAAGGCATTCCATTTTACACAGTAGAGCTCTTAAGTAGACGAATTCTCTATACATAATATGTATTGCAGCTTAACTGCATGCATCACAAAGAGATGAAACAAACAAACATATACTGTGTCTACCTTGATAGCATTATTGTTTGATTCCCTGGAAATGTCGGTTCTAGCTTCTTTCAGAGCGGCACTAGTTGAGGTCAGCGTTTGTTTCAGTGAGCCATTCTCCTGGTTCAATCTAGAAATCTGATCCTGAAATCCATTGGATTTTTGGTGTAAGGAGAGAGAGAGAGAGAGATGAAGAACTCAGGGAGTAGTACGATTCTACGACAATCTAACCTCTTTTTCTCTTAATAGAGCCGCGTAATTCACTGATAAAGCTTTGATATCTGCTTCAGAATCCTGAAGCTTTTTAATCTCTACCTTATACCGTTCAATCTGAAATACAAAAATTGAATCATAAAAGAGGGAACCTGTCCTTACATAAACTACATTTCGCATGTACTCACAGAAAACGGAATCCGATTTCGAGTAACATTCCAGTAAAATTGGGATGCTTAATCGATAAATCGAGCAGGAAATGTATCTAATTATGACTAATACCTCATGATTAACAGGTGATTCGATTCCATTGGAGATTGGATACCTCGAAACGGACCTGGAAGACCTAAAACCACTGGAATTTCTCCGATCAGAGTCCGATACATCACCGATGCCATTAGAGGAACCGTATCTGTGGAGATCGTCTTCTTCTTCGTCGTCTTCATGCACATCAAGCGCGATCTTGTTCAAGTTCTCCTTTAAATTCTCAATCGAACTCCACATAGCTCTTTCTCTCTCTGTCTCTCTATCTCCACACCTACTAAAGCCTCAAATCCTACAGAGACAGAGATTTCTCCTTTGTCAAAGAGACATGGATCTTCGTTTGAAAGAGTGAAAGATCGAATTTGAAGGTGTCTTCTGGCGCAGATAGATCAGAAAACAAAATCGATAAATTTTTCTTTTCCCGGTCAGATAAAAACGTAGAAGAGATGGAATTAAAATAAATAATTTTCCCATTATTAATTTATTATATTGGCGCATTAATTAACTCGTCGTTACGTAACAAATCACTCGTAGCAAGTTAGAAGTATTGGGCTTCAATAACAAAAGCCCAATGGATAAATATGAGTCGTCCAAATCCAACGATCGAGAAACCGTCGTTACAAAACAAATATAAAATCATTGAGAACGGAACCGTTCCAAATTTTGGACCTTTCAAATTTCCAATTTCTCCGTCAATATAATGGGTCTTCGCATAACATGAAAAGCTACAGTTTTATGGCCTTTCGGTTTGGAGGGATAACGACTTAACGTCCCATAACATTCGAGAGCCACATGTATATAACTATGGTAGTAAAATTGTTTTTGAAACGAATTTTTCTTTTAAATTAAATCCTATGTGGGGTGGTATGTATTCAGAAATTAAGTAATTAAGTAATTAGAAATTAAGTAATCAAAATCTAATATGTATCAACGGTGAGGTACATTAACATTGCCGTAATATTCGACAACAACCTATCTTCTTGCTTTTAAAATTTTTTTTGTAGTGAACCGTACGTGAATGCGCCGCATTGGTATAATTATAGCTACGTTGCCTAAATCTTATTGGAGCCCTGTTAGTTCTTGTGTTAATTGTATAAGCGAATCAAAGAGAAGCTTAGATCAAGATCATTTTCGGTCCTTTATGTAGGGTCCATGAGTCTAATTTCCCTTTATTTAACACAAATAAAATTAAAATACTTATCCAAAAAATTGGTATTCAAAATATCTTTTCGATATATATTTAAACGACCTAATTTAAAGGGTGTAACCAATTTCAAACTTGATAGCGTCGAATAATATATATTTATATTGGTTTTAGTAAAACCAAAAGTGACATAAGAATACTCTGTATATTAAAGTGAATAATCATCCATCTTCCCACAGTTTTCAGTCTTCTTTATATTCCTTAACAAAAATAAAGTCTCTATTTAATTTCCTAGTTGAGGAATTTCCCTCCCATTTGCTATTTGATATGTATAATTCTATATATCTGACTTTTTTTGTCCTTCATTGAATAAAAGATGGCACAATTGGAAACAAAATAATAATTGTGTTAGTTGAGCTAAAATACAATATATTTTAGATCTCAATGAGGAAAAATATCTTGACGAGTTAATGATAAAACAGAAAAAGATCTCGAAGAGAACAGCTGTGTGTCTTTGAGACCAAGTCTTGGAGTAGTTAGACAACAGGATCGGTGCAAGTGCAATAAGAAAACCTTTTTTTAAAAAAGCATAAAAGGAATATACCAAAATCATGAATATCTTGACATATACTGAAAAAGTAAGTAATAAATAATATATTTCAGTGATTTTATAGTAAACTAAACTTTTTGTATTAATAAAGATTTATTCACAATTGACTACAACTAAAAACTAAACTGTTTTTATTAATAATGGTAAAAACTATGCTGTCAATAAATCTTTATTGACTACATTCACAATTGCACGATACTCTTTTAATATCACAAAGATTTATCTCCTTTCCGTTTTGGGTTTTTTTGTGAGACTTTTATTATGTTGACATTACCTATATTACCGGAACGGACAAAATAAAACGAGAATTAGGAGAAAAAGAATTGACGTGCACCAACCAATGACAGACATTTTCGAAAAAATATCTAAGTTAACACGTGGTCTGTCTTACATTTCATGACTCTACGAGGGACACCACTAAGTTATACTAGTATATAAGTCACCATAATAACAACCAATCCATTTATTTAATTTTCCAATAATGGTCCCTCTTACCAATTTTAATGGCACCAAAATTACCATTAACCGATTCAAAATGATTCGCACGTGGGAACGACTGACGTCGGCACGCTTGGCCACGTAATTTCGGTCCCGAGAAATTGGTTTTTAATATATTAATTTGAAAAACAGTAAGTAAAAAACAAACCCAAATATAAGGAGGATAAAGGAGTCGAAGAGATAGACATTTAGAGAGGGAGAGAAGAGGATTCGAGGAAGTGAATCCGATCCTGAGAGAGAATCTGCAGAGAAGAGGTTGGTGTTTCTCTATTCCAGGTTTTCTGTTGTTATCGTGAATCGAAGAAAGACTCGGCTTCTCTCTCGATCTCTATCTCTCTGTGTTCGTATCTCCGAGCTTCTGGTTCGTCATCAATGGCGGACGAAACGGAGAAAAAGTACATTACGAACGAGGATCTAAGAAAACACAATAAATCTGGAGATCTATGGATCGCGATTCAAGGCAAGGTCTACGACGTCTCCGATTGGATTAAATCTCATCCCGGCGGCGATACGGTGATTCTGAATCTCGTTGGTCAAGATGTCACCGATGCCTTCATCGCATTCCATCCCGGAACCGCCTGGAACCACCTGGGAAATCTCTTCACCGGTTACCACATCAGAGATTTCGAAGTCTCCGAGGTCTCACGCGATTACCGCCGCATGGCCGCCGAGTTTCGCAAACTAGGCCTCTTCGAAAACAAAGGCCACGTCACTCTCTACACCTTAGCCTTCGTCGCCGCCATGTTCGCCGGCGTTCTCTACGGCGTTTTGGCCTGTACCTCCGTCTTCGCTCACCAAATCGCCGCCGCGCTCCTCGGTCTCCTCTGGATCCAGAGCGCTTACATAGGTCACGACTCGGGCCATTACGTCATCATGTCGAACAAATCGTACAACAGATTCGCTCAGCTTCTCTCCGGTAACTGTCTCACCGGAATCTCGATCGCGTGGTGGAAATGGACTCACAATGCTCATCATCTCGCTTGTAACAGCCTCGATTACGATCCAGATCTACAACACATCCCAGTTTTCGCCGTCTCCACCAAATTCTTCAACTCAATCACCTCACGCTTCTACGATCGGAAACTCACATTCGATCCACTCGCGAGATTCCTAGTCAGCTACCAACACTTTACTTACTACCCAGTCATGTGCTTCGGAAGAATCAATCTCTTCGTCCAAACATTCCTCTTGCTCTTCTCCAAACGCCATGTCCCAGATCGTGCTCTCAATTTCGCCGGAATCTTAGTCTTCTGGACATGGTTCCCACTCTTAGTCTCTTGTCTACCAAGCTGGCCGGAGAGATTCTTCTTCGTCTTTACAAGCTTCACCGTCACGGCGCTTCAGCACATCCAATTCACGCTAAACCATTTCGCCGCCGATGTCTACGTGGGTCCACCCACAGGTAACGACTGGTTCGAGAAGCAAGCAGCAGGAACACTGGACATCTCCTGCAGATCCTACATGGATTGGTTCTTTGGTGGGCTACAGTTTCAGCTAGAGCACCATTTGTTCCCGAGGTTGCCACGTTGCCATCTCCGGAAAGTTGCGCCGGTGGTTCAAGAACTTTGCAAGAAGCATAACCTTCCGTATAGGAGTCTCTCGTGGTGGGAGGCAAATGTGTGGACCATTAGGACTTTGAAGAAAGCGGCTTTTCAAGCTAGAGACGCCGCTAACCCAGTGGTTAAGAACTTGGTTTGGGAAGCTTTGAATACCCATGGCTAAATTGACTTTTTTAAAATCAAACAAGAGCTTTTGTTTTGTTTGATCATCATTGTGTTTTATTAATTATCATATGCTTTTGAATCTTTTAATTTCGTTTTGTTACTATGGAAGAGCTGTTAGATTGAATTGAATTGAGATTTAATTGATTTAGATGACTCTTCGTATGAGATTATATTATTATTATTTGAAAATTTTAATGTATTTTATGTCGCTTTTTTTTGGTAAATTTCTTTCACATGGCTCTTTTTGATACCTGTGACATTGTGTTATCCTTTTTTCAATGCTTTGTCGTGTTACATCACTATGTATGGATGTTATTTCATATCTGTGTATTATCAGATTGAAGGTCTTGTGATTATTTGTGTGATCGAAACCAAGAAACGTCGACAAAAAGATGTGGCCTTTTCTTTTTAACTCATGCCTTTCAGGTATTGCAGACATTGTTTATTCAAATAATGGGCTTAGCAATGCAACCTCTCTGTAAAGGCCCAAGCCCGTAAAAATTTCAGAATAATGGACCGTAAGAAAGTATTTAACACATATTTTCATTCGAATCATATGATTCAAAACCAAAAAATACTGAATGGAATGCATTTGAAAGGTTTCGGCGGAGAAAGTGAGAAGAAGGAAAGCTTTAGTTTCCTGAATGAGCTTATGTTTTCAAAGAATAATGGTTATGAGACTGCGCATTGTTTAATGTTGTCTAGTGTAATTTGATCGGTGGTTTGAATGAAACTCCACTGATGCTTTGGTCAAATCTTAAATTTGCAGGATCCTCGGGAGCTTTTCACCGAACAAGCGAGGAAGGAGCTATCTCTACTCGTCGTTGTTGCTATCTAAAAATAGTTGTGTTTAAAGAGAGAGAAAGAATAGTTACAACAATTGGAAACGTGGTAGAGAAACAGTAAAAAAGAGAAGAACAAAATGTGGAACAGAAGAGAACATCATCATGATAAGTGTGACTTCTAAGTTTTTAGTCCACTTTCGTTTGCTGCCAACAAAAACATAATCAACCAAAATTAGTCCACTTCCACAATCATTTCTGATTTCTCTTTTTTATTTTTAGTTTTATACTTTCCACAGTTATGCATCTCCAACAGTTTTACCTATTATATATAAACTGCTTAGTAACATTTAGAACAGCAGCATCAGCTTTCGGAAAATTCTTCCACCCGTGTTCGCTCCCATATCTGTACCACCATGTTTAAATCAGGCATGGCTCGAATATGTTTGGTAATGTAAAAAAAAAAAAAGGTGATGTGAGAACTGAGAAGTGATATTAATGTGCATAAAGGTACATACCAAGGCCATAACCATAAGTGACAATTTTAGTATTTGCCACTATGTCCTTATATCTTTAATTTTACCCTTTTATTTTTCAGTTTTCTTTAGAAATCTTTTATATGAAACCGCCAAATAGGCCAAATTGATTAGTGCATATTGATCTTGCTAGATCTTCTCACAATCTTCACATCACAGTCCTGTTCTTTTTACCCAAAAAAATAATATTGGCGTTTTGTGTTTAGTAGATGTTAAACGCGATTTGACTACTGTCTTCATAATTAGTTTCGGGTTTACCTACAAATAAGTTAGTTATACAGCACAAAAACAAATGTGACCACCAATAAGATGTACTTGTAAAAACTTTCTACCACAATCTTAAATCAGTCATATTTTCAATGTTTTTTTTATTGTTAAAGCATTTTTTCAAAGTTGAAGGTGGAACCAAAACACAAAGTCTTCAAAACCTTGATGTTAGAGGTGTATTCACGAGGTTATGGCCTTAGACTTACATCTCTTCGAGTCTGGGACTAAAACGGATAAATGAGTTCCTTTTACAGTTTTCAGTGACGGCCGGGATTCAAATGCATAATCTAAGTCGCACATTGTAGTTTCTAAATTTTTAGTGTAACAAATAAAGCTGCGGACGCTATGTAATGTAATTATTTTTCATAAACCACAGCAATAGAGGTTTAACGTTTTTAATGTTTTTACAAACAAAAATTACGACCTTTATATCTAGAAAAAGAATATCTACAGTTATACTTCCAACCAATCAGACATCAAGCTTGTATTACTAATAAATATGCTTATATATCACTGAAAACATTTGTATATATATATTTTCACTATGCACACTTTTTCTTTTGCCATTATGAATCTAACATAGGGACACATATCTTGAAAACTTGTATCGAGTCATGATCTCTATTGCAAGATAACAATTTGGAATTTGTTTGAGTTCGATTCTTGGAAAAATCAAGTGTCCATGTGCATAAAGTATTTTGAATCTTTAAAACCTTCACTAGGAAACTAAAGCAATAATTAAGACAGTGCATCACTAGTATTTAGTATAAGGTATATGCTTTAATTTTTGGATTTACAAATATTGAAAGTATAAATGGAATATTACATTGGATATTTCCATTCGCTTTATTAGATTCTCATTTTTAGATACATGATTCACAATTTTACGATAAAACATTTTAAAAACAATTTCAGTTGCATTTCCCCTTGAATTCGTGATATGTATAAGCGATATGCAAGCACAATTAGCTCAACTGGCTAGAAGAATGATTTTTAGTATGCTAAACTATGATGCTAAGGATCGAAAAGTTATTTATATTTTACAGAAACTACCACGTAAACAATTGACAGATAGATTAAGATCTAAGAAGACAGAGACAGAAAGATTAACGTTTTTTGGATAGGCATATAACCAGAAATGTGATTATATGTAGTACACGAGCCACTAATCGCATATACTGTATGTAATATAAATATTGGCGTAGTTACATAACCTGATAAGTGATAACCATAAAGGGTAATGGCATTTGATCAAAAGAAGAAATAAAGTAAATCGTATGAAGCTGATATCAGTATATAGCTTTACACGTTAAATGTAGTTAGTGCAACTGCATATGAAGCCATCAACATTTTAAAGCTGCACTTATATATTTTAAATTTAATTAACAATATAGTATGTACATACGAATTAGTTATATATTTGTGTTTGATTTTAAGTTTGTTTTTGTATAATCTTGTGAGTGTATTAGGTAAAGGACAGGCCACTAACCACTAAGAAACTGCGAGAAGTCTAGGCTAAGGAAAGTAGAGAGACAGACCTTTCAGTGTTTGAAAAGCAAAGTATAATTACTAACGGAAATAACAAATAAAAAAAACATTTGGTTTATTGTTCTTTTTTATAAAATAATCAAAAGACAATATATGAATCAAATAAAAAGACAAAAAGGCTACCTCATGTGGTGTGTCATTTTCGGCTAACCCTTCTGGTTGCAGAGTGAAATACCAAAATAAAAACACAATATATATTTTTTTTGACTACACAAGTTTCTTCAACCTTGTTTTACTGTTTTTAGTAAAAGAACGAATTGTAATGGGTAATAAGAATGAATAAATTAAAGGGGTGTATCAGTGTATGATACATTGTAAAAATATTTATTTAACATTACATATCATAGTTTTGCTATAATGATCTACTAATCTGGAAAAGGAATTAATAGATTTTTCAATAGATTTTTTTTTTGTAAGCAATCATAAATTAAACACATGATCCAAATCCCATATAGCAATCCATGCACAGTATCTATACGACGTAATTAAACTAAAATTCTAGCGAATGTACGTTTTCGGTTTTAGAATCAAGGGTAACGTTTCACCGAGGCAGATTAATACAAGGAAAATATATTTATGGTGATTTTCACCAGAACTAAATTATTATCGTATTTTTTGTTTTATCAAACTGTGTTATGTCTACTACTCCCCCTCTGTTCAGAATTATTTGATGTTTTAGGAGGTTTTTTTTGTTCAGAATTATTTGATGTTTTCATTTTTCAATGTAAAATTTAATGAATTTTTATTGTTTTTGACTTTTTATATTCTGTAGATTATCTTTTTATTGGCTGAATGATATTTAAATAAATTATAAATAATATTTTTAGTATAGAAAAAATAAAAATTAAATGCATCCTTAATCTGTGTGTAAAAACCTTAAACATCAACTAATTTTGAACAGAGGGAGTATTATTTATAAATATTATTTATAAAGAAATATACAGGTTGATGAATAAGACAGCATTATTATTAGTGATTTAGTGTTATGATATTTTTCATTGTTTTGTGTTTGTTATAGTTCCCATGAAATAATGTTTTTTCTTACAGTTCATATTATATTATTCTTTTCACATAAAACTATGGTAAACACCACGCGCGGACACGCGCCTTCAATGTATTCCATTTTATTTATTTAAACCCATTCCCATCAAAATAAAAATGGCAAAAGAAAAAAAGAGAGAAGAAAACAGCAAACGTCTTCTTCTTCTCTCTTACCTCGCGCTTGCACCTCTCTCATTTGTCTTTCCCTTTCGTTTTTCTTATGTCCTTCTTCGTCACTGCTGTAATCATCATATTTCAAATCGAACCCGAAACGTCTCTTCCTCTCTCTCTCTCTCTCTAGCACACCAGATTTTCCTCTAACTCTCCCTCTCGTCTTCTTGTTGAACCCTTTACCTCATTTTCACTCTTAACAAATCCAAAATCCCGAGAGACCCATTTCATTTCCATCTTCTATTTTTAGGAAAAATCTCATCTTTCGGGTCTCTTCTATAACCAGTATCCACAAAACCGGCATTTCATCTCGCAAATCTAAAAATAAAAATCCGATATTTTTCTCGTTGTAAATCTCGAGAATTCTGAAGATTCAGAGACCCACGAGTTTCCAGAATCGAAGGTGTGTAGTAAATCGATATGGGTTTCTGTTTGATTTCACCGTCACTTTCTGCTTTTTATTTTTAATTTTTTGGATGCTTCATTGATCTGTTCCGTGTTCGTAACCTTTGATTGATGATGGGTTTTGGTATTAGTGATGTATGCTGTTCCCAGATGCTCGATTGATGTAAGCGTTTAGCCTAATTTCATATACAAGAACCAACAACAAAACGTATTTTTTTAATAAACCTAATATTCAATCTTTGTATTGATTGTCATCAGTGGAAATATTGACGTTGAAAGGATGACACAAGCTTTCTTCATTTTTGTTTTTCTCTTTCCTTCTTTTGGTTTCTGTCTGAAAAAATGTATTGCAGTAGTGGACTAAGTCTAAATATTATTTCTCTTCTTCATCTTCTGCATTTTCGATTTGACTATGCATGCCTCCTAAATCAAAATCTGGTTCGAAAAACGTTGTCTTGATTTATTGTTATTTACCCTTACAAATTCTGGCTTGAAGAGGTTCTGTGTTCTTGCTTTTGTTGATGTCCAAATCAGGTCTGCAATCTAGATTAGTGGATTCAGAAGTTTCGTAAGCTTTTTGTTGTTGTTGGTCAGAACTGATTCGTAAGCTTTGAATGTTTCTGATTATTTGTGTTGGTTTTCAGTGGCTTTGAGGATGGAAGCAGAAACGTCTTGGACCAATTATCCGTACAGCTACATTACATATGCCCCTGAAGCTGAATCATACTCTGAGCAGAGCGATGATGAGACCAAAGTCGAAACATTTTCGATGGATTCTCTTCTTCCCGACGATTTGTTAGAAAGAATCCTCTCGTTTCTCCCCATTGCAAGCATCTTCAGAGCTGGTTCGGTCTGCAAAAGATGGAACGATATTGTATCTTCTCGAAGATTCTTATGGAATTTCTCCAACAACTCAGTTTCTCAGAGGCCTTGGTACTTCATGTTCACGAGCACTGATGATCCATCGGGTTATGCTTATGACCCGATTATCCGGAAATGGTACAGCTTTGACCTGCCTTGCATCGAAACTTCTAATTGGTTTGTTGCTTCCTCCTGTGGGTTGGTTTGTTTCATGGATAATGACTGCAGAAACAAGATCTATGTCTCAAATCCAATCACCAGACAATGGAGGAGGCTTATCGAACCTCCGGGCCACAGATCAACAGACTACACTGCAATGTCTACCTCCGTGAACCGAGTGGTTAACCAAGCAAACCGGAGCTACTCAGTGTCGATAGTGAAATCTAAGCAAGTTCCAGGGAATTTCTTCCAATGGGATCTCTCTATTCATCTCTACAGCTCTGAGACAATGACTTGGACAACATCTGTGACCGATGTCTTAACCGGATGGAGGGGAGGAGACGAGAGTGTGATCTGTGACGGTGTCTTATACTTCTTGATTTACTCCACGGGTGGCTCTGATCATCGTCACGGCTTGATTGCTTCCAAGCTATCTTCGTCAATGGGATCATCATCGTCTAGTGGAATCTTGATGAGGAGTTTTATCCCAATGCCGTGCTCTTTGACCTGCGGAAGATTGATGAATCTGAAGGAGAGGCTTGTGGTTGTTGGTGGAATCGGGAAACATGATCGACCTGATATAATCAAAGGAATTGGGATCTGGGTTTTGAAAGGCAAAGAATGGCAAGAAATGGCGAGAATGCCTCAGAGATTCTTCCAAGGTTTCGGTGAATTCGACGATGTTTTCGCAAGTAGTGGCACTGATGATTTGGTTTACATCCAAAGCTATGGATCTCCCGCGCTTTTGACTTTTGACATGAATCTTAAGTATTGGAGATGGTCTCAGAAATGTCCTGTTACGAAGAAGTTCCCTCTTCAGCTCTTTACTGGGTTTTGCTTCGAACCAAGACTCGAGATCGCTCCATAGTTGAAAATCTGAAATGAAGAAATAACGGGTGTGTGAAAGTCTTGGCCTTTTTGTTATTTGTTTCTCAACATGATTGTTTTTGCACAGAGAAATCGCCGGGTCTGATGATGAAGAGAAGAAGAAGATGATACGGGTAATGTTTTTTAATTATTGGAAATGTTTCCAGGATTATTGTAATTTCCAATGTGGTACTTTATAAATTATAGATTTATCGAAGAGCCCCGTATACTTTTTACGCTATCAATCGAATCCCCTCCCCACCTATCTGTCTCTGGCGCTGTGAAATACAAGAAACCTTTCTTAACATGTGGCCCACAATATCTCATACTTCTGAAACTGGAGGTTGTCTCGTTGCTGTTCCTGGACGATAAAATAATGATTTTGTTTTGTTTTTTAACAATTATTAATAATGATTTTTAAATGTGCATCTATTATAGATAGCTGTATATTCTTTAAAATATAGATTTATGTTTTCTGTACTTCAATGAAATTGGACCTATTTTCATGATGGGATTTGTCAGGTTTGGCAGTGTTAGGTTTACAGGTAAATGGACAACAGCTATTTTGTTGCATTTTATAAATCTCTCGGGTCACTTATTTCAATTTTCATAGCCTTTTACACTTTCCTTAAAATTTTGAGTGGGATATGATTTACTGTCTCTCATTAATAACTCGGGTAAAATTGACGAAACGATGTATGGATTCTACATTTCTACAATTTTTTTTTTTCTTCTAAATTTAAGTTTTTTTTCCTTCTAACAAAAAAACAAAAAATTCTTATTGACTTATTAATATGTCTGTGTCATAGTGCTATATGTCAAAAGTAAAGAAACTTAGACAATTACTCTGACCGATCAAATCAGTTCGGGCCTAAATATACCCATTAATCAAAAAGAAATATCAAGTTGGCATTGAATGGGAGACAAAACACATTAATGAATATTTTTTTTATGGAAGCTAACCATTTTCTTATAACCTGATAAGATTTTGGATCGAAGTATAGACTAATTATCTGAATATATATGAAAGGACCATATAATTCTACTATTTAAAGCATCTACGTCGGCAACAAACAGTATTTAAAATTGTAATAACAAAATTCGAACACTAGCGGCCTAGCTGCTATACCTTTAGATTTAAGTATTTCAACGACCCTAAGAGAAATATGACACTTTAAAAACCAGCTTTGGCTTCTAATGTAGTTCCAGGGATTAACAAGTTAAACTATATCCCATTCTACTTAAAATGTTAAATCCCTCCATTTCTTGGTAGTTACCGTGATTAACGAGTTTACAATTGTGTTTGGTTGGAGGACCTAAACTAATTGATCACCGATGGTGTCCTTTTTTTTAGCAACGGTTTCAAATCAGATAAGTTTTGCAAACATCCAAAAATAAATTATTTTTTGTTTGACTATAATCTCAACTTTTGATAAATTGAAACGAAAACCAGTCCTTCTCAATTAAATCGAATTAGAAGTTTTCGTCGAGGAATCAAAAAGATCACTAAACCACTAACGATTTGATAGTGTCCATTATTTCACAAACAACACTTTCAAACTCCAAAACTCGGCAGGTTTATATGTAACGGGGTAGTAACCAAGCCATTAGATTATATATTTTTCTTGTAGTATCTCTGATGCCTACGTAAAATTCAAAATTCTGTAGCACCAATCAATTAGAACCGGAGATTGGCGCACAAAGCGTACCAAACCAAACCGAACCGAGCCGAGTATGAGATGGATAAGAAGACAGAGATTAGTCTCGTAGCCTTTCGTCTCTATCTATATCTCTCTCTCTCTCACATGAAAGCCGTTCAGGTTTCTCTTTCCAAGTTGGGCCACGACCACCAAAAGCTCTCTTCTGATTTCACTATTTCCCTGATTCCTCTCCTCTATTCAGTTTTTATTCTGTTCGCGACGTGGGGGAAAGACAGACGAAGGAAGTGTGTGTTGAAAACGAATATGAGAGGTACTGAAAATACGGATCTGTTCGACCCCAAAACCCAGATGGATTCTGATTTCACTCGCCATGGTTCCTCCTCCGACGGAGATTTTGGATTCGCTTTCAATGACAGCAACTTCTCCGATCGCTTGCTTCGGATCGAAATCATGGGTGGCCCCTCGGATTCTAGGTCCGATGGTGAAGGGTGTACGAGTATCGCCGATTGGGCTCGCCATCGGAAGAGGAGAAGAGAGGATAATAATAAGAAAGAATTTGGTGACCTCCTTTTCTCTTCTCGTTTTTTCATTTTTGCGAAAACTGTCTTCTTATATGGAATTAGGAGCCGTGATTTCTCTTGTTGGGTTATAAGTTGTTTAGGGTTAAAGGCTTTCTCTTTCGGGTTTTCTGTTTTTTTAAATTCCAAGTCTTTTTGGGTTTGCTGCTTATGTGTTTTCATTCATTTTCAGTCACGGTTTCAGACATTGTGGCATGTGCGGAGGAGCAGATTTTGACTGATGAGCAGCCTGATATGGAGGGATGTCCTGGTGGTGACAATCTAGATGATGAAGGTGAGGCAATGGTTGAAGAGGCTTTATCAGGTACTAAAGCAACATCCTTTGAGAGTGTTGTTACCTTCAGGAGAAGAGCTTAACTTTGTTTGCTTTGATTTTTTAGGTGATGAAGAAGATACAACTAGTGAGCCGAACTGGGGAATGGACTGTTCTACAGTTGTTAGGGTTAAAGAACTTCATATTAGTTCTCCTATCTTAGCTGCCAAAAGCCCTTTCTTTTATAAGGTATCAATCTATCGCTCTTTCGATGATGATGTTGTTACTTTTGCTCTTAAAATTTTTTTTCTCGAAAATGTTATAGTTGTTCTCCAATGGAATGAGGGAATCTGAGCAAAGGCATGTCACTCTTCGAATTAACGCATCAGGTACGCCATTGCAACAGATGCTATTGACTTGTTGTTAATGTGAATATATCTGAATGTAATTTAAGTTAGTTTATCCTTGGCTTTATATATTTAACATGACTAGACACCAATACTTTTACATTATTTTGTTCCCTTGTGTGTTAGTTCCACATGGTAGATGGCGTTGATTTACATATATACCCTACTTTGTGTGCATGACAGAGGAAGCTGCTTTGATGGAGCTTTTAAACTTTATGTATAGCAATGCGGTTTCTGTTGCCACAGCACCTGCTTTGTTAGATGTGCTGATGGCTGCTGATAAATTTGAGGTTGCCTCTTGCATGAGGTACTGCAGTAGACTTCTCCGCAACATGCCTATGACTCCTGAGTCTGCCCTTCTCTATCTCGAGCTTCCCTCTAGTGTTCTAATGGCTAAAGCTGTTCAGCCTTTAACCGATGCTGCAAAACAGTTCCTTGCTGTCCGCTACAAAGATATCACCAAGTAAGACCCCATAACAACGTACTGTAATAGTTTTGTATGCATTTTCATTGTATATAAGAACTATGAAGCACGAGATTGTGGGTTGATTCTTAGAAGCCATGGTTACTTTTTTTTTTTTCAGGTTTCAAGAGGAGGTTATGTCCCTACCCTTGGCAGGAATTGAGGCAATTTTATCAAGCGACGATCTCCAAATCGCATCAGAGGATGCAGTTTATGATTTTATCTTGAAATGGGCAAGGGCGCAATACCCTTCGTTGGAGGAGCGAAGAGAGATTCTTGGCTCACGCCTTGCACTCTCTATCCGCTTCCCATTCATGACATGCCGGAAGCTGAAGAAGGTCCTGACATGCACTGACTTTGACCATGAAATAGCATCAAAGCTTGTTCTTGAAGCTCTTTTCTTCAAGGCAGAAGCCCCACACAGGCAGCGTAGCCTAGCCGCGGAAGAATCAGCCTCCGTGAACCGCCGCCTCATAGAGAGGGCTTACAAATACCGACCCGTAAAAGTTGTGGAGTTTGAGCTTCCTCGACCGCAGTGCGTGGTCTACCTAGACCTGAAAAGAGAAGAATGCGCAGGACTATTCCCATCAGGAAGAGTCTATTCGCAGGCCTTTCACTTAGGCGGTCAAGGGTTTTTCCTCTCAGCTCACTGCAACATGGATCAGCAGAGTTCGTTCCACTGTTTCGGGCTGTTCCTAGGGATGCAGGAGAAAGGGTCGGTGAGTTTTGGAGTGGACTATGAATTCTCGGCGAGGTCGAAGCCCTCGGAAGAGTTCATAAGCAAATACAAAGGGAACTACACATTCACAGGAGGTAAAGCAGTTGGTTACAGAAACCTGTTTGGGATTCCATGGACGTCTTTTATTGCAGAGGATAGTCTTTACTTCATCAATGGCATCCTCCATCTTAGAGCTGAGCTTACCATCAAAAGGTCTACAGATCCTCAGTGACCGTTCCAGTAAAACTCGTCTTTTTTTTGCTTTGTTTAACGTAATAAATCAAACCCTATTTTATCTTGTAGTGCTTATTACCTGATATGAATGAATGCATTATTCTACGTTGAATTTCTTTCGGTCTAGTGGTAAACCGGGGAATAATCCTCTATGCTACTTCTATGTTAGAGACACATAAAAGACGTATATATGCTTTTAATTGGGTATTTGTATATAGTATTCTCGTCCTATACGTTAAAATCCGAATGTAAAATCTGTGGAAGTAGTACTCGTCACTCGTGGGTTGAAGTTTCACATCTTTTGGACTTTGGATACAATTATAATATTGGACTTTATAACATTATAGGAGATCAAGCCCATTCGTGGTATCTATATGGGCTATGGTTTAACGCCGATAACAGTGGTAACAATTTCCTTCGCTTTCGAACAAAAAAAGTCTGTTTATCCAAGTTCCACACATGTCTTAAACAAAATAAAAACTAGTTAGCTTTCCAAGGAAATAGATTGATGATTTATTTTTATGATGGAAATTGCAATATAACTTACTATTTTATCTACATTACTCGTTTACCAAACTACGTCGTAGCATTCCGGGGAGAGGATTTAACTATTTACTTGGATAAATTGAAACAGAGTTGACTTTTGAATTAAGCCGTGCGTTTATTTGATCGAGTTGGAGTGTTGGACTATTTAGATTCCCCGGATTAAATTCCAATTTTATTTGAAAAAATAAAATTGACCGTTGGTTAGATACCGTACACGTGGTACGGTGTCATCTACTGATCACAATCATTCTCCCTTTTTTTTATTAGACAAATCATGAGACAAGAGTATAAATGTATACCAACTGATACATGAATTGTGATGTTACGTTTTGTTACCATTTTCCCAAAAATTAGAAAAGAGAGAAATTATTTTAATGACTGTGTTTCAAGATTTTAAGGTACGGAATTCATAATCATGATTTTTTAAGGTACGAAATTCTTAACATGTAATGTGTGACAAACAAAAAATAATAATATAGAAATAAATCAATTATAGTATAGATTAGAGAAAGGCCAATAGTTTTTTCTATCTTTTTCTTTACTCTCAGTCTCAGTATACTATCCTCGTGCACCAAGAATCTAGTCCACTAATTATGGTATCATTCTTCTCCTCTAACCTCAAATTATGTCTGTATCTTATTTAATTAGTGACAGGTTGGAGATTAACAAACAAATAAATAGTATTTAAAATATAATAATTAGTCATTATAAATTTCAATAAATACTTTCATCTATACACAGAAGAAAGTTCAGTTCTGTTTCCGCCATGTCTATCTGAACCAATGCACGTAGCCTCCTCCTAGAATCCCAATAAAACCATCACAGATCCCTCCTCTCTTCCTTATCTTTTTTTTCCATAAAAGGTTTATAAATTATAAACTGTCAGGTTGATAAAACTGTTTCCATAATCTGCTCTTGGCTTTTCTTGGATTTTATCAGATCCCAAACTAGTTTTTCTCTTTAGTTGTTGCTTCATCTTTTTATTACCAATTAAAACTAACCTGAGATTTTTGTATATCCCATATATGATGAATTGAATATATTTATCTTCCAAACAAATTATCGGTGGGTGTTTTAAAAAAAAAAAAATTACTTGAGAAGATCAAGATAGGTGTTTTGCTCTTTATATCGCCTAAGTGTTGTTCGTTTCTCGTTTTTTATTGCGGAGGGGAGTGTACTTAAGTGAGCAAAGAGTGGATTTTCCAGATCTAATAACGTCGTGGTCATGAGATTTCTGTGAGAAAGAAAAGCTCTTTTGTCGTTTTCCTCTTTTGTGAGAAATCAGACAACTTGTCGGGAAGTTCTTGAGATTTTCAAAAATTAGAAGAAGAAGAAGAAGAAGAGTGAAAATTTGGTGTGAGAGAGAGAAGAGTGAAGAAACCAAAAATGGGTCATTACGCAGCAGTTTGGGATCATAAAGCAGCGACTGAGATAATCAAAGATTGGAACGGCATTGACCAAGTCCTACTCAGAAACCCACATGGAGCTTCTGCTAAGGTATCTACTTTTTTTTTTTCTTTTTCCAATTTCTCTAAGAGTCTCTCAAATTCGAGTTTTTTTAATCGATTCCGTGTTCTGGGTTTGGTTTTCGTTTTCCAGATTAGTTTACATGGAGGACAAGTGATTTCGTGGAGGAATGAGCTCGGCGAAGAGCTTCTTTTCACTAGCAACAAGGTATGCAGAAACCAAAAAACCCTGAAACATAGCGAAGAAGATGAAAAAGAAGAAACTTAAAAATCCGGATTTTTTTTTACAATTTGTTGTAAATTGTTGCCAGGCTATATTCAAACCCCCAAAATCAATGCGTGGAGGGATTCAGATTTGTTATCCACAGGTAATTTAAGTATTTTTATTAAATGCTCCCAATATTCTCACTGGGATCTTTTACTGGACATTGTAATTGAGTTGTTTGTGTGTGCGTGTGTTTGAAGTTTGGGGATTGTGGATTACTGGATCAACATGGGTTTGCTAGGAACAAAATCTGGGTAATCGATGAGAATCCACCTCCTCTTTACTCAAACGAATCCACTGGAAAATCATTTGTTGATCTTCTTTTGAAACCATCGGAAGAGGACTTAAAGCAATGGCCTCACAGGTAAATGTTACAGACCCCATCACTTGCTTTGTTTCTCTCTTTTACAGACTCTAAATTATCTGTGTTTCGTTTCCCTTGCAGTTTCGAGTTCCGTCTTCGGGTTTCACTTGCCATAGATGGCGACTTAACTTTGGTTTCTCGGGTCAGAAACATCAATGGCAAGCCCTTTAGCTTCTCATTCGCATATCACACTTATCTCTCTGTCTCAGATATAAGGTATTTACTGTTTCAAGAAATCAGCAATTGATTCTGTGTTTTGTTGAGCTCTCTCATTCATTAACCAAACAAATGTTCATCTCTTGTTATTCTACAGTGAAGTCAGAATTGAAGGGTTAGAGACATTAGACTACTTGGATAACCTTAGCAAAAGAGAGCTTTTGACAGAACAAGGCGACGCAATAACCTTTGAATCTGAGGTAAAGATTCTCCAATCATTGATTACGAACAATTATCTTCGTTAAAGATTCTGCAATCATCGAGAGCGAACAAGTATCTCACATGAGATGTTTCTTTTGATATTCAGATGGACCGGACTTACCTTAGATCGCCCAAAGTGGTAGCAGTTCTTGACCATGAAAGGAAAAGAACCTATGTTATCGGAAAAGAAGGACTTCCAGACACAGGTAACAATCTGACAACACTTGGTTTTGCAATTAGAATGTTTGGTATATTTAACTATGATGGTGATGCTGCAGTGGTATGGAATCCATGGGAGAAGAAATCGAAAACAATGGTTGATTTTGGGGATGATGAGTACAAAAGCATGCTTTGTGTGGATGGTGCAGCAGTTGAGAGACCCATCACATTGAAGCCAGGAGAAGAATGGACCGGCCGGCTTATGTTAACCGCGGTCAAGTCCAGTTTCTGCATCGATCAACTTGAACTACAGAGCAAAGGATTCTGAATCTTTTAGAATCACATCATCCTAAAGAATATTATGCTTTATTCCATTGGCAGTTTTTTTCTACTGCAACAATGGAAGAGCAGAATCATCGTTTTTTTCTTCTTTTTTTTTTTATTGCATGTTAAGCTGTTTGTTCTCATTTTCTCAGTAGAGAAGCTTATAGGCCGGTGATTTCTTCAGACCGGTCTTGGTGATGTAGTGACGAAAAAGAGCCTCTTGTTATTTTTTTTTCTCGGCAACGGCTAATGTATGAATATTTGCGGTTCGAATTTTATCGGTTTAATTTAGAATTCGGTTTCAAACGATTTGAATAATTAAAAATGTTAATCAAGGATAGCATAACTTTGTATTACTAACTTTAAGTTTTGGAGAAATCCTGATTGCTGATCGTTAAACTTCAAACATTAACAGCAAAATTTAACCAGCTCATTGAGTAAAATCTTGGATATTTTCGATTTTTTTCTCTAGCTCTGAAGTTTATGCAGATCCTCGACGATACTCTAGCTGTTTGGTGTTTTCAAGAAGTACCTTCAAAATAAAAAAAATATAGAACCAAAAGATTTAGAATGCTCTTCAATGGTGGAAAAACGAAATCCTAGAATGATTCAGAACCATATTGTTTACCTCGCGTATTCTCTCTGCAATCGCCTTACAACCTTCAGAAGCCAACGCAAACACCGTTTCAAACGTTTCCATCGGTAACTTTGCGTCCATCTACATTTTAAGCCAATACATACAAGTCAAGAATCATATGATTTGTGAATGTAGAGAAATGTGATATGGAGAGAAGAAGAAGAAGAAGAAGAAGAACCTGAAGGAGTGTCACTTTGTCTAATTTAGGTAGAATGCCGACGGTTACATCCGCTCCTCCAGCGCTGTCTTCAAGATAGTTCAGGTCAAGAAGTGGAGTACTGTTCAAGTATCCAGCGCTACAGGAAACAGCAAGATCACGCATCGGAATTCCAGCGTCCGCTAGAGCTAGAGTCGCAGCATTGATACAAGCTGATCTTGTTCCTGATTACAGAACATATCATCAATGACGGATCCAAAGATTAAAAAGTTTGAGAGCTCGTTTGCAGAACAGTACCTCCGTCAGCTTGTAGAACCTGAAGGAAAATGTCAATCTGCATAATAGAGACAATCCATCAAGAAGCAAGTCAAAAGAAAGAGATCTATCGAAAACGTACAGAGTCGAGCAATGGACATTGACAATTCATTCTTTCTTGAATATCTTGATCTCGATTTTAATTTTAATTTCACTGGAGAGTAAATTGTATACCTGAGAATGAGGCATCAATTCCGTTGATATGCACGCTTCCATTGTTTGACGGATGACAAGCGATAGCTCTGTTGATCGCCTGACCATAATGAACAGCAATTCAATACTTTATGATTTATGCAAGAACAATTGAGAACCTTTTTAGATAATATAGAAAATGTAACCTGTCGTTCTTCTGTCTTCTACGATCACCAGTACTAAAATGAGCCATACTATACTCACACAGCACCTACATATGAATAAACCACAAGCTATTCAGATTTCACAGAGCATTTTTGCCAAGAAGAATACCGAAAAAAGATCAAAACATATACATACCAATGCATGATCATTCTTTTTTTGGCTCTTGTTTTGAATCTGGAGGAGCACAGATACACAGTTAGACACAGAAAATTAAACTCAATTAGCTTAACTCACTGACTGATACTGATACAATACCTCTCTAGGGCCATAAACAGCTGCAATTACTTTCGTATTACCCATCTCGAAAACAGCAGAACTAGAAAAGAAAACAAAGTTCGGATTTTTATTCACATAAGTGCCAAAGTAGAAGAGAGATGAAAAAGACAAGAGGAAGAAGTTGAGTTTACCCGTCAGCCTTAGAAACCACTCCAATTTCAGCTACGATTTGTCTCATCTGTGATTTATTTAAAGCATTAGGAATAGAGAAATTAACTTGTGAAGACCAACAAAAACAAGTATTAGAGACGCAAACATACTTCATTGAATCGGCGACCATCTAATCGAAGACCTTCAGGGTTTACGTACTCCATTGTTGTGAATTCCCAGAACTATCTAACTAAAGAGATATCAATGATGAGAGCACTGACAGAAAGAGACAGAACAAGTTCAATACTTTATTTTTTCCAAAGCAGAGAACCCAAAACAAAAATCTGAAAGAAAGAGGTGAGATATACCTCGGCCGAAATTTGCGGCGGCGATACGTCGGGGGTTTATGGACGGCGTCGACGAGAAAAAGAATCCAAAAACAAATTAGGGCTTTTTGTTGTGTGTTTTTGTGATTTAGTAGAAGTTTTAAGGGTATAAGAGTAAAAGAACAATTACATAGATAGTTTGGGAGCTAATTAAGCAGTAATAAGCACCGTTTGGCTTGTAGCCGTGGCTACATTCCTGCCTGTGTTTAAAGAAATTGTGTATGGCTAAAAAGAATTAATGAAGATTATCATGATGCTGAAATGTTCACATATCCGAACATAGTCAAACAAATTGGTTAGAACCTCTCGCTTTATCTGCAAATGCTAAAGATCAAAGAAATATTCTGCACACAACTTAATTCGAATTGAAGCCCGAACTTTAAAATAAAGAAAAATTGTTTTACTTCTTGTATTTGATAAACAAAAAAAAGCAGCAAAAAATCCTATATCCAATGAGCATTGAACTCAACGTGGTCCGGCAACAAATCCTAATTAAAAAAAAAAAAGAAAAAGAAAACCAAGAGTACTCTATTTCATTGTACGAGCTAAGCTGATGTAAAGTTTATGTTTTTTCCTCTTTTGACTCTAATATTTATTTTATCATGTCTTATTATCTATGAATCAATTCAAATAAAATGATAGTTAGTATCGACGTGTCGGGATTTACGTGTGCACTACAGAGAATGAAATGCAAAGTGGTGATGCATATGAAAATGACGGGCTCGTGACGGAGGAGATGATGGAATAAGTAATGTGTTTTTTTTGTATATATGTATCTAAAAGCATACAAACCGAGATTAGACAATTCGAGACATAACTTTCTACCTAGCACCTACTACACTCATGGTCATAAGTCCTAACGAGTGTCATGCAATTTATTGTTCCATAGACCATATTATATCGTTACAAGACTAATCCCAAGTTACAAAGCTTTGAAGTCACAAACAAGTTCTTGAAGATCAAGATCACACAAGTGAACTCGTTGTTGGTGGTTTCAACATTTGATAGTTTACTGTACAAACTTGTAGAATCTTGTGAATTTGCTAATCTTCTACTTATTTTGTTCCTGACCAATATCTAGTCAAATCTCAGCAAACAAAAATAATACTAAAGAAATCTAATTTAGTTACCTTGTCCTGGTTACTGATAAGAGACATTTGAAAGTCAGCGGGAGGTAGTCGCTTGGTCTCCAAGCTAAAGATCATAATTTTCCAAAACAACAAAAATTATACTAAACATTATCCAATAAACAAGAAATTATATGACTCTTTCAAAGACATCATTAGATTCATTCCCATTAGTTACACAATTCATTGTGGGTCCGACGTGACATCCTCGTGACCAATCTCATATCAGGGTGGGGGTCCCACTCGTTGGAGCGTGAGGTATACGTACAGGTGAGTCCGCGTGGGAGAGAGTAAATTTGCTTGGAGACCAAGCTATTAGAGTAGGACAATGGCTCTACTTTCCGTACGGTAACTAACACGTGTCCGAAATCTAACGTCTCAATCTGAGATGCGGAAAGCCGTTTTGAATCCCAATGGCCGCCACGAACCGCCTCACCTCTCCTCATTAATCTCGCTAACAAAGTCTAAATATGTTTACGGTTTACATAAGATTCCTTTCGGTTAGCTTTTAATCTTTGATGTATATATATATATAGTTTCAATTAGAGCTATTTTAAATGAAATTAAAGTCTTAAACAGTTTATTTACCTTTACCATATTTAATTGTAGTTTCATGTGAAATAATAAAATTGAATCGATGTTAATAAAAAAAACAAAATTGAATCATTTGCTTAAAAAAAGCAGTTTAGTATTCCTTTTGATTGGGAATTATATCATACGGGTATGTTTGAACACGCATTAATTTCCCTTTACAGTTAAACAAAAAGACAAAATAATTAATAATCATTTAAATTTTCGAAAATTACGTTAAATGAAAATCGCCATAAAAGTAAAAAGATATATGGAAACAATAAATACTCATGAGTTAGTAATATTTAAAGAGGCTGTTCCTACGAAACGGCGATACTCCTTTAGCCTTTTGACTCTTCTCTTTCTCTCTCTCTCTCTCTCTGCAACTCAAACAGTGAAAACAGAAAAAAAATCTGAATAACTCTCTCTCTGTCTCTCTCTAGTAACCCATGAGAGAGCGAGAGATGGAGAGACGAAATAGAAGAGTCAAGTTCACAGAGCATCGTACGGTCACATCTGTGCCAGCTAAGCCATCTAACGGCTCTCCACGAGTGGTCCGAATCACTTATACAGACCCTTTCGCCACTGACTCTTCCAGCGACGACGATGACGTCACGGTTGCCCCGAGAGTTAAACGTTTTGTGGAGGAGATAAGATTCGGCGAAGCCCAATCCTCGTCCGCCGTGAGGAAAAACCGATACAAGGTGGAGAAAGGCGGCGGTGCAAGAAATGATGACGTGTCAGCGTCAGCGAACCCAAGGAAGTACAGAGGCGTGAGACAGAGGCCGTGGGGAAAATTCGCGGCGGAGATTCGGGATCCGTCGAAAGGTTCTCGGGTTTGGCTAGGGACTTTCCTCACGGCGGAGGAAGCTGCTTTGGTTTACGATCGAGCTGCGATTGATATCAAAGGTCATAACGCACAGACGAATTTTCTAACTCCTCCTCCGCCGCCGGATAAGAAGCCGGTTATCGATCTAACGACGGTTTCCAGCTGCGATTCCGGGAAAGATTCTCGCCAGAGCCTCCACTCTCCGACCTCTGTTCTTCGATTCAACGTCAACGAGGAAGCAGAGTATAGAACAGAGCTGGAGAATGAACCAATCGAGCTATCGCCGGAGACAAAGTCGACCGTCGTTGAAGAATCGAAGGAGAGCTTGTTTCCGGATTCGTATTCGTTGCCGGATTTATGTCTCGCCGGCGAATATTTCTGGGATTGCGAAATCGCTCCTGACCCGTTGTTTCTGGATGAAATTGAGATCCATCAACCGTTCTCAAACATGGAGATTCCGAAAGAAGAGAATGATCCCGAAGATTTCTCTTTCAATTTGAACGAAGATTTTGATTCTTCCCTATGGGACGTCAACAATTTCTTCGAGCCTAATTAAAATCTGACGCGGATGCATCTTGATGTGTAAATAATAATATAGGAGTATTAAGTTAAGATAAAATGTCAGTGTTTAATTATGAATGTTTTGGCCCGTTTTAGAGACTGCAATTTCGTTATTTGCTTACTCTCTGAGAGTGTGTCAACATGAGGAAGCAGTATATACGATTTTTGTCTATAATGTCTAATTTTCTATATAAATATGGATTAAATGTAGATCCCTTTCTTTTCATTTGTTGTTTGTTTCTCATGAATCTCTAATAGAATTATGTAACAAATGACTCTCAGGATAAATAATTATCTTTTCAAAATTTAGAGTACTACCCCATTATCTAAATAAATATATGAGCAGTCAGAAGATTTTTCAAAACATATGGAATTAAAAGCTGTTAAATTGTAATTAATTTTAAATAAAAGATTACGCTTTTTTAATCAAAATTTTCCTTCCAGACATAAGTTTAAATTGCAAAGTCATATTCGAAAATAGCATAATATATTTCTACCTTATCTACAAACGTAAGTTATCCCTTTCCAAACTTAACATGTGGAATATTTAAACTCGGTTCGGTAGCATTGTAGATTTGTGACAACACACTTCCAAACCGGTTAAGCCAACCACACATGGTTAAGGGGGTAAAAAAATAAAAACACTAAATGTCATATGATTTATCCTAATTAGAGATTTGAGAGGGTGTGGTGTGAAGTGAGGATTCAAGGTATCGCCGAGAGACATGTTCTCGTGTCTGCTGTTGTTTTCCACTTAAGTATTAAAGCCCATTCATGTGAAGAACCAAACCAATGAATCCTATATTAGCCCTACCAATTGTGTCTCCACTCATAAAAACATCCTTCACATTTTCAAACTCGCCATAAAAAGATAACCAAAGTACTTGTCGCTTTTCTTTTTCTTTTTATCTATTAGATACAATAATCGTATATATATATATATATATACATTTGCATTCTATCAAAACTCGGTCGAGGTCTACGTGAAGAATTAGACAATGGACTAATGGAGTTTGGTATATATCAATTTGGAAGGACAAGTGTGTTGTCTTCTAAGTAAATGACTTCTTTCTATTTTGTACCATGGTCCGTCCAAATGCTGGGACAAAGGTTTAAAAAGAACTTTGGGTTTACGGCCATTTTAATAAACAAAAATTTCATTTAATTAAAACTATTCACAACATACTTTCAAACATATCCATTTTACAACAAAACTATTTAGGAATTAATATCCGTTTGTCCTAACAAAGACTCCATCATAACAAAGTATTAGAAAAGAAAGTTAGCAATGTTATTTTTTTTCTTATATAACGAGTCTCATGATGAAAAGTTTGAACATATATATTATCTTTGATTAGTAGTATTAATTAAACAAATGATAAGATAATGTTTGATCGTAGTTCCTATTTTCACTCTTTTTCCCCTTTATATATAGAGTTGGTTTATATTTTTTCCATATTAATTGGCGGTATATTATGTTCAAAAAGAAAAAAAAATTGGTGGTATTATTTGTTGACTGTTTCCTATCACTATTAATAAATCATCAACACACCAATAAATAAACCAGTTTTGGTCTTTCCGAGGTCAAGATTTTGACCAATTAGATAAATTTCTATTCTGCACCATTTAAAAATTGGACCTCGGAGTTTGGCTTTTCCAACGGGAAACCATGAAAGCTTCCTAACCATTCAGAAGCTTCCATTTCAATATACATTCTTGAAACAATAGAAATGCAAATGGCGCGGAAATAGAAAAATTTACATATGCTTATTTGTTCTATTACAAACGATGAAAGTAGAATTACAACTTACACAAGTAAGTACTAATTACTACCCGCCAAAATAAAAATAAAGGAGAAATTAAACCACTAAATGACAGCGACTATAGTGAATTTTATATCGATTATCCTATGAGTTGCGAATTAATCTTCTGCGAATTCATTTATTATTGGTTAGAGTACATGATTACAAATTTTACAAGTAGACAAGCGGAATCCCAAAGAATATGCAAAAAAAAAAAAAAAACCTAGAGATGCACATACTCAGAACCACTTGCAACACACATGTAAAGCATTGGAGCATTTAATGCATGCAGCTTGGACCGACCATATGAAAAAAGGAACAAGATTCAAGAAATACAAGGAAATACTGATACAAAATTCAAAGTTTAGCCAATTATAGTTCTACACTTCAATTCAAATTGGGTGGATATTTGTTCGAGAGGATTTACTGTTATAAACTTTTGAGATTTCGAATGAGAGGTGTACAATGTAGATAAGCCAGCATCTATAATTTAAAGATCTGACCAAAAATATATTAAGCTTTAATCTGGTTTAATCTTTCTATTTTAATTAAAATAATAATAAAACCAGTCCAAGTTAAGTTTGAATCGATTTATACGACTTTCTTGGAGTTTTGTTTGTTTGAATTTTCGGTGCATACAATTTTTGAGAAACTGAAGTCGACCTCGATTCGGTTTTCTATCGGGTTGGTTTGGTTAATCGATTCAGAATCCTAGTCTCTTAATTATTTATTTTGTAATCCTCTGAAACTACTAATTATTAAATCTTAATGAGTAAACCAAAAGGAAATAGAGGGTTTAAGCCCATATAGTGAACACGAACTGGTCAACGATTGGGCCACAAGAGAATGAGAGGTGAAGCAAGTTGGCCATTGGCCTACAAATCTAATCTACTAAGGGCCCCAATAAGATCTCTTTCAACCCTCTCAAGACGCCTTTACAAAGTTCATGCCGTTTATTCCACTCTTTGTTTCCTTTTTGTTTTAGGTCAAAAAGCAGAATAATATGAAATTGCAACAAAACAAAATATATGTCACTCTTTCTCTATTTATGTTTGAAATCGGGTCAATAATAAAAGACTAAAAAGTATAAACAAAGAACAATGTTGCTAGGTTGGTCTTCTTTCGTGTTCAAGTAGAAATCCTTTTTTTCTCTTTTTTTTTTGGTCAACTGGTTATCATATTGATTTTAGAAATGTGAAATCGAAAAACAATTGAACGCAAGTAATTAACTCTAGGATCGAAAGGTATTTAAGACAAGAAATGAGTCAAACGAATAAGATTTACTCAAATGGTTTATATTTCGAAAGTGAAATCTACTTGAAACCAACGAGTGATCCAAATGCATAAAGAATGAGTCAGAGGATGAAAAGAAAATCATTAATCATTAGGTCACTGCGTAATGGTGTACCACAGTGTTCTCATTTTCTCACAATATCAGTGTATGATTATTACGAGTGCGTTATAGAGATTAGAAATAGCAAGGTGGAGAATTGAGGTAGTAGCCACACCATTCTCCATCATGTTAAAATTTTATTTTGTCACATCTTATGGATTCTAATGGAGATATATCATAAATATCTACAAACCATAGCCGAAACTATCCTGACCATTAGTAAAAAAAAAACCAAAAAACTCTAGGGATCATCTGAAATAATACAATCATAGTGAAACATCACGAATACTCTGGATATTCAGAACGCCAACTTAGGATCCACAACTCCTGAAGCATTGCCTTCACCAGTTAGAAGCTGTTCAGGGTCCTGAGAGAGACACACACAGATACAATTATCGTTTCACGTTCCTCCATAACTATGACTATAGATGGGCAAAGCTTAGTATACTGTGGCTATTTTACATACCTCCATTCCCCATTTGATGTAATCTGGAGATTCACAGGCCTTGTACTCATCTACCAAACTCTCAATTATGTCCCTTGATTCATCAAACTCTGAAAGATCATTGTCCTGTACATATCGTGACATATATTCTCATGATTTCACCATTTACTAGTCAAAAGCTGTGGTGCACTAAACATATTCCAAAACAAAGGCAGGACATCTAAGCGGTCTACTTACAGCAAACATGGGAAACTTTCGGTAATTGTCAAGAAAAGCTTGCTTCTTCCTCAGTTTCTCATACTGGCTCAAACATTTGCTGAAAAGGTGCCTGATACTAGTGTGGCTTGCTAACATTAGACCACTGACCTGAAATATCAGATACACCATCAAAGTAAGAGTCTTAGTCCTATCTCTTAAAGCAAGTACTTGCAGCCTAATATATATACAGAGCAATGTAAGATTACCCTATGGGCAGTTTGAACATATGGGGACTTCTTGGAAAGTGCAACCTGTCGAAAATAAGAGATGGAAAAAACTGTGATCAAGTTCATGGTCAAGCCAAAAGCAATAACTGTTTGCAGACACAGTTTGGTTGGAACCTGTATGCTTGCAGGTCCCCACTCAATGAAGTTAACAAGCTTTCTTTCTCGTATCCTCTGCAAACTCTCATGCACCTAGTATCAATCAAGTAGAGAAACAAACAGAGCAGATGACATCAACAAGAAAGAATTAATCGATTTATCCTCAATATGTTGACAAGAAAATTACTCAGTGCTACAGAAATAGTACCTGAGTGGGATCGACTTCTCCTTGAATTATATTCAATATTGATATGTACTTTGCCTGACTAGCTTCTTTATTTCTAGCATAAGACGACACCATGATATTTTTTGTCTGCAAATACATTCATTTTAGGAAAAACATCTGATTCGAGTTTCAAAAAAAAGGATGGAAAAACCAAACAGCTCACCTGTAGAAGCCTTCTCATAACATCCAGCACGGTAGTTTTACGAATGACATTTGCCTGCCAAAAAAAAGAGAGAATGAAACCAATAAAATGGAACATTGCACACTTATGTGGCTTTAAAAATGCAATACATCACATATAGAGTCAGCGTTCAAGATACAATGGTAGCCTCCCATAAAAGGATTGATGGTCTCAATTATTAAACAAGTGAGATATCTCACCTGGCGCTCGACAGTCAACGGAGTATATCCTGTCATGAGGAAGTGACACCTCGGTGTTGGGATCAAAGATGCAAGCAAGCCGACCAAGTCATTATTCATGTATCCTGGATAACGCAATGTGGTAGTGCTAGCAGACATCACAGTTGACACTAACGAATTCGTTTGAGCAAAGGTAGGATTCGTAAGATGTAGACGCTCAACAGCAATTCTATTCAATGCAGTGTTGTCAAGGACAACAACACAATCAGCATTTAAGGTAAGCCGCTTCAGTGTCAAGAGTGAGTTGTACGGCTGGACAACAACATCACTTGTTTCCATCTGATTGGGGAATACACTGTACGTCTGAACCAACTTCTTGCTATAGCGATCATTCAAAGTCTCCAATAAATAAGAGCCCATACCTTGATGCGAAATCAGAAAAAGAAAAGTCAATCACAGTAGAAGAAGCAGTGGATAAAAAAACCTGATAAGGTAAACTCAGAAATGCAAAATCACATTATCATTAAGCAAATGTATTGCAGACTATGGAGGAAGGTCCTTAAAGGTGAAATAGTAAAGAGAGAAACCTGAGCCAGTTCCTCCAGCAATAGAGTGGCAAAGAACAAATCCCTCAAGGCTGTCACTTCCATCAGCTTCTCGATCAATCATGTCCATAATTTCCTCTTCAACACCCTTCCCCTGGTCAAAATATAGCAAGTAAAGAAACAGGAAGAAGACTGATCTGATTGAAAAGAAAACTGCAGATTCGAAAAAGTATGAGAGAGTAAAAAGGGAACCTGGTGATATCCACTGGCCCAGTTATTTCCAGCACCACCACCATGGTCGGAAACGAAGATGTTCTCATGATTATAAAGATTCCGATATTCCCCATTCTGAATGCCATTGATAACTCTGGGCTCCAAATCAATCAGAAGAGCTCGTGGAATATAGTGCTGGTCATCCGCTTGGTAAAAAAACACATCTTTTCTATCACCTCCCTACACATTTTCACACGCAAAACCCACTCTCTTATCAATCAAAAACCTTTATTGATTTTCTCAGCAAGTCGATCTTGTAAAAACTTATAACAATTAAGCAAGAAGAAATGAGGGAAATCCAAAACTTAAGACGAAACAAAACAAAATCAGAAATGATTCTGTGAGACCAACAAACCAAATTGCACCCGCCACGGTATTCAATTATTGATAAGATAAAACCTTTAATAGAAATCTAGAAACGATATCGAAGCAATTGATTCACATAAATAACCTAAAAATCCAGTATACAGTACAAATCCTTAGTTCAATAAAAAAGAAGAAGAAGAAGGAAGGAAGGACCTGAGTAGCGAAGTCCTCGAGAATACCATCTTTGCTGATACCGTGCTCGAGGCAAAGCTGTTTCCAGAACTCCATCCCGATCTGGTTCCCACATTGTCCCACTTGCAGCGTAATAATCTCCCTCGGCATCTTCTACCTCTCTCTCTCTCTCTCTCTATACTTCCGAAAGTTATTGCGAAGAAGGCAAAAAAAAAACTAGGGTTTTGGAGACTGTGAAGAAGAAGGGATGATATTTGATAAAGGAGATGAAATGATTAAAATTAGCTCTGGCGCGGATGCCTTTTTAAAAGTCGAGTGAAGAGGAAAGATTATTAAAAAAGAAAATTTACGTATAACTAAAAAACAAAAATTCGTGAGGAGAAGAATCCCAAAATTTACTTAGCAAAAACTGAATCTGGCTCGGCGTGTGGAGAGATCTCTCGGCATAGCCGTGTCAACACACTACAGTCTCTCTGCTGCTAACTTGCACTGAGTGTTTTTCTTCCCAAGTCCCACACATTTTGACCTACTTTCGGCCCGTTTTTGTTTATTTTTACGGCCCATTAACTCCTTAAAAGAGAATTTTGCATTTGTCAATGAATTACTTTCTAACATTGGCTAACTAAAGTTTATTTGCTCCGAGTGTAATGAGTGTTTTATTTGCTCCGAGTCATTAATTAGTGTAAGTACTTATTGGTGCAAAACTTAAATCAGAAGCTTAATCTAAGATTAAGACAACATGTGAACTCTCTTATTCTTCTTTCTGAATTCAACTACTCCATAATCTCTCTCGTATGTCACAAACACAATCACTATCGACGGGACAACCTGAAACAAAGACTTAGCCACGGAATAACATATCTGCTTGTGAAAGAAGAGGATTTTGAGGCTTAATCCTTAAGGCCGAGCAACTTTATTTATACTCCGCTGTTTGGTATCGACAGTAGCACCAGAGTCCATAGCCGTTGAACCATATGTATATCAGTATATGCCCTTGTTGCTGCAAGTAATGTAAGTCGTTGGATCATGTGTCGATCGAGTGGTCAGCAATGATTTAGTAAAATTTCAACGGAAACATTTTGTTGTGAATCTCGTCCGGTATTAAGATAACGGCACGACTCCGTATAGAAGGAATTTTTAGACGTAGTCATTCTGCTATAACTAATTAACCTACTCCAAGACAAAATATAGTATCTATATTGTTTAAAGTTGATTGTTTTTTTTTTGAAAAGTTGTGTTATTTAGTGTCACCGGATCAAACTTCAAATTCAAATACGATTTCAAAGTTTCAAAAATCTATTATTTACATTAACTAATTTCTAAAAGTTTGTAGACCTTGCAAAAATGTATTTTCTTTATGCTCAAATAGTAAAATTTGGTTCGATTTAGTAACTTTAATGGACCCCAAAAAACCTTTGTAAAGCACTTTATGTAATGAACAAATGTATTGCTTTGCTTAGGACTCTCTTCTTTAGCCCTAAAATAACCGATTTTTTTGTCCTAGCGGCCTTGCTTATCTAATCTGTTGTCTTTGCCTCTTTGTTATGGTAGTCAATAATTTTTTCTGAGTCTTCAAATATTTTATGTTACTTCTTTTACGCCATTTGACATCCATTTGGGTATGAAAAATCAAGAGGGAGGGAGACAGAGATAAAAGATGTGTGATATAACTGAAGATTTACAGATTTGGTATCAAATAAATGCATACGTAACTGTTTCAGAAATTTGGTGAATGAAAACGAAAAAAAGTTGAAATTAGTAATGCTGAGAAGAATAAAGAAAACATGCTTTGAGACGTTAAGAAAAAAAAAATACGAAAAAAACACTTGAATGTTGAAGTAATTGTTATAGACTTAATTAGTTACATTCACGTGAATATTTCTCCCGTTTCTCAAATTTTTATTCTTTCTCTTGGGTCTGGAAAGACTAAAGAGCCTGTAACTCTTGTTCATTCTGCTACGGGGAATTTTAATATAAATGGAAAACATTTGTTGTCAATTCCACTAATTCAAATTTGGTTAATAACTTTGGCTCTTATCGTCGATGCTGTGAACAAAAAGAAGAGAGTAATTAATCATCAAAAAAAGAAACAAATCTCGCCAGCTTGGATGTTACGAGACCATACGACCAAAAACAAAAACTAGAGGAAGAAAACAAAAACCTTAAACACTTTAAATAAAAGACACACTCACAGTGTCAGAAATCTACATCGAGAAACACACTTAGACATACACACACACACCATTCATGAAAAACTCCACGGAGAAAACTAAGAAGATGGTCGATGATCATAATGATCGTATAGTCCTATGGGATTGTGGAAGTCCACTCTACGATTCCTACGAGCTCGTCTCTCTCACTCACATCATCGAACGCCATTTCATGTCTCTCCCTTCTCTCCCCGGCGCCGCTAAAGTGTGCTGTTCTCGGACGCCGTCCGATTTGGGGGCAAATGAGAATCGCGTGGCCAGCACCGTCGTGGATCTGTGCTGCTCCTCTGATTCGATGGCTGGTAAATTATTTTGCGGTGTTTTTCGGACCAAATGGTGGAAAAGAAAGAAAAACACCGATCGTGTCATCGATGGTTACGAGAAGAAGAAGAAGAAGATGTTTTGTCGGATTCTCTCTGGGATAAGGATTCCTACAACAAGATCGATCTAGTTCGCCGAAGATGTGATTCTTGTCTCCTTTCGTTATGAAAATAATAATGACTGTTGTTTCTTGATTTAATTTTTAATCCAATAACATGTAATGAGAAGTGGGATCTGTATTTTCTTTATTCATTTGATTAAACGCATATTAGTTGCATTTCAAAATATACTGAGATTATCTTCATGATGTATTGGAACATATAGGCATATAGAGTGAAATGTGGACTAACATGCAATACACGTTTAGTCGTTAAATATGACAATGGAACGGTAGAAAGTAGAAACAGTTGAACATGTCAGCACTTCGTGTTGATCATAAAACTTAAGACAATCAATGAGACGAAAAAAAAAACCTTCTACACATTTATCACCATCCTCCCAACTCCCGAGTAATGTTTTTTTTGTTCTTAATGATCATGAATCCTTTTGGTAAAATATATATAATTAATTATTTAATTTTTTCTAAAAGGAAATGATTTGAATTATCAGCGTATGAATTTTTAATATATTATTAAAAATATATATTCGAATTTAAAGGCAGACAGAAGACAAATGTGAACTTGATAGAACAAAAAACAAGTGAATAAGAAGGACAAAACATGTGAAGAAATGTGTATGTTGGCTTTGAAATGTTCATGATTGTTCTGACTTCTGACAGTGATTTAGGTCTTAAAAACTTAGTGATTTTGTAATTTGGTTAGACCTAAAAACTTGGTGATTTTGTAATTTGGTTACTTTATTTTATTTCAATGTATACATATTAAGAACTTCGCAAATGGGCTTCTTGGTTTAGAGTTCATAATGGCCCATCTTTATGATTAAACTCTGAACAAGGTTAAAAGGCTACTCTGTTAGAATTTACCTTTTTTTTTTTTTTTTGGCATAGTTTTAGTTTAGCCGTTACAACATCAAAGCTATATCAGCGAGCATCTTCAAAAGCTTGATTCCTCTTATATCCTATCATTATAACTTATGGATATAATCTATACAATTTAAGTAATATGCCAGATATATATATATATATATAGACATATTTTTGGTCAAGGAATATACCAGATATTATACAATGTAAAACAAACAAAAAACTATACACAACAAGTGAACAATAGTTATTTTAAAACAGCGAACACTTATTTAAAACACTTTTGAAACCAAAGTAAGAGCTTAAGAACTAAAAGCTAAATTATCTCCTATCATGTCTTCTTCATCATCTTCGTCTGTGGTTGGTTAATAAATAAAGATAAGATTCCACCAAAGTAAAAAGTTTGAAAAAAAAAGAAAAAAAAAAGAGAGAGTGAGATAAAAACAGTCAAAAGAAGCACACCGAGAAAAATGTGGTGAAGCTTCGGTTTTTTATTCCGCGAAGAAATCAGGAAAGCGGGCCCACCGTTGGTGGTTCGTTTGGTGTGATAATGGGTCCCATTATATGTACACATGGGCCACTTTAGTTAACGTTTGTTTGCTTTGACCTTTTTTTTTTTAATTTACGAATATATTTCCTTATTTTGTCATCTGATTTTTCTTCATTTTCTTTGTTGGTTTTAATTTTTTTTTCATCTTTTCTTTTGATTCTCTCTTTCGCCATCTTATTTTCATTTTGTTATCTTCTAATTTATGAATGCTATGCTAAGTATTTATTTTTAAAAATTATTTTGTCACATCTTTTAACAAAGGCCAAAACACTGCTTTTCTTTTTATCTCAGTGGTCGCTGACATCGAAGCTAAAAAGAAAAGCTATACATATGGTTGTTATAAAAGCAAAAGCAAAATTCTCTCTATTTATTTATTTTCTTCAATAATTTCTCAATTCTTGATCGTGTTGGTCTTTATCCATAATGCAATAAGTTGCACAATGTTCACTGTCACTGAAATGATCATATATAAAATTGTAGGAACCATGAAACAGATATACGTGTAACGTATCTTTTTTTTGTTGACATCTACGTGTAACGTATCGTAAAAAGAAAAAATATATTTTTGAAACGAACCATTTTGTATTTTACAACATTAGTTTAATAAATAGATGAAGTAGGGGAAAAAAAAAGAAAATAAGTGGTAGTAAATGTACACGTCAGCATACACCACTGACGGCAGAGAACTAGACGGAACTGAGAGTGCCGTTACGGAGTGCTCCGTTTGGTTTAAGTGTGGTTGCGTCACAGCTCAGACTCTGAGGGAATAATGAAACTAGTAGTAAACGCTCACTGTAAAAAACACAGTCGTTTTGGACGACGCCGTTTATTTCCCAAGTGATTGTTTACTCTCTGCCGTGTGAAAAGGAGCGAATTTGCAGAAACATAGCAAAACCCCAGATTTTTTTTTCTCACAACAAGACCCAAACTTCGAACTCAACGAGAACATATAACCAAAAAAGGCAAAGAGAGAGAAATATATTCACGAAATTGCTTACCTTTTGTTTTACTCCGCAGTTTCTTCTTTTAAATATTTGAGACAGCATTTTCCTCTGTCTTTTTCTCTTTGTGATTTTCCCTTCCTCTGGTTTTGGTTTTTCCCGAGAAAATCAAGCTAGAAAATAGGGGATCGAGTAGCACGAGAGAAGCTAAACCCAACCAAGAAGAAAGCTCTGAGCAAAAGGTTCAATTTTTATATTTCTTTCTTTCAAAACTGCTTCCTTTTATTCGCTGAGAACTCAGTGAGAAGTCATTCTTTCTTCTCCTTCAAATCTCAGCGTAATTTTCTTTACCAGACGTTTCCTTCTGAAGAAAAATGGCTGAGTCGACCAAAGTAAGGCTAGTTCGTTGCCCAAAGTGCGAGAATCTCTTATCAGAGCCTGAAGATTCCCCATTTTTTCAGTGCGGTGGCTGCTTCACTGTTCTTCGTGGTAAATTCGAGTTCCCCCAAAAAAAAATTCAACAATAAATGCCTAACTTTTGTAGGATTTGATGAGTGTGCTTTTGATGGAATCATTGTAGAGGAATTTCTCGTTTAGCTTACGATCTGCTTTTTGATTCAATTAAGTAGTTTCTTTTTTCTCTAAATTGTACCCTGAAGATATTTTGTTTTACATACAGCCAAAATCAAGGAGCGTCAAGTAGATTCGGTTTCAGAAAAGTCTGTGGAAGATAGAGCCAAACCAGTTTCAGTTAGCTCTAGTAGTTCCCCAGAAAAAGCAATTGTGGATTCTAGTGAAACATCATCCGACTCTGATGTTCCATCAATTTCTGCTTCTTTGAGACACCAGCAAAATATTCCAGTTGCTGTTGAGACTGATCCTTGTTCAAAGCCTAAAGCTTTTGATGCCGGTAACAGCTCTATACTGGGGGATAAAGATGACCCGAAATCTCAATCGGGGAGACAAGAATCGGGTTTGGATCGGTTTAGGAAAAGAACAACCAAGAGATGCGATTCTGATGGTGCCATCAACAGATTATCCACTTCAAAGTATCCTTGTGATGAAGGCACTTCTTCTTCTACTACTAACTACTTCCCAAGTTCACTCCATGAGTTCCAGAAACATTTAAAAGATCAGAACGATGATGCGATAGAGCATGACCGAGCTGGACTTCTGAGACAGTTGGATAAGCTCAAAGAACAGCTTGTTCAGTCTTGCAATGTGGCTTCTGACAAACCTAAAGAACAGCTTCCTAGTTCTTCGTCTTCCACGGGGTTGAATAACAGGCCGCCTCCAATGCGGTTTCACAGTTCGGGAAATCACGCCGTTGCAGGAGGTCCATCTTATTACCATCAACATCCTGAACTGCAATTTCCTTACACCAACAACAACAGCAGCAACGACCATAGTCTGATGCATCCTTCTTATGGAGAGCCTCACAGGTTCCAGATGCACGGAAGAGGTCCTCCTCCTCTGCAACCATCTCATCCGTACTTCTCGGGACAGTATGTTGGTAACCATATCAACGGTCATGATCTCTTTGACGCATACCCGCAGCAAAACGGCCATTTTCATCACTCATCTTGCTCTTGTTACCACTGTTATGATAACAAATACTGGCGAGGTTCAGCACCGGTGATCCTCCCTGATGCACCCTATAACGCAGGTTTTTATCCTCATGATAGCGTTATGGGTTTTGCTCCACCGCATAACCCTCGAACCTACGGCTCTCGTGGTCTATCGCCTCATGGAAGATGGCCTAGTAACTTCAGTGAGGCACAAATGGAGGCTCTTTCACGGGTTCGTCCTCCTAAAGTTGTGTTATCAGGTGGATCTCGACACATCCGCCCTTTGGCAGGTGGTGCTCCTTTTATAACCTGTCAAAACTGCCTTGAGCTTCTGCAATTGCCCAAGAAACCAGAAGCTGGAGCGAAGAAACAGCAGAAAGTGAGGTGTGGAGCATGCTCGTGTCTTATAGATTTATCTGTTGTCAACGACAAATTCGTTGTCTCTACAAACACAGCTTCTTCAACGAGACAAGGAGGAGCTCGTGTAGCTGCTGATTACACTTCTGATGACTATGATCTTCTTGGTTACGTGTTTCATTCCTTGGATGATGAACCAAGAGATTTTTCAACTGCTCCGGGAGTGATGTCAGACAAGTCTCAAGAAATGCAAAATGTTGATTCTCACTCCGCTAGCCTTTCCGAGGACGAGCTAAGCTCAGACAGTCTAACGGCTAAACCACTTGCTCAAGCTCAAGACTCGCCTATAAAAGAAAACTTTGTGAATTACTCTTCGATCAATCAAGACCGGTCTGGAGCGGGTAGCCGTAGCTCGCGTTCAGAACAAGACAGGGTCACATTGAGTAAGACAATGAGACAGAACTCCATGAAAGAGGTGTCGCTTGCAAGTGAGATGGAAGTTTCCTTCAATGACTACTCCCATCACAACAGTGGAATATCAAAAGATCATCAGCAGCAAAGATCCAAGAAGAACGGATTCGCTAGCATCGTGAAGAAAAGCTTCAAGGATCTGACAAAATCTATTCAGAACGAGGAAGGGAACAAAAGCAACGTTACGATAAATGGGCATCCTTTAACGGAACGCCAGCTGAGAAAAGCAGAGAAGCAAGCCGGAGCTATTCAGCCAGGGAACTACTGGTAAAACACTGAGAATTCGATTCCCAAGTCTCTTTTTTTTTTTGGATGATCATCTTCTTCTTCATAATGACAGTCTGTGTTGTTAATGTGTTGGTTATAGGTATGATTACAGAGCTGGATTCTGGGGAGTAATGGGAGGTCCAGGTCTAGGAATATTACCGGTAAGCAAACACGTTTTGATGATTTTGCTTTCTTGTCAATATGAAAAAGGAAATTGTCTCATTTGTGGTTTGTTGATGTTGTTGTTTGCAGCCATTCATAGAAGAGTTGAATTACGCGATGCCAGAGAAGTGCGCAGGTGGAACCACGGGAGTGTTTGTGAACGGAAGAGAGCTTCACCGTAAAGATTTGGAGTTGCTTGCGGGGAGAGGTCTTCCTCCAGACAGAGATAGATCCTACATTGTCGACATTACAGGTAGAGTCATCGATGAAGATACCGGTGAAGAACTCGATTGCCTCGGGAAACTCGCCCCGACGTAAGCTCTCGCTCTCTTTTGCCTCATCATCATCATCATCATCATCATCTTCTTTGTTTTGTTCACAAACAAACAAAATTTATGTGTTCGTGGTTTGTTGTTGTTGGTGCAGGATTGAGAAGTTGAAGCGTGGGTTTGGGATGAGACTTCCAAAGAGAGCTGCATGAAGGAAGATCTGGAGAGAGAGAGATGTTGTTATCCCCACCGAATCATTCTAGTATAGTATTAAAAAAAAAGGGAAATTTCGTTTTTTTAATATGAACTATATATAACATTTTGAAAAATCTCTTAGCATATCAGCTATTTTCAGCTATATATATTGATCAGTTAGAATTGAACCATATGTGAGTTAAACAAAATTGAAACAAAGAATGAAGACACAAAATCATGAGCATTCAAAAGTGAAACCCATTCTTCAACATAAGATCATCAGACCTTGAGAGTATTTTAAACAAAAAGAAAATTTATATTTAAATAGAATTTAATTATTTCATTAAAATTTAATCTAAAGAGAAATATTGAACCATTTAAAAACCATATCTCATTATCTGTCTTCCTTTGATTACTCGTTTAAGGTAATTTCTAGTGAAAAATGATAAACCTGGGTTTTGAACCAAATATATTACATTAATCTCGATTGTTAATTAGGCCAACTTGGGCCTTGGACCTAATATTAGGTTAGTGCATAGAAATCAAATAAAAAAACATGGTTTTGGTTTATCTCCCATTTAGCTTTTAAGTAGATCAAACAAAATTAACTCACTTTCTGGTTTTGGTCCAAATTCTTCACAAATAGAAACATGGCTCAGTGGTTAAGCCGTTAACGTACATTCCTAGTAAATTAAACAGCTACTACTATTTATAGCTTATACAACCAGTACACTCACGTGGATGATGGTTCAGCCATGAACCTGTCCTAAAGGAGTACTAGATGTCTAGAACTTGGACACTCAATAATATACTATGCACAACTCTTCTGCTATATACATTCCAACGGATAAAAAAGGAAAATACAGTACAAGAAGCCAATAAGTTCGTTACATAATCAATTTCTCTTACCAATGTTGCTTACGATCCTATGGTTTGAGGAAGAATAATCAGTACCGACCCATAACTCATGTGCTGTCCTGAGCAGCCATTCTTTCGCAAACACTGGACAGAGATTTGAGATTGCATTGTATAAGAGCTTCCACGAAGTAACAAGTCTCGTCTTTGGTGTTCCCTTCTGGTACATCCACCACGAATGACTCGATTACCATTGTGCCAGCTCTTCCATCAATTATCTCTGGATGTACTGTAACAACTGATGAGTAGTTCTGCAGGGAACAATAGATGAATCCAGTTAGTAAACGTGATTAGCTGCCCATATCGACTCTACGTTTGCCTCTTGATACAAGATTTCCCATTTGAAGGTTTACTAGATCCATAAAAAACATGGATCAAGAGGTTTAGTCCATTGAAAGATGCCAAAGACTAGTTGATTGGGCACATAAGGCACTGGGACTATAACTGTGATCAACTCAAAGTGTAGTCATTGAAAGATGCTAAAGGCAGCTAATTGGACACATAGAACTAGCTGTATCAAAACAATGATCAAGTCAAAGTGTTGTTCATTGAAAGAGGCCCAAATGCTAGGTAATTGGAGGATTTGGGGTTCGAAGCAAAACCCATTACGAGTTTGGTTAACAAAACCAAAATCCAACAGCAAAACAAATTAGAAGCCTTTGGTAGCTCACTGAAAGATGCTAAAGGTAACTACTAGCGCACAAGTTAGTCACGGCGTATGAGTGGTTTTTGCAATTGAGCAGACAATTTGTTGAACATGGAAAATCTGATGTGTAGAATAGATTTCCAGAAGGGGAAAAACCTTAAGCCTGTGATCACCACCGACGATTTTGATACCAAGAATGTGCTCATTATCGTCCAATTGCTCCAGTCTCTCGGTGCTTGTGGTAGCTGGGAGGCCAGATTTAACGTCTACCTCTCGAACACTGCCGATTCCAAAATCACCATTCATCACACATCTACTGACAAAGGGCTTGTACTTCTGTGGCTGATCAAATCTCCTCACCAGAGACCAAACCTGGCAACATTTAAATCAAAATCAGTTCGAATTTCGAAATCCTTCGTGTTTAGACGCGTAACATAAACAGATTAAGCGATAATTCCACGAATCGAGCTTATATGTGTATTCCCTAATCCCAGAACAATTTGGATCTGATTTGCACGAAAAAACAACCATCAATCAAAGCCATCAAAATCGTAAGAACTGATATCAAAGAGACTGCGAAATCCAATCGCATCAATCCATAAGAAAACGAATCGATCCAGTGATAGAACCAGAGACTTACGAGATGAACAGGCGCTTTGATATGCTTAACGAGGACAGAAGAACACTGATTCTCCTTTGGATCGTGTCTATGGTTCAAACGAACCTGAAAAAACTCCGTCGCACCACCGGAAACGCCTCCGCCTCCACCTCCGGCGTCCATCGTCAGATTCATATTTCAGATCGATGATACCCGTTTCTAGAAAATGTTAGCTGCTTCTTTTTTTTTCCTTCTGAGCAAACTCTTTGTATCACGGAAAGAAAATGAAATGGAGAATATAAAAGATTCGATGATTCGAGAGACTTGACGAAGAGATTTGAGATAAGGATGGGTTCCAAGTTGCAGAGGGTTTGGTGCAATGTACAGGGGAATTAGCGTCAGCTTCATATTCCCTCTATTTTGTATTTTTTTAAAGAAATCATTACTAAAAGAAAATTTGTATGGAATCCCATTTATAGTTTGTCCGCATATTCGATTTTTTTTTTTTTTTTGGTGTGAAACAAATCTTCGGAAACTCAATATTATGGTCCATATTTCTGCCTATTTTTAGTCCAGGTGAGTTAGGTAAGTGTTCTTTACTAGTGTTTGCCCCTTTTTTTTTATTGTTTAGTGTTCATATGCGATGTACATTCGTCTTTTTTTAAATTGCACATCATTTTCAGAAGTATTTATAAGATTTATCCAGTGTACGCCTAACTTTCTTTCAACTTAATTACATTGTTGACTGTTTCAGTTTAAAGCTTTATAAATTTGTCGCTATCATCTTAAAGATTCCAATCTAGAGTTTTCCCCTTTCAGATGCAATTATCTTCTATATTCTTAAATGATACTCCCTCTGTTTTATTATAGTTGATTTTTTGAATATTTACACACAGATTAAAAAAACTATAAATGTTCAATTATTTGCTGTTTATTTTGTTTAATTACGTTACTTTTACAACTAATTTTATTACTTTTATTAGTATTACTGGTTTTTACTTCAACCTGGGCTTTTCATCTCCTCTCTTTTAATTAATGCTTACAATTAATAAGTTTTGTAAAGCAACATGCATTAATATGATTCATTCAACTTAAAAAAAAGATGTGCATTAATTAGATGTAGGAAATCAAATATTATGAAACAAGAAAAAAAACCTAAAAAATCAACTAGGGAGTACTACATTTTAGTTGAGTGTGACATCATGATCTATTTCAAAGTAGGCTTAAGCAATGAAAAGAAAGACATCATGATCTTATTTCAAATCTTCATCGACCATTTGATTTAAACCTTTTTTTTCTTCTTTTAAAAAAATAGAAGTAGAGCGTTTGCAAAAAAAAAAAAAAAAAGAAGTAGAGCATGGCAGTAGTCAGTAGACCTATAGGGCTAAGTTTTTCAGTGTGAATGTTTTGGAGAAACATAAGCCCAAGAGGTAGAAAAGCCCATGACTATAATGAAACCGAGGGGTATTATGAGTACACGTGTCGAGTGGTGAAAACTGACAAGGTAGTTTTCCGTTTCTCTCTGGCAGAACATTGACCCCAAAATTAGAAAAAAGAAAATAAAAAAGTAATATTTGTTTTTTAAGTAAAAACAAAAGGAAAATTGAAAACCGGCGGGAAACAAAAAGGCGGCTTCCTGCCACCACCTGGGGCACGATATGTGGAGGTTACTGACGCTCTTTGCTTCATGCAACCGAACATTTGGCTCGTCATGGTCGTTTTCCTCTCTTGTGCCAGAATTACCTTTTTACCCTTTCTCCCTCCGTGTTCAAAAAGATATTTTCATCTAATGAAGCACGCTTCCGATTTGATAATGACGGAAATACCCTCGTCCTCTGCGTTTAATTTGAATTACATTGCCGTATGGGAATTTTTTTTTTGTTTCTTTCACACTCCATCGGTTTTGTTAGATCTTTGGGATTTGACTTAAATTTTAGAAGAAAAGAAATCGAGGAAACTTGTTGAGTATAAAGTCGCGAATATACGAATTCAATCGAGAGAATTTAGTTTTTTCTTTTTCTTTTTTCATAACTACATTTACCAAAATGTTCTCGCTAATTAAGCAAAAGAACGGCTAACTACTCTCCAACCACCACGGTTTTTCCGATCTGTAAATAAAAGACCACGACGAGGGCATTTACGTCCTACTTGGCTTTTTTTCTCCCTCCATCTATCCACGTGACTTGATTCTCGTCTCTCTCCTCTTTCATTTTTTCACATATATATAAATCGGCTTGCATCTACATCTGTGAAAGAGAGAGACGGAGAGAGAGAGAGATTCATGAATCTTTTACAGAACAAGAACAAGTTTCAGAATCTGGTCTGACTCTTTGTAACCTTTCCCGTTTAAGATTCATCGCACGTATTTAAATCTCCATTTCTCTGCCATTATTGGATTCTCCGCCTCTTTTTTTTTCTTCCTCTGAATCAATTATCAAAGATTTGTTCGATTTCGTCTCCTCCAAAGAATGGCGACTTTCTTAATCTCGATGATTTGATGGTGATATAATTCCGCTGATCCCGACGTTTCAGAAAGGCTGTTTTGATCCACCATTGTTGTTTGCCATTGATCGATCAAACACCAAGAATAAGGTAACGCATCTCGAGGCTCGTGTTTTTCAATCTCTGTTTTGTTTCTTCCAAATTATTCTCGTGAAAATCCGTCAAATCTCCGTATATTAATGAACAAACGCATATCATATCTGCTTTTGTTCTGTTTTCTTTTTTAAAAACTTCAAACAAAAAGTTTCCATTTTCTTCGGTTTTTTAAATAATTTCGGTGCTCGAATAAATGAAAAGCTTTCCAGGTAATTTTCGTCGTAGTTTTCTTTTTTTCTTTTAAACATCTTCTTCGTAGTTCATAAAATATTATAACAAGCCAAACAAAAAAAATGTCGACAAAACACTACTATTTGAAATAGAAAAACAATTAGACAAAACGTTCTTTTCTTTTCTCGATCTTTATTGTTGGGGATGATAATACGATGAGCACATCGTACGTGGCGCACGTGGAAGCACCTCTGTACGACGGACCCAGTCCAACTATTAACAGATTCGAACCCCACTAAACTAGTCACATACGAGAGACATAAGCTATGGTTGTTGTTATTAGTTGGTTCGTAGGTATATTTTGTGGAATTAATGACGTGTCACTTCTTTTAATACCTGCCTTAAATCGGTCCACAATAACACACATTCCATCTGTATGTGCCAACAGTTGACCCTGGTCAAACTAATTATAACGTTTCATTATCTAACGCCCAATTAAATCGTTACATTGTGTTCCGCATATGTAGAGTATGAAATAGTTAAGATTTTCTACTACTTTTTTTTGTTAATGAAAAGACCAAAAAAAACTGGGGTATATAAGAACGGCTAGACAATTTAAGGTTGTTATTTTCCCTTTCTATTTTTGTTTGATTTTCTTATAATTAGGACGATATTTTCCTTCTTTTTCAGTAATTGGGATTATTGTCTTCATTGCTAAAGTTGGAGTTTTGTTCATAAAGAATGGCGTTTAATGCGGCTATGGCGTCTACATCTCCAGCGGCGGCGGCGAACGACGTTTTCAAAGAACATTTTGGACTCCGTAGATCGTTATCCAGTCAAGATCTCGTCGTGAAATGCGGTGGTATACGGAGATCAAGTTCCGACAATCACTTGTGTTGTAACTCCGGTAATAACAACCGAGTTCGTGCTGTGTCTGTACGTCCTGGTCCGGGAATGAAAAACAGCCGATCTGTAGGAGTGTTCTCGTTTCAGATTTCGAGCTCCATAATCCCGAATCCGATAAAATCATTGCTATTTGAAACGGACACGTCTCAGGAAGAGAAAGAGAGTGACGAGGTTGAGAACGAGCCGACTTTAGATGGAGCCAAGAAAGCGAATTGGGTCGAGAGGTTGCTTGAGATAAGGAGACAGTGGAGGAAAGAGCAAAGAACAGATAGTGGAAATGGTGATGTTGTTGCAGAGGAAAATGTAAACGTTACGTGTGGTTGCGAAGATGGAGAAGGTTGCGTCGCGGATTACGGATCTGAAAACGGTGATTGGGAACGCGAATCGTTTTCAGAATTGCTCGTTAAGGTTTCTTGGTCAGATGCTAAACAGCTGTCTCAGTTAGCTTATTTATGTAACGTGGCTTACACGATACCTGAGATCAAGGGTGAGACTTTGAGAAAAAACTACGGGTTAAAGTTTGTCACATCTTCATTAGAAAAGAAAGCTAAAGCAGCGATTCTTAGAGAGAAACTCGAGCAAGATTCGACCAGGGTCCCTGTTATAACATCCCTTGAATCAGAATCCGAGAAGCCTCAACAACGATCATCTTCATCTTCTGCTTCTGCTTACAAGATTGCTGCTTCGGCCGCATCGTACATTCACTCGTGTAAAGAGTATGATCTTTCGGAACCTAATAACATGGTTTATAAATCAGCAGCTGCGGCTCAAGCTGCAGCGTCTACGATGACCGCAGTGGTTGCTGCGGGTGAGGAGGAGAAGCAGGAAGCGGCGAGGGAGTTGCAGTCGCTACAGTCCTCTCCTTGTGACTGGTTTGTGTGTGACGATCCCAACACATACACTAGATGCTTTGTGATTCAGGTAAAAATGCTTTTAAGGTCGTAACCATAAGAAAATCCTCTGTTTTCTCAAATCATGATCTCCTTAATGTGGTCACTGATGCTATAATTTTCTCCAGGGTTCTGATTCTTTAGCTTCTTGGAAAGCAAACCTCTTCTTCGAACCAACTAGGTTTGAGGTAAAGATAGTGAACTATGTTAGGAGTGGACATTTGGTTTGGTTCAATTCGGTTATTTCTGTTGGGTTTTTACTGAGAAGTCTTCGTATATTAATATGGACGGTCATTACAGGATACAGATGTATTAGTCCACAGAGGAATTTACGAGGCAGCAAAAGGGATATACGAACAGTTCTTACCCGAAATAACTGAGCATTTGTCTCGACATGGCGATAGAGCTAAGTTTCAGTTTACGGGTCATTCTCTTGGAGGCAGTCTCTCGTTAATAGTGAATCTGATGCTGCTCAGTAGAGGACTCGTTAGCTCTGAAGCTATGAAACCTGTGGTCACGTTCGGTTCACCGTTTGTGTTTTGCGGCGGTGAGAAGATTCTGGAGGAGCTTGGTCTTGACGAGAGTCATGTTCACTGTGTGATGATGCATAGAGACATTGTCCCACGAGCCTTCTCATGCAATTACCCTGACCATGTTGCTCTCGTCCTCAAGCGCTTGAACGGGTCATTCCGTACACATCCTTGCCTCAACAAAAACGTAAGTAATCACTGCTTTTTCGTTTGAGTTATTTATAGCCTTTTTTTGTGAAGCTTTTGAAAATTTTCAAACACAAAAGCAACAAATTGAATAATTTTGATTGGGTTTACGTCGTTTAAAAATGCTTGATAAGAAACAAAATTTCGATTTTCTAACTATATAATAGCTAATAAACGCAAACACAAATATTCACGTTTGCTTTAACAAAAAAAAATATTCGCGTTTAAAACACAAATTATTGCGTTTATTTCGAAAACACAACATTTTTTAGTCTTTCTAATTTTTTCTTTTATTTTTTATTAATATTTCTTTTCATTTCATTAACGTGATAATAATGTTGTTTGTGTGCTATTCATTTCAAAGATATTTAGTTAAATGTTGTATTATGAATTAAAGATATACACAAAATTTCGAACTAATTAGTTTACTACAAAAAACTTTATATACAAGCATTAGACCAATTGTTTCTAACGTAGATCGGGATCTTCTATATATATGCATGAGACTAATAAATTCGAAAATTGGCCTTTGAACTAATCACATCGCATGTGCAAAGGAACTTTCTTTGTCTTATATATATATATATCTTATATATATATATATATATATATAAAATAAGGGAAATACGGGTAATAAAAGGGCTGTATGTTTTGTTTTTTTTTTTGCAGAAACTGTTGTATTCACCGATGGGGAAAGTATTTATTCTACAGCCGAGTGAGAGTGTTTCGCCGACGCACCCTTGGCTACCACCGGGAAACGCTCTCTACGTATTAGACAAGAGCAACGAGGGTTACTCTCCCACGGCGTTGCGTGGGTTTCTAAACCGGCCACACCCGCTCGAGACGCTGAGTCAACGCGCGGCTTATGGCTCGGAAGGTTCGGTCTTGAGAGACCACGACTCCAAAAACTACGTCAAAGCCGTGAACGGAGTTATCCGGCAGCACACGAAGCTCATCGTTAGGAAAGTCAGGAGAGAGAGGAGGGCTACTGTTTGGCCGGTGCTGACGTCAGCAGAACGGAACTCTTGGATCAACGACGGGAGCCTGACGGCGACAGAGGAGATCATGACACGTGTCTAGTAAGGGGGAAAATTTGACGGTCGATGCCTCCTTTTGAGGTGTGTATATAAATGGAATCTCTTCTGATTATGCGTTTATTTTTCGTTAAGAGTTGTGGTGACCCGAAACGAGTTAATAAAAATGTTGTAAAGACGTAAATAACTTTTTCCGTTAGCAAAATATTAATCGAAAGCTATATATGGCATGGAAGCAACTTCTTTGAATAACATGTAAATCAGATATATTAAAAATTCAGATGAATCGGTTATCAATTTTTTTCTTGTCAATATTGTTGCCTACTGGATGAGTTATTTTTACTCCAAATCCATAGACCATTTGTTTTCGGTGGATCAACTAAGTAATATATTCATGGGCCTGTCAATAAGAAAGAGCTAGGCCGAATACTAAATTTGAATTTTTTGCTGGGCCATTGAATAATCTAGGCGTGTTTATCGGAGAAAAAAATGAAAATTTTAATAATCTTCACCATGTTCATATTTTCATTGATTACGAAACACATTTCATTAGTCATAAAAACGTAGAATAAGATTTGTTTTCTAGGAGCCGAAAGCGACACGTGTTCTCTTACAAACATATACATCAAATTAAATCAACAAAGAGGTCGATAAATTCACTTCAATGTCTTTTATTGAATGGTTTCATTTCATCCATAGGAATTTAGTGAGCACGTGGAATATTTACAAACTCAAAATAGAAATACGTAGCATTTACTTCTATCATTTTAATTATGTTTATTATTACTAATGAAAATTGAATTTATCATTGTGTGTGTGACTCTATGATATAATTGGGATAATTAAAAATCTGTAATAAATGTTAATAGGCTAGTTCTATTTTGAAAAAGTACAGAAACGCCCCTGAGAGGCTGAGATTTCCCCGGAATTGCCTATCCCCCGTCACCAAACACTCCCACATTTTCCTCCCTCTCCCAGAAAAAGAGAGATAGCAGAAAAATAAAAAAAGAGAGAAAGGAATATCAGCAGAGAAGGGAGAAGATAAAAAAAAAAAAGCAAAATAGAAAATAAAAAAACCTAATCAATATATACATCTTCATCATGTCTTCTTCATCATCTTCTTCCGCACGATTTCAGTCCGCCAGTGTAACCCTGATCAATCTCGCATTTGCCTCTCGATTCGTCGATACTGCTAGATTTTCTCTCGATTTATCCTAGGGTTCTTCTTGATTTCCGCCTATCTGTTTTTAGAATCTAACTTCCGTTCTCTTCGTTTCTCCTAGGGGTTTCTTCTTCTCCTGGTTATTCCTCCTTGTTCAATTCGGTTTCCCTCACTGCGATTTATCATTTTGCCCAATTTTTCTGTGCCTGAGTCGTACAAAATCGATTAGATTCTTACAATTTCATTTTATAGTTAGATAATCTGCGCAGATCGAAGGTTATTTTGGCTCGTAGTCATTAGATTTATTCCATTAGCGTGACTTTGAAGCCGTGGAAGATAGAGAATCCAATGGTTGCTTAATAGCAGCCGCAGAATCAACCGTAACGGTTGGGCGAAGTCTATTGATTAGATTAGAGGGTGTGCTCAGAGGTGTCGTTGTGTACAGAGTCTGTGACTGCGACGGGAGAGATTTGCATGGGTGAGCATGAATCATGGGCGGCTTCTCCGCCGTCACCCAGTGGCTTATTTCCGAACGGGCTATTGCCAGGCAAGGCTGCATCTGTGACACGGCCGCTCGATGCGGAGCGATGGGCCAAGGCGGAGGATAGAACCGCTAAGCTCATTGCTTGCATCCAGCCAAATCCTCCTTCCGAAGATCGCCGAAATGCTGTTGCCAGATACGTGCGGAGGCTTATCATGGAATGCTTCCCTCGTCAGGTTGAGGTGGGTTTTCTTTTGCAGCTGTGGTTGCAATGACTCGGATTGTGTTTCGGCTTTGATTCGAAAAGCGTCGGAACTTTTTGTTTTTCTCTCTAATGCGTAGTGCTGATAGAGGCATATGGAATGTAAATTACTTGTTTGCGGTTTGCTCCTATTATCAAGAGAACTTGGAGATTTGCACTTTTTGTTTTCCTGAGCAAATGTGTTTTTAATTCATATCTGATACTTGACTTTAATTATCACTATTCATGTCTACCAGATCTTTACTTTTGGATCTGTACCATTGAAGACTTATTTGCCTGATGGAGATATTGACTTAACGGCCTTCAGTACCAACCAAAATATGAAGGATTCCTGGGCTAATTTGGTTCGTGATATGCTGGAAAAGGAAGAAAAGAATGAAAATGCTGAATTCCATGTCAAAGAAGTCCAGTATATTCAGGCAGAAGTATGCCCCCTTTTGATCCTAATCATTTTGCTTCTTTAATCTCCTTTTATATTCTTGGAGGTATAGATGAGTCGCTTGACATACTCGATTGTGTATTAAGTTTTTGCCGGTATGATGTTTCAGGTAAAGATAATTAAGTGTCTGGTGGAGAATATTGTGGTGGATATATCTTTCAATCAGATTGGTGGGCTGTGTACACTATGCTTCCTTGAGGAGGTTGGCTGCCCACCAAAGAGAACATTCCACTTGCTTTCTCTGTCTGAGTTTGGCAGATTCTTTAATCTCTAAACCTTTATTTTGTTATATATGCAGGTTGATCAGTTTATAAACCAGAACCATTTATTCAAGCGTAGTATCATATTGATTAAGGCCTGGTGTTATTACGAGAGCCGTATATTGGGAGCTCACCACGGGCTTATTTCAACATATGCCCTGGAAACCTTGGTTCTTTACATATTTCATGTTTTCAACAACTCATTTTCTGGACCCCTCGAGGTAGTGACTTTCTGAAACTACCTTTATTCTATCAAGAAACCTTTTTCAACTCGTCTGACTGGATTGCTTGCAATTGTAGGTTCTCTATCGTTTTCTTGAGTTCTTTAGTAAGTTTGACTGGCAGAATTTTTGTATTAGCCTCTGGGGCCCTGTTCCAGTTAGTTCACTACCAGATGTAACAGGTATTTACGAACTCCTGTCCATCTCACCTTTGTGCATCTAACTGTCTTTAGGACTGATTGTCTTGCTGTGCAATGGTTGACAGCGGAGCCTCCTCGAAAAGATGTTGGAGAGTTACGATACAGCGAAGAGTTTCTTAAAAAGTGCAGTAGAGTTTATGCAGTTAATCCTGTTTCTCAAGAGACACAGGGGCAGCCTTTTGTTTCCAAACATTTCAATGTTATAGACCCTTTGCGTGAAAACAACAACCTTGGACGCAGTGTCAGTAAAGGTACTGCCTATTTCAGATTTTTTTTTTGTTTTGTTTTTGTTTGTTTATAATCCGTACTTTTGAGCGCTAATCTGCAATTTGCATACTGTTGAAGTTGTTCTTTTTTTTTTTTTATACCATATGGAGCTAGAAGATGCACAAACATGTTGATATGCTGACATGCGTGGATTATGTTTTTGCTGTTTATTGTTGGGGCAGGTAACTTCTTTAGGATACGAAGTGCATTTACACTTGGTGCCAAGAAGTTGGCTAGGTTACTTGAATGCCCTAAGGAGAATTTGATCCATGAAGTTAACCAATTTTTTATGAACACATGGGAAAGACATGGGAGTGGTCGTCGTCCTGATGCTCCTGGAAATGACATATGGCTATCAAGACTGGGAGATCCTGAGCCTTCTCATCAAACTGAAAATGTTAGTAATTCTTCAAGCAGCAAAAGAAACCAAAATTCCGCCCGTCGTGGTGGGGTTCAAGGAGCTCGCAGTATGCCCTCTCAACAGAAAAACTCTGGAACAGAAGTTATATCTAGCGCAACATATCAAACCCAAAAAAGTTGTGGCAACTCTTACCAACCTGCTCAAGAAGTCCGTTCTAATCAAAATGCTTCAAATGATAAACTTCAGGAAACTGTTAAGCCAGAAATCATGGTGAATAATTTTCAGGGAAGGCATCTCTTTGCCAGGACGCGGTCAAGCCCTGAGCTTACGGAGACATATGGTGAGCCTCTTTTGCAATCAAGGCGTAGTAGAGCCCCAGAAGCTGGAAAACGCCAAACTAATTCTATGAGGTCTGATAATATCAGGAAAAAGAATCTAGAGTCTGAAAGTTTGTCAAGCAATATCAGACATGCAGCTGACTCATCGTCAGTTAGGCATACACCATCCCCTCGAAGTCCTGATAGTACTGCTGACATGAGCAGTGCAGTGAACAGTTATTATGATGATTTAGGTTCAGTTTCCGTAAATGAAGACTTAGGGGAACCGGGAATGCAACAGGAAGAGCAAGATCTTGTTAACTCGATGACATCTGTTGCCAGGCAAGGTTTTAATGGACACTTCCATTTCCCTTTAAATTTTTCTACGGGCCATTTTCCATTTCCAATTACACCTTCCATCTTAGCTTCAATGGGATATGATCAGAGGAACGTGCCTGGTATTGTTCCTTCTAATCTTCCTTTCATTGAGACACCTTGGAGTACTAATGTGCAATTTCCGCAAAACTTTGCTTCTTCACCATATACACATTACTTTCCCAGTGGATCCCATCCAATTTCAGAAAAGCTGAGCAAAGCTGGTAACGAAGACATGGGGTCTCCAGAAGTGAACGTTGACGAGTCTGACCATGATCTCTGGCACGATCAAGAAAGGGGAACTCATAGTTTTGGACTTGAAAATGGTGGGTATGGAATGCATCAGGCCATTGATAAACATCAGTCATCTATTGCAGAGCACAGTTTTGTACCCTCAAGTCGTAAATTACGGTCAACAAGGGGAGATGATGTAGAAAATTCCCACTCTCCAGTCAGAGGCAGTCAGATTAATAGTGAGGAGAGAAATGCAGGCTCTAGATCCGTTTCTTGTGCTAGTTCCGTTAGAAGCAGGACTTCATCTGAAAGCTCTTGGGATGGATCAACTACAAGGGGCTCAAAGCCAGCTAGGGATAAACGGAATAGGAAAGTAGTTTCTGGGGCTACGTCTGCACTGTATGGAAAAGGGAAGAGTGTTCCTGAGCACACGATCCAGGTTGAAGATGATAACAGAGAATGGATTTCCGTATCAAGCAATGAAATAACAGAAAGAGATCTGGGCCCTCGGCCTACTGTTGCTTCATTTCAACTTCAGAGGCATCAAATACATGGTCATGAACTAGCTCAGGCAAGTGGATCAGAGTCCACAATGTCTCTTGCTCCATTTATCCTTGGCCATGGCATGCAACAAAACGAGGTTGATAGTTCTGGATATACTTTTTATCCCACTGGGCCACCTGTTCCGATCGTTGCAATGCTTCCAATGTACAACTATCAAGCTGGTGGTAATGCCGCATCAGATACTTCGGCAAGCCACCTCAGTGTGGATGAAGGAGTAGAGATTCATGATCCTTGTAAAAGTTTTGACTTCAGGGGACTTGATCAGTCTGATATAGTTGTTTCTTCCCGCTCCACCAAAGTTGGCGCTTCTGTAGAACCAACGGAGCATAAAAATGATATTCTCAATGGTGATTTTAAAAGCCATTGGCAAAATTTGCAGTATGGCCGCTCTTGCCAGAATTCTCAACATCCGCCGGTGTTGTATCCTGCTCCTGTTGTAGTGCCACCTGCTTATCTACAGGGGCGCTTACCATGGGATGGTCCGGGAAGACCTCTTGCTTACACAAATGTCGTGAATCAGCTCATGACCTACGGACCTCGACTTGTACCCGTTGCTCCCGTACAACCTGTGTCTACCAGGCCACCTAACATTTACCCTCGTTATGCTAATGAAACTCCCAGATATCGAAGTGGGACGGGCACCTATTTTCCTAATCCTGTAAGAACTGAATACTTTCCTTGAATTTCCATTATACTTGCGTGCATGCTTTGGTCGATCAAGGTACAACCTTCATTGTGTTGTCTGGTCTTGTGATGTGATGATCTCTGTCCAGTGGTCTCGTGAAATTTCTACAACTTGAGCTACTTCCTAAGGCATGAAAGAGGAACTTTTGCCTTATTTTATTATTGATAAAATGTTTCAGGACTTTGGCCTATGGGTCTTGAATGAATTTACAGGATGATCTGTCTGCTTACTCTACTTGCATACAAGTCCGCTACTTTGAGAGCTTTAGTCATATTTCAGGCTATGCTTCTGGGTCTTTTCCGTTCTATCTTTATCCGCCCCCTGCTTGTTATATGCTCTGCTTATACTGATGGAGCATTGCTATCTCCTCCTTTGTTGATTCTATCCTGTGTTTCGTTTGTTTGTATCTTTTGATATAAAACTCATGAGGTTTTGGTTTGTCACACTGCTCTAAACTTGTGTTGAATTTGTTGCAGAAGATTTCCCCTAGGGAGCAGCGGCCTACATCTGGCATGAGGCGAGGGAATTATGGGCATGACAGAAACGAGCATCACAGCGATAGAGAAGGGAATTGGAATGTTGGTACAAAGACACGGGGTTCTGTACGTGGCCACAACAATCGTAACCAAGCTGATAACAAGCCAAGCTCAAGGCAAGACCGATCTGATAGGCATTGGGGGTCGTCGTATAGGCATGAATCGTCCTCGTATTCATCTCATCATTCTCAAAACGGTCCTATTCGCTCAAATAATTCACAAGATTCTCCTGGAAACGTTGCTTATGGCATGTACCGACTGCCACCGGGCATGAGGCAGAGCAGTGTGACTTCTTCAGAGGGACACAACGCTCCATCTGTCATGATGTTTTATCCATACGATCATAGTACTGTTTACAACTCACCAACTGAACTTCCTGAGTTTGGGTCTCTTGGACCTGTGGGTGAAGCGCCACATCTAAATGACGGAAGCTTGTCTGCTGGTGGGGCATTCGAAGATCAGCCGAGGTATCGTGGTACTGCTGCTTCTGCTCATATGTCTTCACCTGATGATCCTTCCTCGCCTCGCTTCCCCAGGTAAGTTTGGTACTGTAGACTTCCAGACCAATTTAGGTTTCTGGGAAACAACATTCTTGATCAGATTTTTCTCTTGGTTTACATCAAACAGGGGAAAGTAACATCAATGCTTTAGCTGGAATAAACCCAAGAACTGGTAGAAAACATTACGATCACACCACCAGGATGTTTGTGAAGCCGTGGAAAGAAGAGTCAAGACAGGACTTGATCAACCTCAGACCAATCTGGAATTTTGCTCTTAAGCGACAAAGAAAGAAACCATGTCATGAGGAATCGGTAAGCATCACTCATCGATCCAAGCTAGTTCAGAAAACGCAGCGATACAAACAAGCTGGTCAAGATAAAGCAGGACTCTTTCTTAGACGAATTACGGTTTAGGTAACTTTTTTTTCTCCTTTTTATCACTCTTTCCTTAGAATTTCTCTCCATTAGAAAATGTAGCCTTTTTGCCCACATAGAGAAACTAATAGTATTCTGGGCTTATCGTCAATCATGTTTCTATATTCAAGAAATAATTTCTTAACTTTTTTAGGAAAAGAAATTCGTACACTTTTAGCTCCTTGTAGTTATATTTTGATGATCTTATATATTTTTGAGAAGTGATTTTTGCTAAGATTTAATTTGAGGATGGTTGATTACCAAACTACATAAAAAAAAAACGAATTGAGCAAAAAAAAAAGGGACAGAATGATGAAATAATGATAATAATAATAAGTGTACAATATGTTTCCATTGTGAAGAAGAGGATCAAATTTCATGTTTTGCCATAATTGATGAGTTTTGTTTAAACCGCATTTTCTCTCTTTCTATCTTCTGTGATGGAGAAAGCGATTTAGTTACATACAGTTTTTAAACAATCTCAATCCTTGAAAATTGGCACTCCCAAGAATTCTTAAGCGAAGAACATTTTCAGATTTTAATTGGAAATTAACCAGTGTAATTCAAATTGAAGGCGGGCATCAATAAACAAATGAACATAGTTGATATTCTGTTAGCGAGGCGGTGTTGGCAATTTTTTTTCAAAATTATTAGTTATGTATCTGGTTGTATTCTTATATCTATTGTGTTTATATTTTATATAAATATAAACAAAATAAATGTTAAAAAAAATACTATATAGTGATGGAAAATCAATAATAAGTTTGGATTTAAATTGATTTGAGTAAATAATGCAATTTAAGCCCAATACGTTTTTCTGTGGAATATAAGTCTAATCTTTTTTTTTTATACCGCTCGAGGAGGAAAAAGCTATAACTAAATAAATTCTGTGGAAACAATAATCTCAGAGCCGATCAGGGTTTATAGCAATTTGAGAGACGAGGAAAGGAAGAGAGGTCAGGAACGAAGTAAGTAGAAATCGCGAAAGCAGATATCGTTCCGGAAAATATGCTGCATGGTATCATACATTCCTCCTCTAAGGTAATTTTTGTTCATCTCTAAATTTCACATACAATGCATTTTTCGTTGACGATGATATGCATTACACACATATAATGAGAGATTTGGGATTGTTGATGATCTGATTTCCTTTAACCTTTTGTAATTCTACTATTAATGTATAAACAACATTAGATTGTTTGATGATATGATTTGTTTTTGACTCGATTCTTACTTTCCATATAAAACATATTCAAGATCTGTTCTCGGGCTGGATCTCTCAATAGTTGGTGTTGTTTTGCTTTGCTTATGTTTGAGGCAATTACTGGGCTTAGTGTCGACATATGTTTGGGGCATTGATGTGCGTAATTTGGATCTGGCCTCTGAGACCCATCAAAAATTGTTGAAGGACTCACTTTCCATGCTTGTTTATGATTAACAAATCACTGTGGAAAATGATTACCTTTTTTAGCATTCTATATTGTATTAGTTAGGTTTTAGTGTGAAGAGATAAACTATTTGGCCTATGGCTAATTTTTATTGTTTTGTTTTTTGTTATTTAGGTTTATCTTTGGGTTTAAGATAATATTAACCAACAGAACAGAAAAATTATATTTTAAATGGTGATCATCAGGAAGCTACAATGTCTTCTCTCAAGTATGTTTCCCTAAACAATTATGCGTCTGCCTTTGAATCCTTGTACTGAAACTTGTCTGTGCATATACTTGTCTGTGCATATACTTGCAATGTATGTTAAAGTTGATCAATTTTTTGAAACTTGTTTGTGCGTCTACTTGTATGTGCATCTACTGTGCATCGAGTTATCCTGGATATGAGTTATAGTCATCTATAGATTATACATTAACAATTCATATATAGTTAAAATTAGAGTTTTCAAGTTCATTAGTATGCATGGTAAGAAATAACTGAACAGACAAGTGATTAAATATACCATTCGACACAATAATCTATCATAGGATAACAACATAGGATAACAACTGAAAAAATGAAAACACACGCGAACAAACAAAAAAAACAGAAAAACACATATAGACACATACTAAAAAACCCAAAACAAATTGGATACTCATTGGTCATTAAATATATCCAAAGAGATAGACATTGATAAAAAAATATAGCGACAGACGTAGAGAACCCCAGGAGCACAATCACGAACAGAAACGCCGAAGGAACCCCAAGAACACAATCACAAACAAAAACGCCGAAGGCACAAGCATATCTTTAAGGACCTTAAACTGGAAGGCGAGGAGATGCCCACTAACCCCAAAAACAAGAATGATGAGAGCATCCATGTGGACTCTTACGTAGAGAAGTTGCCAGCCAAGAAATCTCTCTAAATCTACCTCACACGACCAGATAATTGCAGCCACAAGCAACAAAACAAACAAAAACCCCAACAGCACACCTGGACCGTTCTCGTGAACGATTAGAGTCCCCAAAATCACACCCATATAGACTCAAGAGACATGGATTGGGAACACAAATAACTCTCTCTAAAAAAAATACTTCTCCTTGTGGGTCTGCCATTTTTTTTTTCCTCTCTTTCAGTTGCAATTAGATATTTTGATTGCTCGAACGAAGAGAAAAAAAAAAGAAGAGAAACAAGGATTTAAGGTTTCCTTAAAATGGCGGTGTGGACAGGAATCAAAGGTAATTTCATCAAAGCAACAAATCTAGAGTAGTCTCCAAGGTTATTTTTCAGTGGCATTTTTAGGTAGATAAAATTTGGAGTAGTCTTCAAGGTTTTTGGTTTCAGTGGCATAAACGTAATATAAAAGGAACTCTGAATCGTTTCTTTCAGCTTTTTACACAGAATTTTAATTTTGTGACAGATTTAGATCAATTTTTGTTATATATACGGTGAGATAGTTTACGAATAAAACTAAGACTACAAAACTTTCGAAAAATAGTTTGATTAATATAGGTTATATACATTTTATGATATATGTCATATATTGCGTAGTATCACACAGTCCTCCTCTATTGTATTTTATTTCATCTCTAAATTTTACATATAGAGCATCAATACAAATATTGTTTACATTGATCGTTGAAGATGCAAACATTTTTTTTATTTGTTGATTTCCTTAAAACTCTTTGTAATTTCAAGTAAGCATTTTGTCCTTTTTGTATCAATTACAAACCCCATCTATTAATTAAGCCAAGGTTATCCTTTAGCCGAGCCGTCGTTTCTGTGTCAGTATTTTACTCTCTCGCTCTCTCTCTCTCTCTCTCTCTTATTTGTTTTACATATACTGCAGTCTGCAACTATTAATTGAAAGAGGAAAGTTTACCATCTGAATTGGGTTATTAACCATAAACATGTGAAAAATTTGTAAACGTATTTTTCTGTTAAACTTCAAAGTCGTATCGGTTAACGTAATGATCACCTGAATACTGATTAAATATATAAATAAATTCTTTTAGTACATGGTATTTTTTTTCGAAGAATAATGAAATGATTAAAGCGACCTGAATAGAATGCATGCATGCATGATAATCATAATAATAATTAATCAGTATTTAAGGGTGAAGTAGAAATTAAAGGGAAATACTCCATTTCTAAAGTGAATTTCGTTCAATACTTACTTTCCCTTCTCCAGTCAAACTATTTGTATTTTTTTTACTTTTTTACATTTACTGTCTGTAAATTTTATTTTACTTCAACAAGGGAAGTTTTTGTTACAAAGCCTTTTTTTTTTTTCCCTCCGCGTCCAGTCTAGTCTACAAATCGCTCTCTCTTTTTACCCTTATCTCTCTATGCAGCGTTAATGTCCTCTGCAACTTGGTCTCTCTCGATTTATGGCCTTGTGATTGATATCTTCTCGCAATCTCCGTCTTCGGAGGTTTGATTTTTACTGCCATGAACCGTCGTATCTTGTTTACACTATCTTCTCGAGTTCAGATCTTTGTTGGATTCCATATAGCTCTCGTTTCTCAGAATTTCGTGTGATTTTTCTAGGTCAAATGATGGTTGGCAATTTCGGTAATTTTATGAATTGTTGAGACTCGTTCCGTGATATTTGGGGTCTATAAATTCGTCGAGATAACTTCGTTTTCGAGTGTAAGATTTTGGGTTCGCTCCAGTCTTCAAGTTCGCGGGAAGGTGAGATTCGATGGATCTTTTCTGCTTTTTTTTACTATAAACTTTTCCTGCCTTTTGATTTTCTACAATATTTTATAAGAGTTTCTGTTCATGTGGGGGTTTATTCTTGTATTTTTTTGTTTTTTTTTTAATTATTATTGTTCTTCTATTCACCATCTCCGGAAATTTGGAATTCTGGGTAGTTCTGCGAACTCACTGAATCTCCAAGTTGTTCTCCGTTTGGTCTGCAGTATCGGATTTCATAAGTCTGACTTCATTAGAGAATATAATGCAATATGAAGCAAAATACTCTTTTATCTGAATAGAGATGATCACAGTGGTTTTGCAAGTCCGAGAATTTATTACTTTTGATGTTGTTATTGATGCGAATGTGTAACAGTCTACAGTGGGGATGAAATATTTTTGTTAGTTGTAGTTATTTGCGAAACCTTGTGAAACGTAGTATTTTTTTTTTTTTTTGTAATTAATCAACCAGGTTCTGTAGTGTACTTAATTGGGAACTGGAACTCTATTAAACAATGTTGAGGGACTCACTTTCCATGCTTGTTGATAATTAACAAATCACTGTGGATTGTGGAAAGTATTTTCTCTTTACACCCTTCTTTTTAGCATGCTAAATTGTATTGCGTTGACTGTTAGCCTAATGTTGGGCTACTAGTATCCAAACTGTTAGGTTTTAGTGTGTAGAGAAACTATTTGGCCTATGGCTAATTGCTTTTTTTTCTTTTCTTGTTATTTAGGTTTATCTCTGGGTTAAAATTTTTAAACAAACTCGCCAAGATGCTGAGCTCTGTTGATTGCATTGTTGGAAATGCCGCTAAAGAGAACACTTCTGATTGAAGGATGCATGCAGTTTACTATCAGTAGTAATGAAGAACGGACAGGTTCTTCTCTAATACAATCTTCTGCCTTTTATTATCTTTGTTGTATTGGCTTAGTGCTCTTCAAAACACAGTAACCTTGTGTCACTTCTGCTATTTGCTTACAATTCCTTGCCTTCGAGATGCCTTCTCTTTTTGTAAGGTAAACAAGTAGTTGCTGGTCCCTTACGTTATTGGTGAATCAGGTCAATACTTTCATATAATATGCTGGACAATGTTTTAATATATTTACTAGGTTGTAGCAATAGTGATTCGTGGTCGAAGTAAGCTGTCTCAGTATGTAGATTATGATTACCAACAAGTGAAATACTAGAAAATAACAATTATTTAATTACAGTGTGCACAAGAATTGCAATCTTCCACTCAAGCTTCACATGAGTCCCAAGCTGAACAGAAAAATAACCAATCATTAGATGCTCCTGTACAAGATTCTGGTTCTGTATCTGCTTCAAGCAATGACAGTAGGAAAGTTTCAAGACAAGATATTGAACTTGTAAGAGGATATGTTGACCTCGTCCTTGTCATTTGACCTCTCTCTCTGTCTCTAATTATGTGTGTGTCCTCCCCTCGTATAAGCGTAACATCTGAATCTGATGATATACACTTGGGAATTGATTGGTGTAGGTCCAAAATTTGATAGAAAGATGTCTTCAGTTGTACATGAATAGAGATGAGGTCGTGAAGACCCTCTTGACTCGGGCAAGGATAGACCCTGGATTTACAACCTTGGGTAAGCTTTTCAAGTTTCTTGAAATCTCTATCTTCACTTTGTTTCATTGCATCAGAACCTTTCTTTCAGTCTTAGATTTCTTGAAGTGGGATAGGAGAGCTTCCATAGGATACATGGTTGTTGAAGCGTGACATAACTTCTATGCTATATATTGTTGGAAGTATGAATTAGTTATAGCATGAGCAACCTGGAATAAAAAAAGTCCATTTCTGACCATTTTTTGTTTTTCTTGTGAAATTAGTTTGGCAAAAATTGGAAGAAGAAAATGCCGACTTTTTCAGGGCATATTATATCAGGTTGAAACTGAAGAAGCAAATAATTTTGTTCAATCATTTGCTTGAGCACCAGTACCATCTCATGAAATATCCTCCTGTACCTCCGAAAATTCCTCTGGCACCGATACAAAATGGAATGCATCCCATGGCACCTGGTAATAACTCTGAAAACCCTATGTCAAACTCGTGTAGTTTATTTGGAAATAAAGTAAGAAAGTTTCATGTGGTAAATTTCACTGTTATTTAACACCGTTGTTTCGCAGTGCAGTTAACATGCCAATGGGATACCCTGTACTTCAACATCCTCAAATGCATGCTCCAGGCCATCCTCATATTGACGCTATGGGAATATCAAGCTGCCATGTTGTTAACGGAGTCCCTGCACCTGCGAATTTCCATCCGTTGAGGATGAACTCAGCGAATGAGTAAGAACTAACTCGCAGTACAAGTTTAACTTAATTCTCGGATGCTGCAACCCCCTCAATATCTTTAACCTAAATCTCTCCATTTTTCTTAGTATGGTGATCGATACAACTGCGGATGCTGCAAATCCTCAAGTTATTCCACCAAACAGTGGTGGGATGTCTGAGATGGCAGTGAGTCCAGCTTCCGTGGCATCAAGTGGACACTTTCCATTTGCTGCTTCAGACATGTCGGGTATGGTAATGGACACTTCAGTGCTTGATTCCGCGTTCACCTCTGATGGAGGAGAAGGAGGAGCTGGGAATCCCAGAGATTCACTCAGGTCATTTGATCAGATTCCCTGGAACTTTAGCCTTTCTGATCTCACCGCAGATCTGTCAAATTTAGGAGGTAAGTCTCATCAAATACATCCTTTTTTTTCCCTTTTTGTTTTCGTGGGTTAATAAAGTTCATCAGACTTTGTGTTATATAGCACGAGCTGATTATCAGAAAAAGATATGTATATTGCAGATTTAGGAGCCTTAGGAAACTATCCAGGCTCCCCTTTTCTTCCATCTGATTCAGAGATTTTGCTGGATTCTCCTGAACAAGAGGACATAGGTAAACTCTCAAATTTACAACTGTGCTGCTTCTTCTTCCAATCTTCTTTGGCAGTTTTCTAAGATATGTGCTTGAGCATAAGTTTGTTTTATACATTTTGATGCTCTTTGATCATTTATCTCTTACAATTTTCTCTTTGTTGTAACTATCTATCTTCTTTCTTTTGTATATTGGCTGGCATCATCAATAGAGGAGTTTTTCGTGGATTCCGTGCCTGGACCTCCTTGTTCTAATTCAGACGAAGAGAAGCCTTGAATCGAAGGGAATGGCCATAATCTTCTTCAGATAAACACCAAGCACCTTATAAATATATAAAAATTGATGATATAAATCAAAGTAATATGAATAAGAGGGTTCGAATGACGCTTGTAGTCTCTCTTTAATTTACAAGAGTGAAGAAATAGGCTTACTAGTTTTTTATTTTGTTTGTTTAATTCTATGCTCTAGTTGTATTTTATGTTAATCTCTAAATGGATGCCGAATAAAAAACTTTTAAGTGGATAATTTTTGATTTAGAGAAATTGCGGGGCATCAAACTTATAGTCGAGGCTGTTGTGAAAACTTAGAAACTTTATTAATCACTGGAATGTATATATAGAGTACATAGGGAATCTAAGTTAAGTACAATGCCCTGATGGGCCTAATGGGCCGGTATAAGAGTCCATATATGATATGTGTTATAACACTTCCCCTTGGATGAGTGAACCGGGTCAACTACTCAATCGGGATCTCGATAATGCGCTGGGGAATGTTGCCTCATTAAAACCTTACCAGGAAAAACCCAGTGGGACAAAACCATGGTGAAGGAAAAAGAGTACAACACGCATTACTCCCCCTGATTGTAGCATCACTGCAGATCTCTAAGTCTATACATTCCTATCTGTTTGACGAGCTTCCGGTGTGTTGAAGTAGGCAATGATTTGGTGAAGAGGTCAGCTGAATTCTCACTGGATCGGACCTGCTGAACGCTGAGAGTGCCGTCCTTCTGCCAGTCTGAGGTTGAGAAGAACTTCGGTAGAATGTGCTTCGTCCGATCTCCTTTGATATATCCTTCCTTGAGCTGAGCTATGCATGCCGCGTTGTCTTCATACATCACCGTGGGCTGTGTGTCTTCGTCCATACCACAATCTCTGCGGATGTGCTGAGTCATGGAGCGCAGCCAGACGCATTCCCTACTAGCCTCATGAATGGCTAGGATTTCAGCATGGTTTGATGAAGTGGCAGTGAGTGTCTGCTTCATTGATCTCCAAGAGATGGCTGTTCCTCCATGCGTAAAAACGTAGCCAGTTTGAGACTTGGCAGTGTGCGGATCTGATAGATATCCTGCATCGGCGAAGCCGACTAACCCATCTTTATTTTGGTTAGTATAGAAGAGTCCTAAGTCTTGAGTACCTCGAAGGTATCTTAGGAGATGTTTTATACCGTTCCAGTGCCTCTGAGTTGGAGATGAACTATATCGAGCGAGGAGGTTCACGGCGAAACATATGTCTGGTCTAGTGTGACTAGCCAGGTACATTAACGCTCCTACAGCACTGAGGTATGGCTTTTCAGGACCAAGGATTTCTTCATCATCCTTTTTGGGACCAAGAAGGTCATCACTTAAGCTTCTAACTACCATTGGGCTGGTCAATGGGTGAGCTTGGTCCATATTAAATCGCTTGAGTACCTTTTCGATATAAGCCGATTGATGCACAAGGATTCCTCCTTTGATGTACTCAAGTTGTAATCCCAAACAGTACTTTGTTTTGCCTAGGTCTTTCATTTCGAATTCTGCTTTTAAGCAGTCGACTGTTTGGGAGATCTCACCAGATGTTCCGAGGATGTTTAGATCATCCACGTATACTGCTATGGTCCATATTAAATCGCTTGAGTACCTTTTCGATATAAGCCGATTGATGCACAAGGATTCCTCCTTTGATGTACTCAAGTTGTAATCCCAAACAGTACTTTGTTTTGCCTAGGTCTTTCATTTAGAATTCTGCTTTTAAGCAGTCGACTGTTTGGGAGATCTCACCAGATGTTCCGAGGATGTTTAGATCATCCACGATTGTTTGAGTACTTCTTGATGAAGATGCATGGACTGATGGGGTCATTTTTGTAGCCTTCTTTGATGAGGTAATCGCTGAGGCGGTTGTACCACATACGCCCACTTTGTTTCAGTCCATACAAGGATTTGTTCAGCCTGATGCAGTATTGATCTCGAGATGCATTTTTGTCTTTTAGTTCAATGCCATCTGGGAGTCTCATATATATTTCGTTGTCCAGGGGCCCATAGAGATATGCGGTTACAACATCCATTAACCGCAGATCAAGATTTTCTCTTATGGCCAGACTTATGAGGAATCGGAATGTTGTTGCATCCACCACTGGAGAATAAGTCTCCTCATAATCGATTCCGGGTCTCTGTGAGAATCCTTGTGCTACAAGCCATGCTTTGTATCGAACGACTTCACCGAGTTCGTTCCTTTTTGCGCACAAAGACCCATTTGTGGCCCACTGGCTTGATGTGTGATGGGGTCCGGATGATCGGACCGAACACATTTCTGAGTTTGAGACTCTTTAACTCCACGTTTATGGCTTCTTTCCATTTTAGCCAATCTGTTCGATGTGTACACTGTGTTATTGACGTGGGTTCTAGATCCTCTTGCGTGAGCGCAACATCAAGTGCTACTTTGTATGCAAAGAGTGCATTTAAGTCGACTTCTTTTCGATTCCATTGTATTCCGGACATATTGTAATTGATGGAGATCTCATTGTTATCTTCTGAACTTGGAGATTCGGCGTCCCGAACTTCCATTGAGGGTTCATTAGATTGAGTCTCAGCCGCGGCTATGTCTGATATTGCAGGAATCCCGGTTTCGGTTATTGCACATTTCTTTGATTTCCGGGGATTCTTATCTTTGGAACCGAGAGGTCTGCCCCGTTTGAGACGTGGTGCAGACTCTGTAGCAACTTGGGTCTGTCCCGTTGGGACAGCTATTCGTACTGGTGCATTACAAGCTGGGATGTACGATACTTTGGTCGGGTCAGCAAAGGAATCTGGCAATTGATTAGCTAGCTTTTGATAATGAATAATCTTTTGGATCTCTGAATCACATTCTAGAGTCCGAGGATCTTGCCAATTTAATGATGTTTGATTCCATGAAAGATCTTTGACCAGCTTGTTTGTCTCACCACCTAAAGAGGGATATACCGATTCATCGAATTGGCAATCCGCATATCTGGCCTTGAAGAGATCTCCAGTGGTTGGCTCGAGATATCTTATGATGGTGGGAGAGTCAAAACCAACATATATTCCCATCCTTCTTTGAGGTCCCATTTTGGTTCGATGTGGTGGAGCAATGGGTACATATACTGAACACCCAAATGTTTTGAGATGGGAGATGTCTGGCTCATGACCCGAGAGTAGTTGGGATGGGGAATATTTGTGTTCACTAGATGGCCGGATGCGTATGAGTTCAGCAGCATGTAATACTGCATGTCCCCATGCTGAGGCCGGGAGCTTTGATCTCATGAGTAATGGTCGGGCTATCCATTGAATGCGTTTAATGAATGATTCAGCCAATCCATTTTGAGTATGGACATGTGCTACAGGATGTTCCACGGTTACCCCCATGGCCATACAGTAGTCATTAAACGCTTGTGAGGTAAATTCACCAGCATTGTCAAGGCGGATAGTCTTTAGTGGGAAGTCAGGGAAATGGGCCCGCAATTTTATGATTTGGGCCAAGAACCTAGCGAAGACTTGGTTCCGAGAGGACAAGAGACAAACATATGACCAACGGGTCGATGCGTCTATAAGGACCATGAAGTACCGGAATGGTCCGGAAGATGGATGTATAGGTCCACAGATATCGCCCTGGATTCTTTCTAGGAAATGAAGTGTTTGTTTAGAGATTTTAACTGGTGAAGGCCGAGTGATCAATTTGCCTTGAGAACAAGCTGTGCACATGAGGTGTTGAGGATAAGCTCGGTTTTCTTTGAGGGTATGCTCTTGAGAGTTTTGAATTAGTTTACGCATCATATTTGCACCGGGATGACCGAGCCGGTCGTGCCAAATAGTATAATCAGTAAACCGGGCTTTGAGAGTGGTATTAGCTTCAATCATACTGACTTTAGCATGGTAAAGTCCAGTAGAGAGCGCGGGTATGATTTCGAGGATTTGTTTATGGCCGTCTACGGTTTTAGTGACTAGGAGGGATTCTTTGTTCCCTTGACCTTGGGTTTCTATGTGGAAACCATTCTGTCTTATATCCTTGAAGCTCAGAAGATTTCTCTTCGAACTAGGAGAATATAGAGCATCTGGTATTTCAAGTTGTGTGCCATTTGATAGCAACACATAGGCATGGCCATATCCTTCGATAAGGTTTGAGGGACCCGCGATGGTGCTAATATTTGCGGTTTGATAGGTTAGGTTTATGAAGTAACTTTTGTTTCTTAAGATAGTGTGGCTGGATCCACTATCTACGACTATGGTTTCCATTTGCTGGTGTGCTTTTCCACCTTTGGATTTCTGACAGGCTAATGAAACTGGGAGCTAATAGACCTCAGTTAGCCGCTACAAATTCCAAGGATTGATCACCAAAACTGGAGAAGCTGCTGGTTGAAGAAGGAAAAACTCGGATCTGGTTTTTTTTTCGGTTGATCGTCGTGTACTGTAAGTGTGCGTGAGGGCGCGTCCGACGTTGGATCGACAAACGGTTTTCACCAGTAGATTCGTCTCGTCGAGGGCTTCGATTTGATATGTAGATCGTCTTCTGGTTCCTCACGGTTTGGAAGATATGCGTCTTTTAAGTTTCGACTTGCTTTTAGGGTTTTGGTGGTGGCCGGATTTATTAGGGTTTTTCGCTCAGAGAGTCTTATCGTGCTGATAACGTGTTGTGAAAACTTAGAAACTTTATTAATCACTGGAATGTATATATAGAGTACATAGGGAATCTAGGTTAAGTACAATGCCCTGATGGGCCTAATGGGCCGGTATAAGAGTCCATATATGATATGTGTTATAACAGAGGCTTAGTTTTTTTAACATTGTTTCTTTTCCTAGTATTAATTGTTTTCAGTAGTTCAATTTTTACAGTTTTTCTTAATCATCCGAATACATAATAAACATGGAATATGTCATAATTTTCAAGATTTGTAATTTTCTTAAACATGGGAAATGTCATATGATGGAAGGGCATACAAATTTAGGAAGCAAAAATGTTGTCCGCCAGACAATTTGACCCAAAAAAAAAGATCAGCAATTTTACAACATATAAATCTACAGCTTTTACCACCTTTTTTTCTAGCAAATTACATGGAACACATACGCAGTTCGTTATACTGTAGAAACATATTGTCACATTTACGAGACGATTTCCCAAAGCTACAACGGAACAAAGGCAAATAATCAGTAGATAAGTGCTCTTCGACTGACTGAAATGCTTATTCAACTCATGACTGAGGTGTTTCGACCAAAGTGCATGAGTAAATTAGTAAATACTGCTTCTTTGACTAAGTAATTTGACCGAGTGTGCTGACACCGAATTTTCCGACCGTTGGGACAACGGCTAATTCCTGAATAAGCTAGCATGACGTCATAAGTTACCGTTCTGACATCTTCAATGTCTCTAACTCAGAGCTACTTACAGTCGAATTCTTTTTTGGGCTTTCTAGATAACAAGCTTAACTGACAATTGTATGGTTTATATAAGGCCCAATCGAAACTCATTAAAACGATGTCGTTTCTTACTGTGGTACAAATTCAAGCTAGTACCAAAATCTTGGGTCGAAAAGTTGTTTCAATCAATTAATTTCATTTTGGACATGGTCTCATGCCTAAAGAGTTTAATGGTGTTTTCGACCACAATTGTGTTATTTCTGATTATAATCACCAACAATAAACATATACAATTTGTTTTGCAACACATACAATTTGTTTTGCAATGCAAATAAATCTATAAATTTTAAATACAAGACTAACTGTTATAAGTTTATTATCATCCAACAAATAAATCTTAAGACACTGTCTATATTAAATTTCATTTCAATTCCTGTGTAGTCGAAACCGGAACAAGTGTACATAACACACACAAAAATGAAGAGAAGCTGTACAATAAGTTATAAGCATGAGTGTTCTTATTATTCGAATGTCATAGCATAAATGCTTAAATCTATTTACAAAAGTCGCTGATTCATCTCGATCTCTCACGAGTTTCATAGGTTTTTACCTGACGGCTTGTGAGAATCAGGACCTCGCTTAGCGTATAAGGAACCAGCTGCTGATACATCAGACGGCAAAGAGACTGTTGCAGAGAGAGGCTGGAAATTAGTGTTCCCAACGAACCAGAAGAGAGCCCATTTGAGGTTGCAGAGAGTATACTTTAGTGCTTTCGTCCAATTCTCTTGTTTGTTGAAGCTCTGCGTTATTGAATATGTCCCCACTTTGTCATTTTCGATCCTGCAAAAAGATTTTGTATAAACAAACTCTCAACGTTTTGGATTGTACTCATTAACCAACAAAATAATAATAAGCGACAAACAAGATCTTGATTAAAGGAGGGGGGTGGGACTTACTTGAATGGAAGTTTTAGACATTTCTCTGGTGGAATATTGTTTTCTTGGTCCTTTGAGTTTGCGAAATCGGCAAAGTCTTTCAGACATATCAAATACAATGTCATGGCTTTATCGTAACGAGTGCTCCAAAACAAGTTTACAGGACCAAACCTGAAGAAGATCATCAGACAGATTTTAGTAAAAAATGCTTACTAAACCAAGACACAACTCACCAAAAGATTCGCATAAAATCCGCACAAGGCATATGTTTTTATGTTCAACTTTCAAGAACAAACCAGTGGTAAAGTATGACATTCAAGCATTGGAAATTACTTACAACTCATAAGTGTTGTTGGTGCTGTCCACAATTCTAGGATAACTTCCCATAGGCTGTATTTTAACTCGACATCTTAAAAAGGGTTACTGGTTAAAGATAAACTTCACAAACAGTAAATAGAAACAGAAGACGACTAAATAAAAGGATTGTGAGATAATAACAAGGATACTGAAACTTTGGCCGAAAATAGTTACACATCGTGTGGAGGAGAAGACAGGCTTGGCCCCAAGCAGCATTTATCTCATCCCACTCAACCTAATAATGGTGGCCTAAGTGTAGACTTTATATGTGCGGTAAGAGATTATGAATATACAAGGGAATTCGCTACGCTTACCGGTACTTTGGGGAGTCTTCCAAGTCGAAAATTGTTTATTGTACCAAAATCTCCATCATGTTGTATGGGAAAGGCATCAATCAGCACGTTTGTCTTATTCAATAACTCTAAATGTGCTTGTGAAACTTCAATCTTTGCCAAGATTGCATCTCTCTCTTCCTGTTAACAAAGACATATCTTTTAATAAAAAGCCTAAACTTTCATAGACACAATACTGACTGCATATATCTAATCAGAAGCCGTTACTACTAATACCACAATGAAACGAACAATTATCGAGAATTTGTGAAGACAATGAATGAGAGCTTTCATCTCTTCAAAGCATCATTTAGGCAAATGAGGGAGAAACTTAAGACTATGACCAGCAACGCACCTGATGGGCTATTAGTTGAAACTGAAAATTATTGAACTCTTGCCAATACCTATAACAAAGGAAACCAGAAAGGTTATAGAAGCATGTGAGAAAATAAATGACAGCATTGAATGGGAACAGTAAGAGAGCTTAACCGATCTTCTAGCTCATTAAAGCGATTTCCCTTTGACTCTAGCTCCTTCAGTTGATGGTTTACCTCAGCATTTTGTTTCTCTGTTTCTTCTATAGCTGCGACAAGTTTTCTTTCTTCTTCCTCAATCTAAGTAGAGCAGGAAACAACAACAAGCTTGTTACTTGACAATTAACATCATGAGAAAGTCATATTAGAGTTAAGAAATATGTAAAACTAAAAAATCACCTTCTTTTTTTCCTTGAGAAAATCAGCTTCACTAAGAACATCTTGGGTCTCTCCTTCTAACCGCTGAACGCATGCTTCGTATGCTTCCACGTCCCTCGTCACATCCTCGACTTCTTTTTCAAGTTTATCAGATAATACCCTCATGCAGTCTAGGCACAATGGCTGTTCAACCTAAGAACCCAAAAAGGAGAAAAATAAATCGTCTGATCAGGTCCATTCAATCCAACGGATATACATTTCAAAGGTGAAGCCAAAATCGTTACAGTATCATACCTGTGTCTGAGTTCTGGCAATATCGAAAGCACGTGTTAAAACATTTATAGTCGCATTAAAGCCTGAATTATTCGAATGTAATGGACCATTTTGGCCCACTTCAAGCGACGTATTTTGAGAACCGCTGGAGTCAGAAGCTGACTCAGACTTATACACGACTACAAACGATTCTTCCATTGTCTTCCCGGATTGGCTTGCATCAGGCTGAGAAGAAGCTCCACGAGGACGTGGAGGAATGCCCTGAGCTTGAGGCTTCTGCCGAGGTAAAAGAACAAAAGAGTTGTCCATGCGTGTTGAACCAAGAACACTGTTGGCTCCATGGACGGAAGAGCCTTGCATTGCTGGATGTAACAATTACATTCACTTGTGAGGGAACTTTCCTAAAATAAGTGACGATGAAAAGACATATCTACGATTCATTACACAAAGCCTGTTTCTTGAACTCTTTCCACAGCAGTAACTTCTAATCTAGACAATTGCTCGAGGAAAAACAAATTTAGCAATACAATCTCACGATAAAATTGAACCAGTCCTAATTCGAAATCAGATTAGTTTTTTCATTTTCCTTTCAAGGCAGAAATTACAGACTTAGATCGGTAAACAAGAAATTCGTGTCTATGATAAACAAGTTTCCGATTACCAAACACAAATCCCCTAAATTTTACTGATCCTGTGACCGATATCAACAGTTTTCAAGTTCTAAGTTACTTCCCGCACAAGAGAAAAAGCCCTTTCGGAGACTTCAAAGACGAAAGAAAAAAGCGAGAGAGAGAGAGAGAAGAGAGGAAGAAGCCCTAACCGGAATGAGGGGAATCATTGAAGAACTTTCCGGCGTAGGAATCAACGCCGACGATGGTAAGGGAGTGATGACATTTTTGGCAGACCCATTTCGGAAGATTCGGATCGACCGGGAAAGCCCGACTTTTATCTGGAGTCTCCTCTTTCCTCATCGCTCCTCAACTTTCCCCCAATTTTCTGGGAGGATTTTACCGAAGAAATCCGTACGCAATAATATAGGGTTTCGTTTGAATTGCAAGAAATCAATCTCTACTTATCAACAATAATCATGCATACTTGTTCGAATGGGTAAATTTCTCTCCGGGGAGATAAAATCCTTCCAAATCTGATGAAGACGTCTTACTAGATTAAACTTGCAAGAAAGCTATATACTTGTTGATTTATAATACAGACCCGGGTTCGATGTCTGGCTGGTGCATAATTTTTATTCGAACCTTGAGTTTTATTTTATTATTATAGCCTTATAGGATTTGCCCAAACATCCATCGACGGTGGTCTTAAAAAGTGTAGCAGTAAATTACAATTAAGTTCCAATCTGTTGTAAAAAATTTTGATTTCAATGCTTACCAATTCTCCATCTAAGGGTCACAGGGTTTACCTCGTTACTTTCTTATATTCATGAATATTAATCACTTTTCCGTGATTAATTAGATCGTAATTACCAAAAGCATATATCTTAAGCACAAGGACGTGATGATCACGGAAGCAGGCAAACCCAGGCATCACCATAGTATACCATCCAAAAACCATGAAATATATCTTGCTCAAAGCTATAAGTTTGAAAGAGAAAAATATACTATAAAACAAAACACGCTGAGAAGAGAGTCAGAAAGCTGACGTATCAATTAAGTAATTAAGTTTTAAAACAAATTAATCCCTCGTATAATAGGGCTTTAAACACCAACTAATGCCCACCATTACATAATAAATATGAGAACAACCATTAACGTCGCTACAAAAGCAAAAAGGAAAAAGGAAATAGTTTGAGGAGAAATCAGATCATGAGGTCTTCGTTGGTAGGCAATCTTCTGAAGAAGTTCTTGATAGCACTGGGCAAATCGTTGCGATCCCACGTGAAGTTAAACCAGTGGACAAGAAACCAAGTCAGCAAATACTTGAACAGATACTCAAAGGGAAGACTGTAGAGCAAGGGCAAGACCACAAAACCGACGACTAAAAGGAAAGATATCTTGGCGATTGGATTGTCGTCACAAATCGTCCAGAGCTCGCAGAGCCTTTCACATTGTGACGCAGCATCACCCATTAATGTCACCATTTTCTCCCCCAACTTCCTCAGCCTATCGTACCTCATCTTAAGAACATGCACGTCGGCCTCCGACGAAGGAAACGCGTCGAACTCTTCCGCTAACTCGTCTAGGTTGAGCGAGTCGAGTTTGGATAGCTTCAAATCCACGAGAACCAGAGGAGGAGGAGGAGGAGGAGTGTTGGTCCCAATCCGGATCCTGTGATATCCTTGGATCAAGAGCTTGTACACCACCTCGTACAAAATCATCAACGCAGCGCAAATCGGATACACCCGCCAAATAGCCAACCACAACAAAACCGGTATCACGTAGGGCACCCAAATAACGAAACAACAGAGAAGAAACGCAACGCATTTCGGAGTATTATCTGGGTTGGATCTGATATTCATTATATCACTCAAAGCACACTTTTTGGACAGCCACATGAAGATTCTACAGAGCCTCTCGTAGTTAGCTTTGGCTCTTCTCAGACTGAAGTTGTTACTCTTGGGCTTCAACATGTCCTTGACCACCTCACTCCTCAACATCGGCTCTGTTTTCGCCAGATTCATGCAGTTCACCTCCACAGCTTGTGATCTCAGAGCCTCGATCTGTAGTAGCGACAGTGGAGACTTGTAATGAGATTTGGGTAACATCCAACGAAAAGGAGCTGTAGCAAATGCGTACGTTAGCGGACCACTACTTGCGCATCGAATCGCCAGCTGAATCTCACCCATCTTCTTCAATCCTTCTTTGCCCAGTACCAATATCGGATACGAACCAGTGTAGATCGTGTCCCATTTAAGCTTGCTCAGTCGAAACCTCACTTTCCCAATCGGAGCATCATCCACCTTATTACCGGAGTAACTAACGAGCTGTTGGTTGTCGTAGACTCCAAGCGTAAACACCGTACTCTTGTCGTAAACATCCCACGAATACTGCTCGTTCCACTTTGGCGACGCGTTATCCACCACGGTTCGAGTCCTGGCCCATTTATTCCCATACTTGGCCACCACGTAAGCGTTCCTTTGATTTCTCGAGTTTTTCATCGGTGTCAAACCGGTAGCACCCAATATCCCAACCTCTAGTTTCCCGACCGTACCGGGCCACAACCCTTTCGCAAAAGCTCGATAATCGCTGCAGTACTGGCTACACTCATCAAAGACGTGGTAAGATTGATCTGTAGCTAATCTCACCTTGATTGTGCTAGCAAACCGCCTCGTGTCTCCTGCCGGTTCGACCTTACTGGGTGGTTCAACGTCGAAAGTCGAGAGGGGTGCAGGACCACCCGGAACCTTCACCGCAGTCATCTCCGAGAGCCTAATCTTTTTTAGTTTCCCTACGCACGTTTCGTGTTGATCATCGACTTTGTCCACGAGCTCTATGCAGACAGTTCCTTGTAACGGCTCCGATGCAACAAAGATGAGATCTTGATTCCAAGACGGGTTCGAACCAGAAGAAATCCCGGTTTTTAGAGTGACTCGATTATCGAGCGTTGCCTTCACGTAAATCGAAGGAGATCGTTTTCCATCGCTAGAAATCAAATCGTGACCTGAAACAATTGTAACCCTAACGTAACAGAGCCTTGGAGCTAGGTAGAGCTTAGGTCGCGTGTTAGTCACGCAACTAGCACTCACTAAAGACGCGTCAGAAAACCAAGCATTTGAATAAACCTCATCGGCTTGTGTACCGAACCAAATCGACATCAGCAATGCCATGTCATAACCGGTTTCGGAATTCTGTATAGAGTACCACTGAGGCGCCATTCTTGCTTCGGGAGGAACCCTACTCGGAATATCCGCGGCCAGTTTGAAATTTTGCTTGCCAATTACGGTACCCAAGTAACCGTCTATTAGAGTAACCGACAAGACATCGCCTTTGGTTTTGTCGAAAGCAAAGACTTGGTTCCACTCCCTGTTTGGTCCAATTGGTAGATCTCTGGTAGAGGATTTGAAGTTCCCTAGGGTGATTTCGACGATGGGGATACATGTGTGGGGTATAGGGTTTACGCGAGAGTTGTTCGTGGCTTTGATTACTTCTACGTAAAGAAACTCCATTTGCTCGACGAGGTCATACGAAGAAGTTGGGCCGCTAGGGTTTCGAGTCCCTCTTTCTCCGCCGAGCTTTGGAGAGATTTTCTTGACGGAGAAGTCAGCCATCTCTGAAGCAAAAACAAAAAACAAGAGAGAAAACAAGCGAGGGAGATGAATAAGAAATCTTATATTATGTAAACAAATGAATTTCAGAAATAAGTAAACACAAAAATTTGTTAATTTGTTAACGAACTGACTCGCTAAACAAGAACCCTGGAGCAATTATAAACCTTATGTATGAGGAGGACCAAGAATCAGAACAAAAATCCTCTTAATTTTTTATCCTCTGGCCGATATGGGTTTAGGTACTTCCTGCACAAGAGAGATCACCAACAGCAAAAAAGAAAAAGAAAAAGAAATCAACACGAACCTGTTCTGTCTGATACAATGAAGTAGGGTGTAGGGTTTAAGGCTTGATAAGGCTTGATTATTCCTTTTGATTACACATGTATACACATGATACAGTATATACACACAAAGAGTTGGATAGAGAAACATAATTTAGAGAAATGGAAAGATTCATTATTTACATGGACTATGGAGAAAAAGTGACATCCCATACGTACGTCTATATATATAGAGAAACACAATTTAGAAAAATGTAAAAATTCAGAATTTATATGGACTATATAGAGAAAGTGAGAATCTCTTCTTTGCTCATCACTCGTGAACTTTCCAAATTTTGGAGTTTTACCGAATGTGGCGAAGAGATCCGTATATATGGACTATATTTGGGCTTCCTTTCGATAATTGTTCCTCAACAGATCCATTAAATTTTTTTGGAGAATCCAAGAAATCCAAATTACATATTTACAAACGTAAATTACATATATACAAAACAATTAATCTGAGAGCCGGAATATCGACTCATACATACAGTGTTAGTTGCACATTTCACGCGACGGAGAGGGATTGCTCCGACAAACCGGACACGAACTATGCAGCTTGAGCCATGCATCGATGCATCCGGTATGGAAACAATGTTCACATTCGGGTAAGCACCTAACCGTCTCTTTGGTTGCGTATTCCGACAAACAAATGGAACATACGACATCATTTGACCCGGTCGGGAGTCTCCTACTCTCCCCTAACTCAACTTTCTTGTATGACTCAATCGTAGACTCATCGAGACCCGTCCTCGTGATGACTTGGTCGCTTGGCTGCGGTGTTACGGATCCGGAAATCATGGCGTGTTGTATCTGGGAAGAGACTCTCTGGGAACTGCACATGACAAGACCGACACAGAAGGTCAAGGCGAAGACTGGTCCGATTAGGGAGAAGCAGATTATCTGTAGTACTTGTAAGCTTGTGTTGTGAAGTCCTGTTCTCAAAAACAACAATACGGGTCAACGGTGAAAGGATATATAAAAATGTCATTTGTATTCTAATGATACGACATTCTCTCATGTTTGCCTATATTTAAAGATGTGATTGATTAATTAACCAAAGTCAACGACTTTTTATTAATGTCAACTAGAATAAGTTCGCTGTTTAATGAGTAAACAAACTACCCAAAAGAAAAGATAGAAATCAAACAATTCCTTAGATTTGAAGCTTTCCACCATTAATGAATTCTTTCAGAACGAATACTCTCAGAGTTAGATGATGTCGTCTCAAGAGTTCAGAAGTTTGTGAAGTATAAAGAAGATAAAAGAATTGAGATTGTGCCTACCTGAGTTTACAGAACTGACGCATTGGACTTGGAGGGTGGTATTGTTTATGAATCCACATCTCAAATTAGCCTTTGCCTCACAAACACTGCAATTCGGGGAGTCCCATTTCAGCCAGAGGTCTTGGTCGTTGAGGTCACCGGCGAATCCTGCCATGTAGGCCATAGGCTCAGAGACCGGAATAAGTGATTTCTTGAAGATCCGACAAGAAGGAGGCATCGAAGCCGCGAGCTCTAAACGGGTGGCGTAGAAGGAGGAGGTGGAATTACCAAGGCAGTGAATGGGTTTGTAAAGGGAGTGATTGACGTCCTCTTCACGAGGACAGCTAAAGAAGACGTAGTTGAGAAGGTGAAGAGGAGAAAAAGGAGACCCTGAAGCGTCAAAGGTGAGAAGTCGTTTGGCTAAGCATTTCTTTGGGTCGTTGAGGCGAATACGCTGCAGTCGATAGTCGATATCTCGGACGAGAAATGTTCCAGAGTTGGGAAGCTTTATGGTTGTCTCTTGATGATCGGTGCATAGGAGGTTGAATCCTGTTTGGCCACATGACTCAGGTTGCTTGGGGAATAGCCAGAAAGGGAAACGAACGTTTATCCTTCCATCCATCTCTCCATGTCTGCATGAAGATGTGTAGCAAGGTTTTGGGTCTGAGGAGGCGGTTCGGAGAGGGAAGAAGAAGAGGAACAGAAGGAGAGGGATTTGTTTTGAGAAGGTCATAATGTGGTTTGGCACTAAGGGATAGGAAATGAAGAAGTGATTTAGTACTAGTTATAATAATTAGTAGAAAAAGTCAGAGAAGAATATATGATTAGGTATATAATGATCGACCTAAGTCTTCTAATATTCTTTCACATTGATTTGTCTTCATTATAATAAAACTAATTCAATAATCTCTCATTAGATTATTCTTGCTACTAATTATAAGGTTGGAAACTTATAATGAGGACTAGTGTAACTTAAATTTAAATATTGTATTGAAAGTTGCATAGCAGAAACTTGAAGCTTTTGGATTAAAAAGAATCAGAGTACCTTTCACCGTCTTTTCCTGCTTTCATTGTGTGAGAGTTCACGAGCATTCCTGCATTAAAAACTGTTTGTGTAACACAGATGATCGATTATGCTAAACCAATATGTGTGCATACATATATACATTTGTTTTCTTGCAATCTTGTGTTGGGAATCATTTGAGTGTCTGGTTCAAGAAGTTATGTGGATAATAATGCATTATAAGTTTATAATCAGAGTCATGTGAAGGTGTGACTAACAGGAAACGGAGTTATGAGTACCAGAAAATGTAATTTCTTTAAGGTGTTTGAGATCAAGTATAATCTCACAAGTCACAAGCCCAAGCCTTTCACCAGCATCTTTTGGCAAATTAAGAGTCCCAATTAATAGTGTAATCCCACCTTCCATTCTTTCCATCTAGTGGTTGCCATTGAAGAGAAAAAAAAAAAAAAAAAAAAAGACTTCTGTATGAAATATAGTAATTGGAGAGCAAAATCGGAAAACCAAACAAACAAATTTCCTGAATTCGTCTAGTTCCTCTGACCGATCCAAAAAGTCCTATAAGTTTAAATTTAAGTTCCTACAGAAGAGTAATCACGAAGAGCAGAAGAGCGCACCGAGACTCCGGGAGGAAGGAGGAGCCTAACCGGTTTAAACAACTTTCTCTAGAAAGGAATTGATTACAATATTGGCAGCAACATTTCGGAAGATTCAGAGCGAACCGGGAAAAACCAGACTTTATCTGAAATCTATCCTCGTCGTCCCTCAGCGATCAGATTAGACGATCACATATCTCTCTGATTCTTGTTTCTGATCGCTCTGGAAATGATTCCGGTTTCAATTGGTTGAGTGTCTGTCTGAGACAGAGGATTTCCAAATACCAATGTCGATAATCAACTTAGCGGTATAAGTCGAGGCCCAACCTATCGAAGCCCAATAAGGGGGGCTTTTAACGCTTTACTACGCTTACTCGCTCGGCAACGCGTGTATGTCAAGTGCTTCGAGGTTCCAGACCAGATCCGAGCCCGAGAACCCAATTAATTACTGTACTGTATATTGCAGGCATGTATTAACATGGGAATTGACTCGGATCTAATCACAGAATCGAAACAATGCTCACATTCGGGTAAGCACTTGCGGTCTTTTCGCTTGCGTATGCCCCTAACTACACCGTCTTGGTTTCTTTTGGGAGAGGATAGTAGTGATCACAGTGAGGATAGGTAAATGCACAAATTCTTTAGGGGTATTAACCAAGGGTTTCCTGCCAAAGAAATGGTCAAGCTGTTCAAATGTCCGTACGACCGTATTTGTGAATTGTTCGCTTGTTGTTGTGTTATTTATGCTTCTGAAAAGATCTGGTTATTAATCAAAAGTCAATTACTTGGATTTCATTTTTCTTCGTTATGTTGTTGATGAAGCCAAAATTCTATGCTTTCAACTTGGGGTATGTATGAGAGATCACAAGAAGAGAGAAGAAATAAACTGGGTTTGTTCGTATGTACAGACTGGTGTAGGCGAAGCATTTGACTCGGAGGGTATGGTATTGTTTATGAAGCCACAAAACGGAGTTAAAATATAGACAAACTCTGCAATCCGGTGAGTCCCATCTAAGCGAGAGGTGTTGGTCGTTGAGCAAACGGATTACAACTAGTGTCTTGAAGACTTGACAAGAGGACGGCATTGCACAGGTGAGCTCTAAAGGAGGTCAAGGATTTACCAAGGCAATGGATGGGCTTGAATAAGAAGGATTTCAGGACAGCTGGAGAAGGTGTAGTTGAGAAAAATGGAGATTCGGAAGAACTGAATCTGAGAAGCCGTCTGGCTAAGCAGTTATCAGGATCTCTCAGACGACAAATGCCTCAGTGTTTGGAAGGCTGTCTCATGACAATAGGTGCAATGGAGGTTGAATCCTGGGTAGCCACACGACGATGAGTGCTCCGGGGCTAGCCGGAAAGGGAAACGAAGCGCCATTGTTGTTTCCTCCACAATAAGGACCATTTTGGTTCTGAGGGGTTTAGGAGAGGGAAGAAGAAGAAGTAGAAGAAGAGAAGGAGATGGAATTGTTTTGAGAAAGTCATTATGTGGTTAGGCCTAAGTAATTGTGAGTACTTGTAGATATAATGAAAAATATATGTCAGAGAATAGTCAAGATATAAAGATATATATACATCCAATTTGGTAAAGCATAGTCGACAAGGATCTTCTTATATTCATTGGTGTGAGTTTCGTATGTAAGAAGTTCAATGATCTCTCAGAGTTGTATTCTTACAAAATATCGTAAGTTTGTAAATATATTGAAGGGTCTTATGTATAGATTTTTTTATTTTACTGAAGAGGAAGGATTTGCATACCAGAAATACTTAAGAGGCTCTGTCCGACTGGGAAAACACATTGTGATCAGGAACTCAGAGTAGCTGCTGGGAGATTCTGATGGAAACAATGTCACCCTCAGTTCCTGCCTTCATCGTGTGATACTTCACAAGGATTCCTGCAATTTAGATATGTACAAGAATTACTGGGTGTATTCCTTTGTTTTTTCTAGATGAAGTTATGCAAAGTGATATAGACAAATATATGTACCTTCGTTTTCTTGTAATCTTGTGTGAACAGCGACTGCGTGGGGTGCGATGACTGCTTTGGGTTGTGAATCATCTGGCTCTCCGGTCCAAGACTTGAGTTGGAGAATACCTATAAAGGAGAAGGTGTGAACCAGAGCCAAAGATTTAAAGAGGAGAAAAGGAACATAAAGATACGCGTGTGAGTGAGCTTGAACTTACCTGAGGAAGAAGATGCTTTGAGATGTTTGAGATCAAATATGGCTCCACAAGCTGCACCTGCGTCTTTCTGTAGTTTATGAGATCCAATAAGATTGTAGTCCCAGCTTCCATCTTTGTATCCTTCACTCAGGAACAGTTCAAGGTGCCTCGCATCCAGTGTTTGCATTGTTCCTATAAAGTAAACAGAAACGTCTTAGTTGCAATTTTGTCACTGCAGAGAGACTAGTACGCTAACATCAATCCTAAACATTTCAATAACGTATTTTTGAGTTAATAAGCGCCTTTTACCATCACAGGTACTGAGGTCACAGACAGGGCAACGAACAAGCTGTAAATCTGTAAATAAGATAAGCCATGTTACATCTTTTTCGTTTGTGGACAAGTTCCAGAAGATATGAATAAGAAATCATTCTTCTTACCTGCTATCCAAATACCGCTTTTGATGTCTTTAATGATACATGAGCCACTGGATTGCAGCATCCGCTCTATGGTTCCTTCCCTTGGAACTTTCAGTTGACCACTCAAGCTCTCAGTCAAGAGTGACATTCTAGAGTCAAGAGTAAAGGCACCGATTCGCATCCAATCTGTAATTACAGAATTTCCAGATAAAATAAGGCTTGACATCTACATTAACATGACTCTTTTTTTCCAGTTTATAAAACCAAGAAAGTATGATGAATCTAATTCAAGGACTGACCGATATGCTTTTCCTTCTGATGGAACAAGTAAGAGTGACTCCCATCTGCATTGACCATACTCATTTCTTAGTTTACGTTTGTATTGAGGCTATATAACTCGGAAACTGATATAAATGTTATCTTCTTCTTTTTTGATGTAATATGTACAATATACTTACCAAAAGCTGAAGCATATATCTTAATCCAGCTTGAAGAAACTGAATACGGCTTTGGCACCTGAAGATCACGCAAGCAGGCAAACCTCCAAACAGCATCCTCCATTATGATCTTGTTAAACCACTTGTTTGTTGCTCCCAGCCTCACCAGTGATTTACCATCTAAAAACCTTGAAATGTATGTCCATATATCTTGCTCAAACCTGATTTGGCAGAGAAATATTTAAATACGCTGAGAGCTGACTCAGGAATCTGACTTAGATCTAAGAATCCTGATTCGAAATTGGAAGAGTTATAGCAATCGGTTTTCAAATTCTGGCTCGTGTTATCTGGATTCGATTTTTTTTTATGATTCAAAGCGTAAGAAAATTATGAAGAAACTCTTAAATCCCAGTATTCAGCAACCACAACAGTCACGAAAAGAGATCAATATAAGCATCTGTTACTCATACAATCCAATTTATTCTGAGATTTCAATCCCAGAAGGTACCGAAGATGATTGATCGGAACCTAAATCATAGATCCATCCAATACAGTAAAATTAAACTCCTCACAAACATTGCGAAATCAAACGAGAGGTCAGCCCAAACTCGCTCAGTAAACAATTCGTGAACAGATCAATTCATTCATAAAATCGAATCGAAACTAGGTGTAGTCTAGAGGGGAAGAAAATACCACGAGAAGGTGGAACGGTAAGTATAAGCAGAGCAGCGAGGAGATACACAGCCATGGATTCCTCTAAGGATCTTTCTGCTCTTCTGTTCGTTGCTCTGAACCAATCTTCTCTTCCCTCTACCATTTTCGTCTCTCTGAGGAGCATTCTTCTGTTCATTGCTCTGCACCAATCTTCTCTTCCCTCTGCCATTTTCGTCTCCCTCGGTAGCTTTCCTCTTCGCTCCACCAGATCTCGTCTGCATTCTCTCTCTCTCTCTCTCTGCTCACTCAGAATTTCACAAATCGCTAGTTTGTTAAGACGAAAATTTGATCCAGAAATTGTTTTAGCTATGAATCGTGTCGCAGTGACTATATACCCGCGAAGGAGACACAGCGAATTTGAAAATTTCGAAATGTCAAATGACTTATCTGACCCTGTAACAAACTTTCTGTGCCCGCCTCTCTCAGTAGTCGAGATAATTTTTTAAATTAATTCGAATTTCGAATCCGGTTTTGCGTCAACAGACGGAGCCTAAACCGAGAAGGTCCTCCCAAGCTATAAAATAAGAGATATTACCCAGTGTGATTAGACTTGTTCATGAAAGATCCAGATCGGCAAAGTAAAATCGACATTAGAGAAAAAACTAGAAACAATATTACTGTATGTAAAAAATTTAAAAGCTATCAACAATTTGGGACTTCTACGAAAAAAAAAAAACAATTTGGGCCGCTAAAAAAATAAAGTTTTCTTCTGTTGCCTATGAGGTTATTTTCGTAAAGTGGGTAAATCCTACACATTTACAAAATCGACACGCCGGGAAATGTACAATTCTAATGGCGTAACTAATGAATCAATCGTAAGGAAGTCAGCTGAACCAGCCGCCGCTACTGTTCAAATCTGTAGAGGTGGGGTGCAAGAATGGTTTTCGACTTCGAAGAGCTCTAATCAAATCAGTTCATGAACTTGCGACAGTTTGGAGCTCTACAGAGGCAAGGCACTTTGATTTCTTCAGATTCATCAACCTCGAAAAGATAATCATACCTGCAAGATATATATATTTTCATGATTTATCAAGGTAAAGAATTTGGAGATAAAATATGAAACCTATGGAAAGATAAAGCTGAAAAGAAAGTGTTACGTAAGCTCTTCGCCAGCTGAGACATTGGTCTTTGCAATGAGGACGATTCTGTTCTCTTCTCCATCACCCATACTCACAATACGTGCATAGCAATTGGGCATACACTGCACAAGACATGAGCATCATTAGTTTTTAGTTACTACTACTACTACTACTACTACTACGTTTTAGTCCAGTTGTGTTAATCTGGGGAAACTTACAGAATGATTGATCAATCGGGCTATGTTTCCAGAGTCAGTTGCATCAATCACTATCTCTTCGCTTATCTTGAATAGCTGCGTTGTTAAACAATAAATTGACCATTAGAAGCAGCGGATAATGGTGAATGTGTAAGCACATTAGCACAGCAATCCGAACATACATAACAATCTTTCCCTTGAGAACGATAGTTTGCCTCTCTCAGATCTGCAACACTTCTCCTAACTTTCACCCCACGATACTCGATGATCTGCACAAGAATTTCAGTATCAGTTAAATAAGCACATCACATTCAATTTAGCCATCGAATATTTATTCGTAAAGGCGTAAAATTAATACCATTTCTCCTTCTTGAATACTCGTCTTTGCAAAGAGACCCCATCCATGTATGCCAGATTTACCAAAGCAGACCCGAAGATTTTCCGTCCTCTACAGGCGATACTCTTCCTTATAAGATTACAGGATAACAAGATATAGAAAATATTAAACTCTTCTTGAATCGACGTTTACCTGCAAATGCTTTAGCCGTTCTTTGAATGAAGTAAAATCTGACGTATCTGCTTTCTGTGTAACAAAGTAATAGGTAATCAATAACTTGCTGAGATATTCAGAAAAAAAATTGTCTCAAGTAAGAGATACACTGACATCAGTGGATCTCTGAATGAGAAACTTGCCTTCAGAGAGTTAAGATTCTCGATTGCACCCAAAGAATGATGGCTTGGTCCCTTCAGTCTGTGGTAGATCGCCTCCAGATCAATCTTCTGAAACATCAGCAGTAACAGAGATACAATAGTACCAAATTTTATCGACTTCGTTTTGCAGGGGAATACTTAAAGACTGTCCAAACTCCAAGATTAAATGAGATATCCAGATGCATACCTTAGTGTTTGATCGACTATAGATACGGCATCTTGCTGCAGAAAGAGAATCAAATTCATGACTCTGTTCGGCTTGAGGTTGGATATCGGAACCCGGAAGCTTTATCTTCTTGGTCAAAACAAGCCTTGAACCTTTGATGCGTCCATTCTGATTCTGAAGCAAATTTCTAGAGCCAAAAACTCCTGATGGTGTGTGCACAACTACATTACTATTTGGATCTGGCTTCCTACATAGTGGGTAAAATGTTACAAGCGATCAGCAGGTCCCAATAACACATAGCAGATCAATCAAAGAATATGCCAGGATAGCAAAACCTGTGAAAAGCACAGTAAATTGACTTCCTGGTTCTCTGCACACCATTCTTCTCCAGGCAGTGCAACTAATATTTCCACAGACATTAGCATCAGTTACACAACCCTAAGACGATATACTAACAGAACACCTTTATTAAGGTATTAATATGAAAACTGAAGATAATCGTAGGCACAACAGATGCTAAGCGGATTAAGGACTAACCTCCATGCTGTAACCTGCCCGTGATGCACACATTGCGTGGAAGTGAGTGGCACACTTGCAGCATTGCACGCAGGAACCATGTGTCTGCTTACAAATTCTGCAAACCTAAAAGATATTTTCAGAAAAATATCAGATGTCAAATGTTATAAAACATAACAAAAATACACTGGTTATACTTTCTACTTCAACCATTTCATTAATACCCTAAGAAATGAATTTGCTGGAATTTTGAAAAGTCCAACTGCAGGCTCCATATTTTCGTGATTCAAAAACCCAACTTCCGGCCGGAACCAAGCACATGTTACATGAACCCACAAGCCCTCCACGTCGCTTGGTTTTAAAGCACCGCCTGCATAAATGTAAGGGAAATTCAGTTTTAAATTAAGGAAAGAAGTAAAATTCGGAGTTCAATTTATGGCACCTCTGTACTTAATAGCGTGACCTTGTGACAAGACAGCCAAAACTCAAAAATAAGCCATCACTAATGCAAGATGGGAAGAAAAACATAGAATGAGCTAATACTGCAGTAATACCTTTTACAGGACAAAGACAACACTCTCTCTCGATATCTGGTGTTTCACATGCTCTGCAAACCCAGGAGGTGAGGTCTTGAGCTTTGCTTACCCCATAGCATTCTTGATGCACAGCTACTTGACATCTGGAGACATTCAAAGTTATGACTCAATGTTTAAGAATACAATCGCTGTAGAATTCAGTAAAAACGCCGTAGAGTAACCTGTTACAGATGATCATTTTATTTTCTTCCCAGTCTTCTACCCATCTACATACAGCACACCTTTCAGTCGTCCACTTTGCACTAACTGGTTCATACTTTTCTGTACATACAAAATAAGTAGTAAGGCTACCAAATATGAACTCCAAAAGAGAAGCCCGTGCTTAAGAGTTGAGCTTTAAATCTACCTTCCAGCAAAGAGAGCATCTTCTGCTTATCTAACATCTGGGTTTCTAGGGTAGGGGCGCTAAATCCTGCAATCTGCAGTACCTTGTTGTCAGCATTAATCTTGTACAGACATTAAGAAAAAAAATCTACATGCGAATTTCAGGGGTATATATAAGGGCCAGCTTTATACAAGTATAGTATAAGGGGTGTACCCATTTTTCTAGAGTTAGCATTGTGCCTTTCACTTTTACACTGTACTTCCACTTTTTGGCTCTGCAGCCTGTATGCCGTTCCCATTCACTTGGTGTCTGCTTCCTTGCTCCACATGAACCACACTTGCACTCAATTCTGAAAACAATATTCCAGGAATTGATAAAGAAGCCTTGGATATAGATTGCATTGTCGTTTTATAAGAAAATTCATTTTAAAGTAGGCAATACCAACAATTATATATTGTAGTCTTATGTAACTATATTCAATATTCATAGAGGAAATTCTGTCTAAACGAGAAAATTCAAATGTAAGGCTGAATTATCTAACTCTTACGCATGAAACTTTGTGATATATGTCCCTTCCATGCCATTGCAGACTACAGTAATCTCATCCGGCAACTCAGTCTCTGTAGCTTTTTCTGTAGACCTGTCTCACGGAGATTGTAAGAACAATTATCAGATTAAGGAATTAGAAACAAAGCAATGCAAACAACAGAAGCAGGAGAAGCCATGTTTTCAAAAGAATATAGTGAGAGCAACATACTTGAACAATGAGTTCTGTTCATCTAAGACGGTCGATGCGCGCTCATGCTGAGCTCTGCAATTAGGGCAATGGTAATTGTTGTGCTCCAGTTCCTTAAGATGATAACCAAATTAGTTCAATCCTTCGATAACAGTCTTAAGTACTTAAAATCAGAATTTGATATCCAAGGAGTTGTATAACTGCACCTTAAACCGCTTGTTCGAAATGTTGTCGCACCCAGCATGTACCCATATATCGCATCCATCACAACATACCTATTACATCAATCAAGTCAGCTGCATAGATGTGATAATTTACCACTCAGGTCAGTATTTCACCAAACATGGTCAAAAATATTCTCACCCAATCTCCACCATCTGAAGAGTCCCATAATATCTTGCAAATGCCACAATACTGATTGGATTTCCGCAACTGAAACAACAAATTTGGATTCAATTCCTTTCGACCAACGAAAAACAAAGAGTAAGGAAATTTCCTAAGAACCTTTGAACAGCGCTTGCATAAAAACTCTTCAGGTTGTGATCCTTTTGTCCTTTTCAGAGATTTCGATGGCATTACTGTGCCACAGCCGTCGCAGGTCCTTATGTCCACATGAAAGGATTCCTACACAAAAGTTGAATCAGCACATCGTTTTCTGGGAAGCATTGCCAATAACTGTGAAAGAATTGGATACCTATGGTCCATCCACACCTATATATAATGCTTTCATGACTTAAAAAGGAAAGTATATCAACGGATGTAGTTGCTTCTGAATTAGGCAGGATGCCTATAGAACTGACTGCTGAGCTCGATAGGAAGACATGTCCTCAATTGATTTGCTCTTAAGTTCTAAGGAAAGAAAAGGAATAGGTGTCAAGAAAACGTGCCTGAATTCTATAAGCAGGCCCATGCTCCTGGTCGGATTCAGTGGCAGAGGAATCTGGGCAGCTGATTTCAGCAGCTCCACAATTACCCTCAACCCCATTGTCTGCTAAAATTGCTTCTTCGAGTGCCTTCTTAAATTCGTTTGGATTGTTATTGTACAAGTTTGTCTGATCTTGAAATCTGGAGAGACAAAAGACTAAGGACCAGTACAAATATACAAAAATGAAAGATTCCAGAAAGAGCGTGTCATGTACTTACTTGTCCATAAATTCCGTAAACGGAAACATCATTCCTTGTCTGACCCATCCATAGTCCTGTAAATTGACCAGTAGTTTCAGAAAAAATAATAATGGTTGCATCTACCGCCAACTTGAAGAGACGGAGACAAAAGACTAGTATCTTACCCTCTGAGTTCCATTCTTCGAGTGCCCAAAAAACATGACACAGAGTGAGCCCGGGACGTAATGTTTCAAGACTGCATCAGGCGCTTGCGAAATCGGATCGATCACCTTAGCCGGCCATGCTGGGAATCTTTTCCCAGACTTGGCCCAGACAAGATCTCCGACCGCGAAGTCCTCTGGTTTGTAAACGCCCTTCCTCATGGCGGTGGGATTTTTCAGCGTACCAGATTCGGCAAGATTACGCCCGGAAAAAGACTGCTCTTTACCTCTCACAGAGAAAGAATTAGCATCATCGGAGGAAGATAACATCGAAATATTCGCATCTTTTTCATTACCCCAGTCATCAAAATCCAGTTCGCTGCCATCTCCGTTATCCTTACGTGGAAATAGCTTCCGGCCCTTGCTGAGATTAAATTTCGAGCTTCGGCTCATATCATGACCACCACCTTTGACTTTCTTCACAACATGTATGTCGTCATCATGGCTAGGCTCCTTCAACTCGACTTTGCGACGTCTAGTATTCCATGCATCAACAACCGAATCGTTGAACCTTGAAGGAACCACTCTAACTCTGCCCCGCGAGGACTTGGACTGGTCGGAGCCCAGATGAGATTCTTTGCTGGTCAGGGAGCCTCCGCTACTTGTAAGATCTTCGGGTTCTCTACATGGTTGATCCACGCTTGCTCTCTGCCTTTTCTTATACACCATAATCTCACCCTTTTTGCTCCCATAATCAATTTCTGAATCAATTTTGCACTGCTTCAGATTCTGATTCTCGAATGTCAAGGTCCGTTTCAGAATCATGTCCTAACTCACTAATCCTTGCCTCGTCAACATAAACGAGTATCCAGATTCCAATTCCAAAACCCTAATTCATCAAACAACAGATTCGATCCTCGGGCCTCCAGAAAAACCTCGAAAAGAATCAATTCCACTCGCAATTCGGCTCAATACTCTATGAACCTAATGCGAAACCGTCTCTTAAACCCCAAATTCGGAACGAAAACAAATTCTCGAAATTCGTACGATTTCCTCTGAGGATAGAAGAGACAAAAAAGGAAATAAGAAATCAAACGGAAAAATATCGCGAAATCGTAAACTCGAGACGACGAAGAAACAAAATGAATCCTCGTGGTAAAAACCTACTACCGAGAAGGTAAACCCCAAACGCTCCTTATAGTCGACGGCGAGGGAGAGCGAGCGGAGGAGAAGGATCTGTTTGGAGCGTGTGTTCTGGAGAAGGAGACAGACCGTCGTCGGTTTATATATTTCCTTATTAATTTACGAATTAATCACGGTTATGGCAAATAAATTCGCCTAAAAAATGATTAAACGAAATTGGAAAATCGGGTTATGCTGACGTGGCGGCTGGATGGAACAGTGTTTGGCTCCAGGGTTTGGGGACGAGGGAGAAGAGAGGGTGCCAAAATTTCAGGCCTACAGAAGCGCCAAGTCGAAAAACTTACTTCATTAAATCCGACGTGGCGCGTCCAAAAATAAGTAAAAATGTAAAATGATAAAGCTTGTTGGGCTTTATATGCTTCACATATGCTACAGATATTTTATATTTATATATTGGGCCTCTTTTATTCCTATAAATCGGGCTTAAGTTTTGACTTTCAGAATTCATTATATTTCAAAAGATTACAACAACAACAAAAAAAATAATGAATAAGTGTACTTTTCATTTTCAAAATTTTAAGCAAATGGGTAAGGTAGAGGTGCGACGGTCCAGGTTGTCTAATGTCATTTTCAAAATTTTCTTTGTATAAAAGAAATTATTTTTTAAAAAAAAATATAAATTCAACCTAAACAATATAATATTTAGTAGGATTTAAGGTTTTTTCAAAAAAAAATATTTATATAAAAACCCAAACAATAAAAAAATCTATATTAAATGAGATTTAAAATCTTTGTGTATAAATTAAGGGGTCCAAAAACTTTTTTTGCCCTAGGGCTTAAAAATTTAGTGGGCCGGGGCTGTTCATGGTAGTATAGATGCCAAGCCACCATTATAATGTACTCTCTAGATGTTTGACTTTGAAGTACTTCATTTGCTGATTACAGTCTTGTTTTATGTGGACATTGTAATTATAAATTGGATGTGAATCCGTGCCTTTACTCTAGGCTGAGGGTGTGAATGGTCATATGAAAGTCCCAAGGGAAAGAAATTCATGTGTTACAAAAGTTATCCTAAAGATCATTAATGATAAAAGGTTGAGCATCGTTAATGGCAGCTTCTGTATTTTAATATTTGGAAAGACATGAGAAAGGAATAGGATTAAAGTTTTAAAATCAAGTTGGTTTCCTTTGAAGCCATTTGGTAAACGTCTACTCTCGTTAATCACGTCCGATTAAAGAAAAAGTGTTCACAAGCATCAGCCATAGAAGAAGCCAATTGGGAGCAGCATTTTAGGCAAATTTCAAGGACAAACGTTCTCATGTTATATATAAGATTGTTACTCTCATTTCTCATAATAGTAAAAAGGAATAATACATTACAAGTCAAAAATGACAACAAAATCAGATCCATCAAAAACAAACCTTTGGAAAAGAAAAAAAAAAAGACTCCACCATGTTTGTCTAAACGAAATTCAATCAACGACTATAAAATTCAAGGACCATAATGAATTTAGCCAACAAAATCCCAAAAAGGGGTGTTATGTACAGAAACAGAGGAATGACAAAGACAGAGGATCTTGAATCAGACACTAGTAGAACTTGGATGTGTCTCAAAAGAAGGAGGCGTGTGAGAAGAAGGTGAACCAATGGAGCCACGAATCCTGAATATTTCAAGAACAAGAAAAGCAAGCAATGTCACTGACAAAACGAATCCATATCCAATTTTCCATCCATCTTCTTCATTATTAGCCATTCTAATTCCAAGAACAATGTTCACTGCTCCAAAGAACAGAGAGATTCTCCCAATCCAATGATGATACCAATTCCAATATCGCCTCATCTTTGTCTCCTTTTGCGGCCGCGCAAAGAAAGCAAAAACCTGCAAAACATATCCGAGGCATGTTCAACCAAAACTTCTAACCTATATATTTGATTCTTTAACTCGAGAAACTTCCAAGTCTTGATTCTCAAACCTGGAGAATGCTAAGGATCAGAAGAAAGATCCCAATGCCTCGATGTGCAGGTATATCCGGTTGGATCCTATTGTAAAGCCGAATTCCAAGAATAACAGCGGCTAAACCGAAGATAAAACCCGTGAATTGAATACCGATGTGAAGATAATACCAAAGAGGATCTCTATGTCTGAGATATCTCGCGAGGATTGCCCCTAGTGGAAGTAAGAAGCCCCATCCGAGTATTGCCATCATTCCATGTTTTGTCTTATCCGTAGAAACTGTCGTTTTTATGGATGTTAATCCATTTGCTGCATTGACCAAGAACACACAAGAAAATAAGTATTGCAGTATCCCCTGTTTTTAGCTAGTCTAGACTAGTATATGACTATTCTATTGATAATACTAACACATGTAAAATATTAGTTTTACACCATTTTAGTTTTGTTTCTTTTTATCAGATATCATTTACGAATTATATGCCCACGAAATTCGAATAGTACAAGCTATGATCATATTTTCTCTGTTTTACAATAGGTCATGTTTGTTCAGATGGATACCTTTGGAGAAATCGACGATGACAGTAGTTTTATCATCATGCTTAGTCAAACGGCCTAGCTTCGAAGGATAAGCTGTGCTAAACGCTAGAATCACTGCTCTACGAGGAATTTTAACGGAGAACTTCACCTGAAAAGCTAAGTAAATCATTGCTCCGTGAAGAGCCACAACCGGAGGGACTTTCTGTAATTGCAACTCTCCTTGATCCGGTACAACTTGGTCTCTCTCTGTTCCTTGGAGATAGTATTGTTTGATTTTGGCGTGACCTTTTTTCGAAATCCACCCGATCATCGCGCTTGATCCCACCATTCTTCCGTCCTTGGAGAATCCCATTCCGACCCACCCGGTCGTATATAAAGCCGATACTATGATCGTCACCACATTGTCTCTGTTTTCAGAGTACTGCAAAACAGAGAGATTGGAAACGGGATGACATATCAAAATGATGGGTTCAATTGGAAATCAAAATCATGGGTTTATTGAATAGCAGAGAGGAATCGAAAATCAAAATTCAAATTCATAGGTTTTGGAAAAGTTTGTTACTTTTTGAGTGATGAGTGTGTAAATGAATCATTTTTAAGTTACCCGTAATACGAATGTGTTCCAGAGAGGCGTGCATGGCATGGAATCGGAGATATTGCTGTACGGTGGAGGGAGAAAATCAGATAATCGGTTTGCTAAACAGAGATTTTGGGTCGAATCATCGATGGAACTGACGTCATTTGCAAGTAGAAAAGGCAGATTTTGTTCGATTAAAAAACAGAGGATGTAAAATCCGACAAGGGTTCTCATGGTCAGAATAGAAGCAGAGTGGGGGGTAAAGCGTAAGAGTGAGGAATAATGGAGGGTTTTTTTTGGTGATGATTACTTGAAGAAGAAGAAGAGTGATTGAGTTTGGTGGTGAAAGTGGTTGAAGATGGCGATCAATCATTATCGTCAAATTGTTTTAAATCTCCTCCTCGATTAGATTTTGAGAAAGATGCTGGCTGGAGTTGATGTTTTACTGGTTAAGTATCGGACAATTTATGTCCGCTCTGTCACTAAATCGACACGTGAACCGACAGAGAAATACCAAAATGCTATGAAAAATTATTGCGTTTCCCAGTTTAAAACAATTGTCAGTTGCTATTTGAGGTTGATAAAGTATGAAATCTTTTATAAGATATTATGAATCTAGAGTTTTTACTTTGCTTATTTGGGGGAAAAGAAGAAGTGGACAGAGAGGGGTCGTAAGTGGACCAGAGTGGGAAGTGGATCAGTCTTAGCCTGAATCACTTACTCATTAGGTATATTTGGTCAGGATGGTGCCACGATATTGGAACGGAGCTTAGAAACAAAGTAAACTATAATAATTAATCAACTTTAATTTAGTTTCTATAACTTTCATTATTGTACCCAATCACAGACGTATTTAATTCTTGATTGTTTGTTTGTTTACGGTTTTGTGTTGTGTTTACGTCTTCTTCTTTCTTTATCTATATAAACCTACATGTTTAGCACTTCACCCAGATCTCAATTTTTTTGGCTTAACTCTAAACGCGAACAAAAATAAAATACAAACATTTGATGTACGTCTGCATTTACATTTCGCAGTAGTATTTTATTGCTAAATGAAAATGTTTTATATTAGATGCAGTTTTGTTGGTAATATGTTTTTTCACAGGGCCAAACGCAACACACAGAAACTGACGTGTAATACAAGTTATTCCTGGGCTTTTATCTTATACAATACAACTATCTCTCAGCTATTCTATTCTAAACTATCACTATCGCGTATCGTTTTATAAACGCAATAATCTTTCCACCCTTAATTCAAAAATATTCTAATTATTATTTAAAAAATAGGATTATATTTAATAAGATGGAAGCTTTTGGCAAAATGGGGATGTAGCTCATATGGTAGAGCGCTCGCTTCGCATGCGAGAGGCACGGGGTTCAATTCCCCGCATCTCCATCCCTCTGATCTTTTTCTGCTTCGTCATCTTCCTCCTGTTTCTTGTCCTCTCGAGGTTTGCCGTTGGATTGACACAGAGAGGGTAACAAAATACGTTGTTATACGTGAATCCTTTTTTTCTAATAATGTGATCAACCATTTTTCTGCCTTAAAAGATACTGATCTATTCGTCTTACAGAACTTATTCAGAAACAACGTTAATTCGAACACCGAATAAAACAAAAGAAAAAGAAAGAATGGAAAAAGAGAAGCGAAAGAAACGTATCCTAAGGAAATAAAGAATTAGAGTGTGAAGAACTCTCTACTTGGACCAAGCAACTGCTTCAATATCCGCTTGAGCACTTCTATACAACTCTAGCCTCTTTGCAATTGAAGTCCTTCGCTGCTGAACAGCAGGATCCTCATCCAACAATTTCGACAATTTGCTCATCTAATTTCAACACCAAACCCCTTTTTAGATTCTTAATCATCATCACATATGTATACTGTATTATAGTTTAGTTTGTACATGGTTATTTTTTACCTCTTTCTGGCCAAGCTCAGTGAAGAAGTAATCAAGTAGGCTTCGTTTTGCTTCACGGACTTGACAGTAAACGATTGATTTTGGTATGGAGTTTCTCAACCCGGCGCAGACCATATTCACGTAAGACAACACATTGGAACCTATTCTTCTGAGATAGGCATCGTTGTATCTGTCGAAAATAGAATGTGTCGGGTTCCCGCCTTTTTCAGAATCTTGTGGGAGTTTCCTGAAGAACTCGACTGTTAAGTAACCAGACTCCATGTCTACTAGCAACAGAGTTGCTTTCCTGCTTTCATCTCTCATTCGATCCAATGAATCAACCGCTGCACCTGATACTTCCACTCTTAGTGTTGGATATTGTTTCAGTTCCTGTTTTGATGAGATTAAACACATAACTATGAGTCACAAGTGTTGTTGTTCAGTTTGTGAATATGAGCAGAAACTTTCTTACAGATGTTTCGCCGATGGATTTGTGTATAAGATCCTTGAGAATGGAATGAACCGCATCGACAGCTGCTTCAGCTGGGCCTCTAATGGAGACTAAGCATGATTCTATGAGACGGCGGTAACCTTGTTCAGGAGCTATGAGATGCGGTTGATATCCATCTGCTTCAGTGATCAGTTTCCGTACATTTTCCATTGAGAGATGTTTGTCGAATTGCAGTCTTTTAATGGCAGCTGGGAATTGATTGTCGAACACAGAGTTTATCTTTTCACCACCTGAACGTCTGTGAGGTTGTTAGTATTAATCATCATCAAGACACAAAACTGCACTGGTAAAAATCCACTAATATGTGAGATCACTCACGTGCCGTCAAGGTGTTCCTTGAACGTTTGATCAAAAGCACGGCAAATTTCCATGATCATATATAGTTTTCCCTGCATTCAAGAGAGTAATAGTGATTTGAAATAAGAGAAGAAAGTAACCAAAGAATGAAAATGCGAAAGGTCCTTAAGACATTAGATACTTACACCAGCATCAGCTGCTACAGGCTTCCCAAGACGGCTCAGCTCTGTCTCTAACTCGGAAATAGTCTTGGTGATAAGAGACTGAAGTCCCGGAATTCTTGACTTGATAACAACCTCCAAATGCTGCAAAACGTTATAGCTTGTTTTAGAGCAGCTGGCAAATCTTTGATGCCAAACAATTAAGAAGAATTGATATGCCAATAACAAGCTCCTCCTCAACTATTATACCTTGGAGAGCATCTTTCCTAAATATTCTGAACCCATTCTGTCAGTAAGATGTCTGTACTCTGGGGTGGTCTGGAAGTAATCACGTTCACGCCGACGAGCAGCAATCATATCAACACTTTTATTAATATCAGCTTGAGACCGGTTCACAACACCAACCCAAGGATACCTTAGTTTGTATCCCCTTCCTTCAAGTATCTGAAATTTCCAAAGATTTAGAAGACTGAGGGACTGTTTAATATTTACTCCCTACTATTTAGTAAATTTCTCATCTTATCTTCCATGTATCCTTTTCCCAATGAAATTAGAGATAGGTTGTTTAAGATTAGACGATAGTCCTAACTCAAAGCATGTATTAGTATCGTCTGAATGTAAACTTACGTCAACAGCATTAGTGCCCTGGTCCATGAGATCAATTTTTGTTAAAACTCCAAAAGTCCTGTCTCCTTATAGCGGCAACGTAGCAAAAATTATACAAAATGAGTCAATCCATTCAAACTACTATAAAAATATATTGATTGCATGATCATCGCCTTTGTTTATTACAGATGATAGCATTATTCTCATGTCTAGACACTGACCAGTGACCATTCAACTCAACTATATATCACATGCCTAGTAAACTGAAACCATATACTTCGTGTCCCAGTGGATAAAAACTCACAAGAGAAAGCTCAACGTGAATTCAGAAAGCATTTGTATAAAAAAGTGTAGAAATGGAAGTATCTGGAACCTTTTGGATCAACTTCACGAGATATCTTAATGGCATCAGACGTAGCAAGATCTTGATTTGCAGGGGAAATAGCTAGTATAATGCAGTTGGGCTGTCAAAAGGGAAATGGTTAATCGTTGTTACTTTGCTGTTAACACACAGTATTAAGGATATAAGCACCATCCATCTACAGCTGTATCCTTGCTTCATTCTTAATTTCTTTCAAATGATAGTTACCTTCTCAATAAACGATCTGACCATGTTCTCGATGTCTTGAACAATGCTATCAGGCTGACCCTCTACAACATCATTGGCACCAAGTTTTCATTGATGTTTATCAGTAAAGAGAACTTGGGTTGGGGGATGTATCCACTATCATGAGTGAACAAAGATTGTCTCACTTACCAACAGCTACCTTTGTAAGACCAGGAAGATCAACCAGTGTCAGATTCACGACTGCAAACATTTTAAACAGAGGAAATTATTAGAGTGTGGAGACTAGAATACAAGTGGCAAATATGGAAGAGAGCATGAACTTAAAATTTGATTAAATTTCACGTCCTGTGTATGTAGAAAATGAAACATTACAAGATCTGAAATCCTAAAGCATTTTCTCACCATTAGGGGAGAAGATACTGAGATGAATTGGGACTGAAGATATTACTTTGCTGCTGCGACCAGTTTCACGATCTGTCTCATCCGAGATCTCCTGCCTCACAGCAGCTACATTTCAAGAAAGAAGAAATAGATATAAGAAAACCAGATGAGAAGAATCTGTGCACCTAAATAACCAGTTGTCACAAGAAAAGTAAGGAGCCATCTATTCCTTCCGAACACGAAACATACCAAAATCAGTGAACTTCTTCTTCGGAAGATGCATAAACTCAGCATACTCTTTGCCTTCATCAATTCTGTGAAGCTGCAGGACAAGAGGTCTACGTGTAACAATCCCTACATGAAAGACATTGCTGTTCTAAGTAACAGTTATATATCTTGAGTTATAAAAATGTACGTTTTAATTAATCAACCTTACCTGCTCCACGAGGTAAAAAATCTTTTCCCACAACGCTCTCTAGCACAGAAGACTTTCCAGAACTCTAGATAATTAGAACAACATTTCATCCAATCAATTGAATTGATCCTCAAGATAAAAGAAATGTACATTGATTACAAGCATTGCATGAATACGAAACAATTTTGATTAAGAGCGAACGATTCACAACTTTCACTAAAATCGGACAGGCTAATCATTAAAAAGGGAGATAAATTTCCCATTGATCTCCTAGACAACACTAACATAATCATGAATTTCGATGAGATACACGATTTAAGGGGGAAACAGCAGATGAAAAGAAGCCAATAATTTCAGGAAAAATAGGATCAGATTATTCCAAGCATTGAAACCCCAAATGTACGATTACGGAACGAGAAGGCAATGCCGAAGATCTAAGAATCACCGATTCAAAATCTCATGTAAAATTCAGAAGAAATAGATCATACCTGACCACCAACAACGGCAATGGCGGGCAATGAGTCCCAGAGAGTTGGGAGGGAGCTTCCCTCGCCGTGATCTCCCAGAGCCGTACAAGCTCTCTGTATCTTGTTCACAAGCGAAATCAAAGTCTCCATCTCAGAAACAAAAATCAACCTAATCAGCTCAGATCATTCAACAGCGGGATCAAAATTCCGGCGCGAATCGGTCTCCGACGAGTCCGTGCGAGGAGGAGAAGAGAACGGAAACGTAATAACCGCGAATTGCTATCTATTAGGCGAGGCGACCGTTGAAATTTTCTAAGGAATATATAGAAACGCAAAGGTCAAGAATACCCAAAATATCTCTGTTTGAAAAGTCAAACCTCAGAGCGAGGCCTACTCATAAATGTTAAAGGCCCAATATGGAACATTGGGCCCAATTTTAAATAGGAAGCCTGAGGAATAATGATTGATTCATTTAGTGGATGTGATTAATATAATGATTATAAGTCTCTTTTGGACCGAAATGCGTAACGACAACATAGACCTACACATTTTGGGTATATTCTTTATGTTCGAGTCACGATACTCGAATGGGTAATACTATATCCGTTATGATATACGAAAACATTTTCTCTCCACCACACGATTTCTATGTTAATAATTTGTTACCAAAAGAAAAACGAGTTTTGGTTAGCGTAATTAGTTTTTCTAATTTGGTTAAAAGAATTAGATTATGGAAGAAATCTGGCCCAGTTGAAGAATCTCCCAATCTTTCTTCGCCAAGTCTCCAGACACTCCACACACACTTCTTCTAATCTTTCTCTCTGTATGTCGCAGAGTAAGTTTAAAAAGCTTAGCAACTTTCTCTCATGGAGTCGCTTACATCAAATCCTTCCTTCGCTTGTTTCTCAAAAAGCTTATCTCATTACCCTTCTCGTCTTTCCTTCGTTAAGCTAACTTCTATCCACAAGTTGGAAGCTCCAAACACCATCTCGTTATGCTGTAAATCATCCCCTTTGGGTTCCTCGAATCCTAAACCTGATTGCAATGCTAGTAATCGCCGTATCCAGCTGAACCCATTCTGCGTTTTGCGTCCAATCATTCGAACGATTAAAGGGTTGGTTTCGTCTCAATCCCGGCTATGGATGTCGCGTTTTCGAGCTTACAGAGACGATACGGCGGCGTTTTCCGAGAATTTCGCCGGAGATCTGAAGCACAACGGTGGATTGGGGATTGCCCTTTTGAGCGTCACGGCTTCGGCTAAGGTAAAGATTAGCCCTTTCGTGGCGACGCTCTCGGCGAATCCGACATTCGTCTCAGCTGTTTTCGCGTGGTTCTTTGCGCAGTCGAGTAAAATGGTTATCAATTTCTTCATTGAGAGGAAATGGGATTTTCGTCTACTGTATGCTTCTGGTGGAATGCCTTCGTCGCACTCGGCTCTATGTATGGCTTTGACGACCTCTGTGGCGCTTTGCCATGGAGTGGCAGACTCGTTGTTTCCTGTTTGTTTAGGTTTTAGCTTGATTGTGATGTATGATGCTATTGGCGTTAGACGCCATGCCGGTATGCAAGCTGAGGTAACGGAACCAGAACCAAATCTGCTTCTTCCTTCTTTCTGTTAAAGCATGTCAAGTTTTTAGATTTTGAGATTTTTACTGAGTTTGACTTTGGTCTTAGTGATTGCTCTGTCTATTGTACAAGTTTGACTAGATTCTATACGAGGACACCTATGACGGAGTATCGTTTTATGTATTACTAAGATAGTAAAAAAATGTTAGGGAATATGGTGATGGATTCAAGTCAACGCTCTTTACTTCATGGTTGAATTTGGACTTGATGTTAGTATGTTAGGTTCTTGTGAAAGTTGGTTTACTAGAGGTTATAGCATTATTGTGCACAATAAAAGTTCACCACTAGATATGGAATTATGGACATTTAGGCTAACGTTGATGTCTGTTCTTCGTTCTTATATGACCTTTTGTGTTCTTATAGATGGTTTGAAGAAATTTCTTATAGATGGTTTGGTTTTGCATTGTTGAGCACTATAGAAGTTTCTCGAACATCAGGCACATGTTGATGATAGCTGTTGTTGGTTCTAGAATTATCTGTGGTGATCTTGATAACATTCCAGAGAATGAAGAGTTTTGAAAGAGCATTATACCATGTGTCAATCTTGGTTTTTTTTTTTGTGAGATAAGATGACAATGTTGGCTTTTGTCTTTGTTGATGTCAGGTTCTGAACTTGATCATAAGGGACTTGTTTGAAGGACATCCCATCAGTCAAAGAAAGCTTAAGGAACTGCTCGGTCACACGCCTTCGCAGGTTCTTGCAGGAGCATTAGTTGGTATTGTGATTGCTTGCCTTTGTTGCCAAGGCCATCTCGTCTCAGCCTAAGATCTCTCATTAACTCTTTTATTCATTAGTTTTCTGGTTGTTTTTGTTTTTTATTCGGCTCAAGTTATGGGTTGCATCGACTTGGCTAAGGTTCGTGGTTGTATCATATGTGGTGTTGAGCAATAGAGAAAACTCGTGCTTCTTCATTCTGGTTTTTGTAATCACTGAAAATTGCAATGCGAGCTGGTTTTCTATATTTCTCACTCTCTCTCTCCTTCTCCGGCTTGGTGCCATAATGCCATAACCAATGCCTTTCCTTTCCTCATATTTCTTGGCCAAGATATCCACGGCAGCTTTGAATGGCTTCAAGGCATGAATCTCACCAAACGTCCACGGAAATATCATCAATCCAATATCTAAGTTTCTAGTAATTTGCATTTTGGCATTGCCTTACAAGAAAAACGAAAACTATTGAAACAATAATAACTGATCTTGACTGATGAAGGAACTAATTAACTAAAGATAAACAAAACACATCACACATGTCAATGCCAGATGTCTTAAATAAAAACTCAACACATCACACATGTCAATGTTTGAAGACTAAGGTGGAGAATATCGATAATCATGACAAGTTTTGAACAAAGGCAAAGAGATAAAGGAGGAGAAATCAACACTTCTTGGTGGAGACAGAAGGGGGCACTTCAGTCCAAACTTCCGAAGCCTCCATTCTGCTTTCTCGAATACAGCATAGGAAAATCCATTTTGATGCAGGAAGTTGACAAAATCTTGAGCAATAGGAATTTGCTTTCTTCACACTTGCGAGCTTTTCCTGTGAAGGGTACCGAGTAGACTGACAACAACGACTTAGAATACTGTTGAACATCATCTCGTGTGCTGCATCTGTGACACTTTTAACAATTTTCACTGCTTCAGCAAGGTTCTCTGTACTTTTGGTACTTGCGTAAGCATCAATCAAGGAGCCAAAGTGGTAATACTTTGTCTGAGGCCAAAGTGCTTCTCCATAGTCATCAAGTGTCTGTATGCCGAGTGTGGTTTCAAAGCTTGACTAAGTGCAGTTATAAGAGCTCTATAGGTAACAAAATTGATTTCAACTTATATAGTTAATAACACTCTATATAATTTTTTTGTAGAAAACACTATAGTGAACAAATTGTGCACAATAAGAAAACAACAAATAGTTAGTCTAACTTATAAGTGTGTTGAAATGTATGATAATGATGTTATAAAATGTGATGGAAAAATCCATTTTAAAACAAAAAATAAAGGATCATAGTCTATAATGCAATGCGTTTTTGTACCTAACATGTAACATGTTTTGGGAGGATTGTTGTCCTCAACATTTAGAAGAACAAAGCATCTGCTTCAGATGGTAAATTCTTAGAGTAGACCACTAGCATTGAATTATAGGTTATGATGCTTTTGTGGCTTGCTCTTCTGAAAATGTTCTTCGCATATTTAAATGCTAACGAGTAGCTGTCTCCATACATTCTAATAACTCTGCCCAACCCCCACTCGCTACCTAGTATTCCGCCAACTCTAAAAGTTAGAGCATGAATGCTCTTGACTTAGTTCTTTATAACTAGGGTTCCTTAGTCGATGCTTTACAAGACAAAAATTCCTGAGAACATTGCTGAAGCCGTGAATATCGTGAAATAGGTGGCAGATGAGAGGACTTTCAATAGTATTTTAAGCCATTGTGTCCCTAACCTTTCCGTTTCACAAGAAGAGCTGGTATGTGTGTTGAAGGTGATTCCGATAGCTCAAGATTTGGAGACTTCGAAAGTTTAGAATGAAGTGGCCCCATTCCGTCTCCAACGAAGACGTATTAAGAGGTGAATCCAATCTTTTAGAAAAAAATTAATTCTGCTTTCCATTACGAAACACACAGCACAAGATCCTTGTCGACTATGCTTTACCAAATTATTTATATATATATATATATATTTATTTATTATTCTCTGACATATTCCATTATATCTACAAGTACTTACAAATTACTTAGTGCCTAAGCAGATAATTTAATTATTATTTTAAATAGCGACAAGTTAGTAAAAAAATTAATAATTATTTTGAAATGGTAAATAAATCAACCATCAAATTAGAACGGATAAAACTCAATTATATAGAAAAAAATTGATCAAATTAAGTAACTGAACAAAGGGAAAAAAATTAATGGGAACAAATATATTATCGGAGACCAATAGTTATTATCCTTAAGAACTTACAATAATTATTTGTTTACTGGGGCTGCTGTCCCCATCCCAACTAATGCTAATGCTAGGCCCTTTGGCTTAATGCCTCAGCTACTTTTCTAGTTAGAATCTTTCAGAGCCCGCTTCGATCGTCTTCTTCTTCGGCCGGTGGGTTTCGTCTTGAGGTTGAAGACACCTTTCATCAACGAGCTTATATCCACAGATCGATCTCCCATGATCTTATCATGGTACATCTTGCTTCCTATCTCACATATCTCTTCCTCTACTTCTTCTAATGGCTCGTCTATATTCAACTTCAGTTCTCCTTTCCTGATAACCGTTACACCAAACCCATTCGCCTTAGCTTCTCGAAATGTATCCTGTATTATATGTTAAAGAGTAACAACTTTAAAATTGATAAGAGCATAGTTCGTCTAATTAAAGTTTCTTCCTTGGTGAATTTTCTTTACCTTTGGCGGGCGCGGAACAATGAAAACGTTTCCAGTTCTTAGCAAATCCAAATGAGCTTGAATAATGTAACAGAGGTTTCTACAGTCTGCAGCGTCCTCGAAAGCAATCACATGATGTGGTTTGGGTTCTAACTCGAGATCTGTTGCCATCTCCAATGTGTAGAACCCTACTTGTTGCTCTCCTTTCTCATCAACTGTGTACAACTCAAGGCACTGAAACACGAAACAGAAGATAAGAACTTTGAGCTTCTATCTCCAAATTTCAAAAGTGTTCAGCAAGAAAACATACCAGTACGTGCGGAAGATCCAACCACCATAGATAATCTTCTTCCTTATTTTCTCCATACTCGCGGTATTTGCTCACAACAGCTTGAGGACCAAACAACTCCATCTCTCTCTTGAGTTTGTTGAGTTTCTTTTCCATGAACTTCTTGTTCCTCTCTGGCAGCTTTTCCATTATATCAGCTGCGTCTTTGATTTCGTCTTCTGTAATCCATCGGTCCAAGTCTTTTCCCATGTCTCTCATAACAGCTTTCACTTCTAGATCAGTCTCTGCATTGTACAACTCCAAGAACCCGCGTGACCATTTCTTCGTGTGCTCCCAATACTCTTTTCCTGACTTTTTCCCGGGTCTAACAGATCCATCACTTCCTTCTACGACAATCTTTGGCTGGCTTGAGGTAATCTCAGTTGAAGAAGTGAGAGTGTTCTCAGAGGAAACAGACTGTGATGATTCCTGAAGAGAGCTCTGTTTTTCCTTTTTCACAGGAGACACAGACGCAGCCTTTCCAGAAAACAATGCCTCACGCTGTTCACGATAGTTATTGAGAAACTCAGGGTTCTTCTCAAGCGAAGGCCCTTTCCATCTCGGTATGACTTTCTCTGGTGGATCATACACACTGATGCCATCTGAATGACAAGAGGGAGGGATAAAAATGAGATAAATTTGACAAGCTTATTCACCGCGTCATTTGTAAATGTGAGATATGTATTGAGAAAACCTTGTTGCAAATTAAAGTGGTAGAGAACATATCAATTACCTACTCCGTAGTCGAGATTTTCAATGTTTGAATGAATCCAGTTATGCAGATGAGACAGTTTCTCATTTTCTCTCTCAACTTTCTTCTCCAAGCCTTGCAAAAACATAGCCTTGTCTTCGGCGTCAATCAGGTGAAATGGATCCCTACCAGCCAGCTCATTATCTCGAACATGGAAGACAATGTCACTTAGCTTTTCGTCCTTCATCCACTCAAGCTCATCATTATCCTCATTGCGGTAAAGTTCTGCAATCTCAGCAATCGTACCTGGCTCCTGAGTTTCTTTCTCTCTTGCAGCCATATAATTCTCTCTAAATCCAGCTCTCATTTTTTCAGCAATAGGTTCAAATTCATGGTAGTGTTTCTCCATCAAGTTCTCCTTCTCCTTCCCTGATCGTTGTTCCTTCTCTAAATGTTCAGTACCACCAGACGAACTTTCCACTGATTCGCAAAGACTTGTTTCGCGCTCTTCTATTTTGTTTTCAGAGTTTCCTTGCTTGCCCGGTCCCTTAACTGTGTTCTTATGGGGTCGGGAATCAACATCCTTCCCTGACGCTTCAGAAGATGTAGACTCAGGTGCAGCTTTCAAGGTTCCATTGACAACTGCACCAAGGATTTTCTTTTTCTCAACCAATTCGTATATTCTAGCTTCACTATGCTCTTCATCGCTCTGCTCTGGGAAGATTTCGTCAATGTCCTGAGTAAGCTCTTTCTCACCACCTCTTCTTGAAAGGAACTCTTTAGCTTCTTTTACAGAACGTATGACCCGTGACTTACTACGACCACTGCTATTATTCTTTATCATACTCAGCTTATCCTTAGAAACATCAGACGTTTGGATGATTCCGTCTCTAGGAACCAAATTACTCACCTTTTCTGCGTCAGATGCTGCCATTTCACGATTCAGAAACCCAGAATCTACCATAGCTCCATTCACCATCGGAATAGCCAAATCAGAAAGTTCAGTTTTATCTTCATCACTTTCAGTCGAAGTCCCCAAGCTTTCATATCTATCGTCATCATCACCTTCACTCTGTGTCAAACCCTTACGTGGAAGACTGTTCTGTGACCGCATGTTTATATCTTCATCATAGTCGCCCGATTCTTTGTTCGCATCGCGCTTCTCCTTTTCATTAAGTTCTATGCCAGCTTCTATCTCCCGGGCTCGTCTAGCCATTGATTTGATTTCAAGGATCTTATTATCAAAGTCCATGGATTCACCACTCTCACCGTGAGAAGAATTCAAGAGTTCCAATTTCTTCTCTGAACCCTTTACTCTAGATATACTACTCATAAGTTCTTTACGATCAAACTTAGGCTTCTCAAACGACACCAATGGCTTTTCCAAACTCTCCTCCTGCAAAACTTCCACGGTACCTTTCTCCACCATTTTCTTTTCCTTCCAAGCTTTCATCTTTCTCCTCATCATCTCCTTCTCCAACTCTGTGCACTCAACCTCATTACACTTCCTATACACAAGCACCATCTTCAGCAGCCAGAGTCCTATGTAACCACACAAAACAGCTCTTCCAATCGCCGGCAACTTGGGAATTAAGTCGAGACGAAGAATTGCGTTTTGGATTGAGGTAACTAACTGAAGCTCTTCCTTTGAAGAAGAAGAAGAAGAAGAAGAAGAAGAAACAAACTTGACCAGAGAAGAATCCTTATTTAACACATTTTCTCCATTCTCCATTTGTTCAGCTAATTTCTTCGCATATAGAACCCTAGAACTCGCTGCTTCCAAATCCTCGAGACCAGATTTTCTACTCAAGACTTCGTCTTCGTCAACAACTACTTTCTCCACGTTTCCAAGCGAATCCTGATGGACAGTGAAAATGGGATTCGAACCAATCCCCCAATACTCTGCTTCCTGCTTATACCGACAAACCCAGTCTTGAAGCTCATTCAACAAAGTCGAATCTTGAGAAACCTTATCTTTCAATCCCTCTGTGCTACCAAACTCGACCAAATCATCACTATGATCGAAATTGTGGTTTCCGTTTCGAGATTGCGTACCTTGGTCACAAGGAATCGGGTTCGGACGCCAATTCTCATCACCGATAATCTTCTTCCTCAGTGTATTACGTCGCCTCGAGGTCTCCCCGAACCGAGCCGATACTCGGAGAAATGAAGCGCGGTAGTACGGGAACTTGGAGCTGGGCAAGTTGAATCTATGTTGGTTTCTCTTGTTGGATTTCGACGACAGAGACGAGAAATTGAAGAAGCCATTAGGAAGAGCAGAGTTTAGAAGCTCCATTGATGGGGAAATGGATAAAACTACAATCCCTTTTTGAAGTGAAGAAGATGTCAAAACCCCAAAGGTGGGTTTATCAGAACAAACACGAATAGGTCGTCGTTACATAATCATTTTAAAAATGAGACTGATAAAGCTATGTTGCGAAAAAAAGGTTCGACATTTACATTTTTCCAGATCCAGATACATGAGACAGTAATGAACTATAAAAACCCTCCATGACCATGAGAGAGAGAGAGAGGAACAACCCAAGTTTATCGTCGATTACAGAGAAAGCCCTAATTACAGAAAATTCCAAGAAACATGGCTACAGATACAAAGCCAAGTCGGCGAAGTTTTACAAAATCGATTTGATTTTTAGGACAAGCTCGGGATACAAGCTCCTCCACCTTCACCACTTTGCTGCTGCTCTTTCCAGATTCTTCCGGTGACTCGCAGTTTCAGCTCTTTCCTGTCTCCACCTGAGAAGAAGAGAGCCATGTTTCTCTGTATAATTAGTCCATCATGACTGTCTCTAACTTTCCTGTGGCTGTCTCTTACGCTTCTTGGTGTTCCTTCCCAAGTCAGCTTTCGACCATAACCCCCCACTTCTAAACTATAATTGTAGTTCCGAGCTTCGGTTTCGTCACCCATGAAACGCAAGAACGCCATGTACACTGGAGCCATTCCGAGCTGGAAAGCCTCAAAGTGAAGACAGAAGTATTGACCAAAGCAGTGAAAGACCTGATTTTCAATTTGAATCAGAAACAAGATCAAAAGACAGAAACTTTGACAAAGAATGTGGGACGGTCATAGTATAGCAACTCCTGAGTATGTGTAGAGAGAGAGAAGATTCACAACCAATGATCTCGCAGAACAAGAGCTCAGCCATAGACTTTTGATTTCAGGAAAATTAATTTTAACTCACACCAAAGTTACCTAAATAATTGGACCTTCTCACTAAGTTATCATTCGGTTTTCATATTACATAAACCGAATTGGACATCCGTAAGCAGCACAACTGAAACCTGACTCGCAACAAAAGCAAACCTTGACTCCTCTGATTGCTTCACAATTTCACATTATAGTTAATACTAGCAAGATCAAGTTTCATCACATAAACAAGCTTAATGACTCTTAAACAAAGCCCCATAACAGATCTAAGTTTATAGAAAGCAATGAAACGTGAATCATGTGTACTTACAGTTAACATCCATGTGGCATTTTCGACTTCACGAGGATTAGACTTGACATAACGATGGTTAAAAGTACACCCAGAATGCATATCCACCTTGTGATCATCCCTCAGATGAGCAACTAAGAAAGGGATATCTCCCAGAACTGAACACTCGGATCCAGCATACGGACAGTTGTAAGGCCTAAAGTTACATATTGTCTCGTGTTTGAGCTTACTGTAGTAAGGGAATATCTCAGGACATCCAAGTGACATGTACTTGCATGGTAGTTCAAGAGATTCCGCTACTTTTTCCAGTGCCAAACAACGGATATCACCAAGCTCTTGTCTACAAGTTGGGCAGCGATTGTGAACTCTGTTCTTACAAGTTGAACATAGAGTATGTCCATTGTGACACTGCAGGGAAATCAAATAATTGTTTTACATAACTCTCTAAAGAGACAATAAGAATCTGGAAGTGGGTATCTACAAGGATAACGGTATATACAATCGTGATCAAGGATTATTCTTGCATATTACTCATTTAGTGACAAGAATGTTAAGTGGGAAACAAATATGGAGATCAACTATACAGAAAAGAACAAACCAAAAGACAATTTTAATAAGGAAATTTGAAACCCAAATCAAGGTAATTGCAATTTCAAGTTTTGTTGTACTTCCATAAAGACCACTTTCAAGTTTTAACATAACCACTGCTTGAACATCCAAATGTTCAGCAAACTCGGATAAGTTTATAGATTTGGCGATGTTTCTCCTCTAGAACTGAAAAAAAGCCCTAAAACCAATCAACAGAGTAAAGATCCGAGAACACAAAATCAGGGAAAAATCAGGCAACAAAGGGATTGGAAAAGAAGAGACCTGATGAATAGGAGGGTACATAGAATTGGTGCAGACAGGGCATTCGAGAAGCTCATGAACACTGGTGGTGGTGGGAAGAAGCCCAGAAGCAGCATTCGCGTTGCTGTTATTACTACTATGATGTTTCGAAACCGATGCGTACGAATGGCGATCTTGGTGAATCTCTTCGTCATCTGTGACATCCATGGTTGAAGTACAGTCCATGCTATCCAAATCCATCGAAGCCCCAAAAAAAAAGGAAAAAACAAATTCCCCAAGAAAGGTGAAAATTTGATTAATCTTCGATCGAGACGAACATCAAATTCGATTTACGGATGGATGAATTGAAATACCCCACAGAAACAGGTCAACCCTCGTGAAGTGTAAATTTCAAAATAAAAGGGAGATGCTTTTCTTCATGAATTCCAGAGAGAGAGAGAGAGAGAGAGAGAGAGAGAGAGAGAGAGAGAGAGAGAGAGAGAGAGAGAGAGCGTTGCCGTCAAATGAACCGGTAACGCTGATTTAAAATCGGACGGTCAAGAAGGCGACTGTAGTAGAGAGAATGTTATTGGAAAATTTAATTATAAGAGATTCAGAGAAGAATTTACCAGGATAGGAAAAATAATCATTTAATAATTATAATATCCTCTTCTTACTCAATGATTTCTTCGTTTTTAATTAAATGTTAAAATATTGTTTATGAAATAAATAAGGGCCCATGGTCCAGGAAAGATGAGCCTAAACATGTACAATGGTCGACATGATTGCATTTTTTTCTTGACGTTGTTTTTTTGGGTGTTGATTTTGATGAGTTTTTTACTTTTTATTCAAATAATTTATATAAATTTGTATAACAAAAGAAAAACAAAACAAGGATACTCGAAAAAACTCATTCTAAGATAATAACTCATTCTAATAAAATAGTATGAAATGTTGTAGGAGCTGCACAATCTCATTAAAAATAACAACTTTTTGGACTTTAATTTTCAAAGCTCATTCAAAAATTCATGAAAAGCATACATATACTTATCTTTCTTTTTTTTTCTTTTTAACGCACTTATCTTTCTTTTTTGACTAAAAGAGATTTATTTTGATAATTAATTTTTAGACGTTAAGAATATGAAATCTTAAGGGAATTTTGCAATGCGATATAGCTTGGGTTCAAAGACACTTAAAACACTTAAAAGGACCAATGATAATGTAAAAAGAACATCTTACTCTTCTTCATCTCAAGCAAACTATTCTCACACAATTCCTTTGAGAATAAAAGAAAATTATTCCATACATAATTGGTCTCATGATAGTGATCATCCTTAAAGATAAAACGCATAATAGAAAAAGCGAACAACGATCCAGTTCTCATGATCTGTCATTACTTTTTAACAAAACATGTCATTGTACTATCCTCTTTCTGTTGGGTTACTGTCTGAGAAAAGAAAAAAAGCTCCAGAGAATCTGAGTTTTGGCTGCAAAACTGTTTCTACATCAGTTTTGTCTCAGTTAAAAGAGAACACAATCACTACAGAATCTGTTTATTCACCAAAAAGTCATTACTTTTTGTACTCCTATTTGCATTAAAGAATCAAATTTGAGGACTTTCAGAATTAGAAAATGAGTAACCTAGAAAGATTTTAGTGTTTCTTTGTTGTTGTTACCACTGGTTCGCCGCTGTTTCCCGGTAGTTCTCATCATCACCCTGAGGCAACTGCTTCGGTTTAGTACCTTTTACCCGGTTACTTAACAGTCTCTCGGATATTCTATCTTTAGCCGTTGTTTTCTTACGCCGCATTGAGGAAAAGGTTTGTTTCTTGTTTTTTCTTGCAGCAAAGACTCTATCAAACTCTTCGTCGATAACAGCTGACCTGGAAGTTGAGGCTAAAGCAACATCACGCAGAACTGAAAAATTATGTTCCTTAACCTTAGCAACCTTTTTTCGCTTTGCTGTTTTCCTTATCTCTTCTCTGTCTTTCTCCCGGATATTCTTTAGAGCTTGTTTTGCTATTCGCCTAGCCAACTGATTAGGATCAGAATCTGAAGTTGTTTCATCCATAGGCACGTCCTGGTCGATACCTGTACTTGAAGAAGTTTGGTTTTCACTCTCGTCTAATGGAGATTCCTGGATTATAGGGTTTCCTTCATCATCCCGAGGTACAATGGGTCCATGAAACGGACATGCTCGTAGATCTCTTCTCTGGCAAAGACCACCTTTCTTTAGAGGAGCATGGCATGGAGAAATCTCACTTCTCTCTTCTCTGTAAACAGTTGCCTGGAGATTTAGTTCTGCTATTTTATCTGCTGGAATTACAGCATCTTGGTCCACTCTGCCCCAGTGGCTCTCGAGCTCTAGGCCTCGATGATTAGCTCGAACTTCCGTAGTTGAGTCCCAATTACTCAACTGTGATCCCCAATTCATCACGGGCGCTTCAGAAATTAGCTTATCCCTAAGAGAGCCACCACTTCTTCCAACTTCTTTAGTGCTCGACGCTTTACTGGACCTAGATTCTGATGTAGACTTAGATTCTGATGTAGACTTATTTGCTTCAGTTGAAGCTTGCAAGGACGAACCCTCAACGTTCTGACTTCTCGCCAAAGGAGCCACGTTTTCGACTGAATCAGTTCCAACATTGCCATCATCTTCCTCCCAAATATCTTCTTCTTCCTCGTTTGCTTCTTCTTTCTCCCGAGTGCCAATCATTCTTGAAATTGTAAAACCAGCTTCTTCACATTTCTTTTCAGTTGCCAATATGTTATTCCTAATATCCAAGAACTCTTTCAACATGGAATCTCTCGTCCTGTTATCAGTTACCTCAACCCTGATGAGAAGAGAGATCCCTTCTTTAGCCGAGATAAGATGCTTTTTCACTAGAAGCTTGCACTTTTCTCTCAATACATCGAATACCACTCTGTTTTCACTGGTTTCTTCAACCTTATCTGATTGCTTCAGTGAATCAAGACGAATTTGCCTCAGATGAGAACAACGGATCTCCTCGTAATCTTCCTCATCTAAGATCGCAAGTGGAACACCATCATCCCCTCTCCATCGAACAATTTGCAGACACTCGTTGATTTCCTTTATTGTTTCGTCAATCTCATATTTTAAGAGTCCAAAAGTGTCCCTCAAGGAATCAAACTTGTTTCGCAAAATCTCTTTTGTCCTCATCTCCCTCTCCTGTCTCTCTCGTTGAATCCGTGCAGCGTTGGCCTGCAAATCAGGGAACTTGAGCTTCAGGGTATTCTTAAGGTAATCAAAACCCAGCCTAAGCTCCTTGTAATGTAACCCAAAAGACAGATTCCACTTCTCCAGGAACTCAATAGCCTTTGTACGCAAAATGGTGGCAATAGCCTGTGGTGCAGGAAGAGGTAGATTGCTTCTAAACCCAACACTTAAACTCAGCAGCTGATCAAGATTCTCAACTATTAGAGCTCTAAAGAGCTTTGATCTCATGAAAAGCTCGTCGATTATGAGAAGCGTCAGATATCGAACCTGCCAAAGATAATGATCCCCGCATTACATTCTATTGTGCCAGATAAAAACGCTTATCACCAGTCCTTAAGACCAAATTTCGATCAAACAACAGGTTCTGTGAATTGAAACGATGAGAACATGAGTAAACGATTAGAGAGATGCGATTCGAAGAGGCGAAATAATGAACAACCCCCAAAACAAAATTACGAAGACCTGGCTAAATGTAAGCAAAAACCTGAGAGTCTTTATGTTTCATGAGCTCCATTAGGGTTCTCGCACCGAGTCGGACCTCCGAATCGGAATACCGAAGAGTAAATTTGATCGCCTTGAGCAGCCTCGGGTCAACCTCTTGCGCAGTCGATTTCGTCGCTTTCTCTATTAACCCAATAACTTTCCCGCCGCCGTCATCTCTCCCGTCCATCGCCGGCAATCGGAAATTCAGAACTCTCTGAAAAAGGAAAAACCTAAGAAATTTCCGTCAATGAATTGTCCGATTTCGTGATGGTTCAATATATTAATTATATGTTTCAACTGTGCAAGTCGGTTTAATGGTCGATCAAATTACTTATTTGCCCTCGTTCCCTATTTGTTGGGTCAATATAATCGTTAATCAGTTGCCACTACTAGTCGGTTTAATTCGCGCTCCCATATCAGCAAAATGACGTATCTACCCCTCATTACGAATCTTCGTGCAGCAGATTCGATGGGCATTTATGTAACTACGATCATGATCGTTTATAAAGTTCTGTAGATTCCCCACTACCAAAATCGCTCAAACCAGTCGAGAAAACGAAAACAGAGAGATGATAATGATGATGATGACGACGACGAAGCATTACACTTTCTGGATTCTGTTGATCTTTTCCATCTCGATGGCTTCTTGCTCCACGATCCCATCGCTTGGAGGTAAAAAACATGGTGATTCTGTTATGATTTCCCGATAAATTGAGGCTCATTTTATTGCGTTTCTTGTTCCTCTTTCGCTCGTTTTCCTTCACTTTCTCGCTTGCTTAACAGGTCCAAAAATCTTTTGCTTCTGTTGTGACTTGTGATTCCCGAGTCTTCTTCTCTTCGACTCTCACTTGAGTTTCTTGGTTCGTTTTTCCTTCACTTTCTCGGCTTGTTTTCCAGCTCCAGAAATCGGAATCAACTATGGTCGTTACGGCTCCAATCTTCCTCCACCGGAAGCCATCCCATCGCTAGTCAATTCTCTCTCAATCAAGCATGTCAAAACCTTCGACATGGATCCAAGAGTCACCAAATCATTCGCCAACACCGGAATCTCTCTCTCCCTCTGTATCCCCAACGACAAGATTCCGATTCTAGCGTCCAATGCCTCCGAAGCCGAATCAATCATCAGGACTTTCATCTTGCCTTACCACAAGAACACGATCATCACATCAATCGCCGTCGGAAACGAAGTCTCGCTCATGCCGCAATTCTCGAGCCACCTCGTCTCGGCTATGGAGAACGTTCATCAAGCAATCAAGAGGTACCGATTGCACAAGAAGATCAAAGTCTCCACCACGCATTCCCTCGCGATTCTATCCCGGCGATTCCCTCCCTCGGCCGCGATTTTCCACAAATCGATCGCTGAATCGGTTTTGAAACCACTCGTGAGGTTTCTGCAACGAACAAATTCTCCTCTCATGGTGAATGTCTACCCATACCTCGCATACAAACAATCATTCCCTTCGATTCCACTGGATTTCGCTCTGTTCCAGCCCATGAACAACTCCAAACGCCGGAAATACACCGATCCGTACAGTGGAGTCACATACACCAACCTGTTCGACATAATGTTGGATTCTGTGGACTCCGCCGTGAAATCTCTGGGGTTGCCGAAGATTCCGATGATGGTGTCTGAGATTGGGTGGCCGTCGAGTGGAGATCCCGGCGAAGTAGCTGCTAATTTGGAGAACGCTAGGGTTTTCAACCAACGGCTGATTCAGCATCTGAAAAGAAGAGGATGGAATAAGATTCCTGTGTATATCTTTGCTCTGTTCGACGAAGATCAGAAAACCGGCGCCACCGTGGAGAAACACTGGGGACTGCTGTATGGTAACGGCTCGAGGAAATATGATCTGAATATCTCGCCGCCGATTTGAAGTTTGAACGTCGCTGAAGAGAAGAGGATTATGAGACCATGGGGCTTTTTGTTTTTGTTTTAAGTGCGTTTTTGTTTTTGTAATGGGCCTGGTATTACAACATATTAGTCCATCGGGCTTTTCGTAAATCGTGTAAATAAACAGAGTTAGGAACCAATGAATAAGTGGAGATAATTGAGGGATTGAGACATTGACTCAGGATACATGTCTTCCTTTGTCCGATATGTCACGTGCAAGATTGTATGGATTCGTGGACTTTTTTCTAATATCCAACAAGACATTTGTCCCGGAATAAATCGGAAATGCAAATTGTCATCATGTTGCGGAAAGTTGTCGTTTATGATTTATGAATATTAAATTATCTTAACAATTTTTGATATACAAGAAAAATGTAAGGCTGTGTGGTTTAAACTTTAAACCCAAAAAAAAATATGGTCTAAATAAATATCATAAAGAAGATTGACACTTTAACAACATAAGTATTTTCTATGTATAACGACGTGTTTACAATTTAGAATAATATGTATCATAGAAAAATATAACTTGTATAATACATTGGTTACAAGAGAAACTATACACCTTGGTTACTAAGAAAAAAATGACTTTTTAGAACCGCACTGAGCATAACAATGACTGATGACATTTCCACTAACCACGCAAGTGAGTGAGAGAGGAGATATTTGCGGAGGAAACAGCGGGGGAAGGAGAGTGGGTATAAAACTGGTGGCTCGTTCGGTAGTTGCATTATTCTGACCATATGGGCCCATGTGCCGCACTTTGTCTCTGTATCCTCATCGAGGATGTTTTTTTCTATCTCATTCCGGATTATTAATCATTATTATTGATTTGTTATATATTTACAGAGGAAATTATTTTGATTCTCTTGTCAAAGTAGACGCTGCTTCTTATAACACTTAAAACCAAAAACTTTCTGATCTCCACACACTCGCTCACATGGAAAGAAAACAACAAGTGTGTGTATGTCCACCCTATATTAATGATAAAATGTGTCGTTTACGATACACATATATATGTTTAGATTCATATCAAAATATCGAGATGCACCGAACACATACTATATATGTATATATCATACTTGAGTCCAAAAAAGGATGAACAAGGGGAAAAAAGAAGTAAGAAGCTAGTAACCCAAATAAGCTTTGTATAGTGTGATAAAGCAAGATGTGAAAAAAATTCATGGGATTTAATTTTGAAACTAAAGTAAGTCAGATCAGATGTATTTCAGAATTCGGGCGTGCTATAGTGGTAGACATAATTGAGGTAAACTTCTAAATGTAGTGCGAATAACTTTTTATAATAGTGTGTACACAATTTAGATTAGTTGTTTAGTGTCTCAATCTATGACCAAGTGTTATACAGTTGGAGTGTTGCATAATGTTTTCATCGATTGTTACTTATTATTACTCTAAAACTTTCTGTTGACGGTATATCGAAATAAACACTTGATGCTAGTAACGAAAAAGCTAGGCTAGCTAGTGCGTTACCAATAATTTCATTATTATTTTGGAAAGTTTCAAAGAAAACAATACAATTAGGATTTACTTCTCTCTGGAGAGGGCGTAGAGAAGTACAGATTTTAAACTCTAAACCACCGTATAGGAGGAGATATCCATCTCGGGATCTTCATTAATAATGACTAATGAGTAGTATGATAAATTGATGACAATAATATGATAAATTGCTTTTTTATTTTCTCCCATAGAGAGTTTGGGAAAAAGATTAGTCAACTCAAACTCAAAATCTAACACGCGCGAGACAAAAACCCGACCCGTGACCCGACTAAGTCATAAGCGACCCGGAAACCTTGTTGCTGAATGTTCCCGATTATCGACAAACTCCCCATTGTTCCGGCGAACGCAAAACAGAACCGTCCTTGATTGTTGACCGGAATCAGATAATTACTCGCCGGAAGCGAAACCTCTCCGCCGGTGAAATGAAACACCACCGTCGGAACCTTCACCGTCGTCATCCCCGAAAGATCGAAACACGTATCGAACAGAGAATACGACGGAGCACGTTTCAGCCTTGTCGCTCCGAGACGAAACGCGTCTCTAAGCGCCACGTAAGCAGATTGCGTCAGCCGGGTAACCGATGTACCGGAATCGATGATAACCCCGCCGTTTCCGGTGGCGTCAAGCTTGAATTGCGATTCCGAAACGCCGGGAACGCGCGAACCGCCAACGCTGATTCCTAAAAGCTGCAAGTAATAAAACGTGTCTAGCTTCGGGTTCGTTAGCAACGGCGTGAAAACGGCGGTTTTCGGAACGGCGCCGTTTCCGAATACAATAGTTGACGGCGGTTTAGAAGATGAACCGGAACTCGTCCGGTCAACCAAACAGTAAGAGAATTTCCCGTTATACCGGTTTTTCGTCTGCGACGGAAACGATAATCCTCCACGGCCCAGGCCCAACAGCCCAGCCGCACCAACGAACAAGCCTTCGTTATCGTGGCCGCATCCTAACGCCACATGATCCACACGCGCTCCGTGAAACGTCAGCGTTTCGGTGGAGAAATCTCCGACGGTGAACGATCCATCACCGTATGATACTTGATAGAGACAAGCCTTGCTTCGTCGGCTGACACATTCCGACGAGTCGTCTAATCTCCGGCAAAGACGAGATCCACATGGGACGGTGGCAAAAGTTTTAGATTTAGCCGGGTTAAAAACCGGGTCGGATTGGTTGTAACAAACTTTGCAAGGAGAGCACTGGAGCCAAACGACGTCGCTTCCTGTGTCGAGGACCATGTACATGTTAGTCGCCGGAGTTCCAACGCCTAACCTCATGAAATACTCTCCGCTTCCTTGTGAGAGACCGGAGATAACAACGCCGCTAAATCCACCGGCGGAGCGTGGAGGTCTTTTCGTGACATTCCGGCCGGCGGAAACGGCGGCGAGGCTGGTTAGAGATTCGACTCGGAGGGAATCTCGCTGGAGACGGAGGTTGAAGAGCTCCGCCGGAGATGCGTCGGAGGAGGAGGAGAGAGCATCGACGTGTGATAAGTGGACGGAAAGTGAAGTTGTGGAGTCGGAATCACTGATCAAGGATTCGGATTCGGGAAATGAGAGGATTGGGGAAGAAGGGAGAGTGTTGACGACGAGTGTGTTGTATTGGGAAGAAGAAGTGGCGGAGGAGAAAGAGAAGAAGAGAACAGCGACGGAGAAGACGAGGGTATTTAGGACTTTTTGTTGCCCCATCGGGAAATATTAAAACAAGTTTAAATTTCTTAACTGTTGTCACAGGATCTGTATATAGAGTTTTCAGTCTGTCATCTGCGAAGCATATAAAAAGGCAAAGGAAGCTCTCGTGTGTGAAAGCTAACTTTACTTTAATTAATATGGACCGCCTTTCTTTTCCTTTTTCTTTTTCTAGACCGGAGTTAGTAATATCATCACTACGAAATTATTGACTTTATTCCACAACTTTCCTATCTGAATCCAGTAACCAGAAGAGTTCAAAGCTCGGTGGAACCTTCTTTTTAGTTTTTCTCTTTGTTACTCTTTCTTATTTATTTACTGTAACTTAAGCCCATAATTATTGGTGATATGTGGGCTTCAAGGCCTAACCATAGATATTTTTCTGAAGTATTTAAATAGTTCAATAAAAATACAGTAGATGAATAAGTAAGCTCGTTGGGTTTGTACTCCATCCTTGACATCCTTTGTTGTGGCCCATGGGTTGTAAGAATTTGGACTAGCGGAACAAACAGTTTCATAAAATGAATTAATAGTTAGTAGATTATGTCGAGATCGTAATTGGGTTTGTATGTTTTCAAATTATTTTGAAGCTTCTCAAAAAGCTAATAGAACACTTAAGAAACTGAAATAGCGTGGAAAGTTCAAAGGAGAGGTAGGAGCAAAATTTGGTTTTCAAATTAAAATTAAAACTCAATGTTGCTAAAACTCTTCGGAAATGAAATCAGACGAACAACTAGGAATGGGAACATGAACATTAAAGCCCCTATCTACTGATCTACTCTAGTCTATCTATGAACTAATTACCCATAATTGAGCCATCTCTCAATAATTTCCATTTCTTGAGTCACTAGTCTATAAAATTCATCCTCACGTAGTCTCTCATTATCCTCTCTCAATAATTGTCTCTCTTTTTCACATCCTCAATAGTTTGTGAATTATTTTATCATTACATTTTCAGAATAATAATCTGGTTATTACTCTTCTACCAACAAAAAATCTGGTTAATACTCGGATATTCATACTAAAAACTAGCATTTTAATATATATATATATATATATATAATTTTTAGATTCACGTGTTTAAAATTATTAAAATGGTAGAAATCTATAAACAAAATATTCCAACCATATCAGATAAATATATATATATATATATATATATATATATATATATATATATATATATTAGATGATATCTAATCGTTTGAGTATAAATTGCAATAATTTTATTCTTCGACCATTACTAAATTAACAAAAAAAAGCATACTAAAATTTCTTTTATATAAACATTTAGACAAATAAAGACTTATCAGAAGCAGAAGTTTTTTCAGGAACAAATAATGGGGAGGACGAGAGACTGAGGCCCATCTTCAGTGTCAGAGAGAGATCATGTGATATATCATATATCTATCTTTATGGTCCCCTCTTCACTTATATTACTATTTACCCTTCTCACATAATGTTTTTATCATTCATTCACCTAATCCTACACAAAATTCCTTTGCAGTGCATAATTTAAATCCAAAATTAAATATGTATTTGTATATGTGCTTGTCTTTTGGCTGTTCCTTACTTTCCATTTATAACTGTAACAAATTGATCAATCTCCTGTCGAAGTTGTGGTGTAACTTTAACATTTGATTTGAAAAAAAAAGTTGAAAACAATAAATAGATATTACAAAATGCTTGGATCCTACCCAACCATTTAAAACAAATACTAGTAAATGAGAGCAATGATGGATGAAAAACCAGAATGTCACCTAAGTTAGTCATACATTGGTTAGAGGGAAAAAGTTTCGGTTTTATAAATACTATATTTGAATGCGATCGTTACGCATTGGAAGGGGGAAAAAATTATTTACGTTTTTACATAATAGCATGTGCTATTCAATATTAGTCAATATTACTCTTGAATGATTATTTGTTTCTTCTGTTTCTTTTTTTTTTTGTAATTTATCATTAAATTTTCAAAATGATGAAGTTTTGACTTATTCTATTTTAATTATCTTAAGAATGACGAAATTGATGAATTCGTGATTACGTATAATTTTACAATTTGTATTTTTGTTGTGATGCTTTAATTTTATTTCAACGGGACATAACCTTTTCAGCTTATGTATGTGGAAGATCTGAAACCAGTAAGTTAAAAATGTGTCACCTAACTAAGGAAGATGTTGGTGCGTCGAGGCTATATATCCGGTCTAAGCCATGCGAGTTGAGCTCGTATAGTTTGAATTATTCGCTGATAACTAACGTGGCTGGTCTTAGTTCTCATGTATGATAGTCTGGCATTTTGTCTCCAGATCTCATATAGACATCAGTTTGAAGATGATTATAAGCTTTCGATTTGACGAGGAAGATACCATACGAGGATATTTTCAAAACTGTTGGAAGGATATATATAGCTGAGCGTGATGAATGAAATGTTGTCGTGATTCATCTTTAACCCCAGAAAGCAAATAGACTTTCGGCATTGGAATACATATAGTTATTTCTAGTTCTGTCATAATGCATAATGATGTATTTATTGATAATAGAAAAATTATGAGAAACATAAACAAATCTGTATATATAATAGGATGAGATAATCAGTTTTGATCAAAAGTCCAGAAAATATTGGTTACTAAACTTCTTTAATCGCAACATGCTTGGACATATACTCTGTATAGCTAAGTTGTACGATGAATAAAAATCTTGTAAAATCACAAAATTATTCTGGTCAAATTCCTCAAAAGATCGATTTATCAGAGCCGATGCATAACTATAGTCTCTCAGCGACTAAAGTATTGTGAACTGAACAAATCTTTAGTGTAAAGAAAAAAGTACGGATAATTAAAAACTCTAATTGATAATGGATCGCAAAAAGATTCTCCCAGATGGGAGCTTGACCTAACGGTTAAGTGGGAGTGTGAAGTAGGTCGAAAGTGACCCTTTAATCTTTATGTGTACGGACGATGTTTCTTTTGCGAAACTACCAAAGTACCCCTTAATAATTGACAATCTGCGTGACTCCACCTCAGGTTTGGGGAGAAGAAGCAGAGAAAGATCCAAAGAGTGCGAATGATATGATTACAGCGTTTGAATTCTTTTATGTGTAATGCAAAGTCCCACTTTTTCATATTTGGAAAGTTTGTATGATTCAAGTCTTATTTTTTTTTTGTGTTTGGCGCGGTCATATATAAAACGCCATGTATACTGTAGTGCCAGTCCATATATTTCAAATCCCGGTCAAGAGGGTAATCATACGTGTATGATTGTACAACATTTCTACAATTATACACGTAATTTAATTACTTTTTTGGTGAGTTTTGTTATGTATTTGGCCTACTGTTTTCGACTTAATAATGACATGATCTTTAAAAGTCGGGGTTTGTATCTAATGTTATTATTGACTGCAACTTATGATCTTTGATAATGTTTCTTGCAACTTATGATAATCTTCCAGATTAATATTATCGACTGTAGATAATCTTTAATAAATCCGAGCTCTTTTTGATTATTAACGAGCTTAGAGTTTTGAATCCTGTTACCCTTTGAGAGAAGGGAAGAGTCATTTATATGATTTTAGCATATCTTAAAATTAATGATTTTATGAAAGAAAAAAAAAACAGTATACTTCGATATATTTTATCAATAAAGATACTTGGAAATCATATTAATAGATAGATACAACGTGAGTGGGGAATAAGTATATATTTTTCATTTGTTTATTGTCTAACAAGACCTATGCTAATAATGCTACGGTTATTAAATTAATTACCCCTAAAACACTCTTGATTAAGCTCCACCCAAAAGCAAAAGAAAGCAATATATGTATATAAATAAGTTTCTGGTTATATATATTTATAAAAACTCTATAAATTTCTGATACTGTGTATATTTTATCGTTATAAGCATAATGGAAGACAGGGGAGAAAATGTGGTGTACGATCAAATAGTAAAAATGTACAAATTAATTTACAATAACTATAGTTTGTATAAAGTTTAGAAGTTTAATTTGACTATTGCAAGGTATAATTAGACGATAGAATCAAATCTTTATTTCTCAACTGGGGGTTCAGCTCAAGCCAACCATTCATTTTTGATCACTAAACAAGTTATTAAACTATTAAACTCAACTAATACCATAATTAACCTTGTTTTGTGTAAATCATTTTTTAGTATAATAAAAGATAGGACCATGATGGTATTTTCCCACAACTTTTCGTTCTCTTTTCAGCAATACAACAAATGAGCACCGTTGATTAGTTCAATATAAGATTATATTTTGTTTTTGACGACAATATAAGATTATATAAAACAAGAATATTCGTTTATTCTTGTTTAATGACGTGGCGACTATGACTAAACAAGTGATTAACTATATTATCAAATAATAATCAATGGAATATAACAGTAATGGATTCCACTACACCACTGGGCAAGTTTTAAATTACAAATAATCAAGTAATGTATCGTTAATTATTCCAATCCATGGGTTCATATTCACTTTGAATGATCATATTCATAATCCTATTAATTTAATATTGTTATCTGAACCTTTTGTGTTTAAATATTTACAACTTGAGAGAATTTCCGTCGCAGCTAATCAAATCAGTCACTGAATTAAAAATAAAAACACACATTTTTTTTTGTAAAAAAAACGCAACTAAAAATGACGTTCAAATAGGTATCATCTTTAGATTCATTGTGATATGCAAGCATGAAATCCCATGCAGAATAAGAATCACCTCAGTGAAAATTATTTAAATACATCTGAATATCTTATGGTAATCAAATACTCTTGCCTTTTCTATTATTGCTATTTTTTACTGTTTAATTTCATTTTGGTGATGAAATTCGATTCTTTCAGATCTCCTCTCTGCTTTGCAAGGATTGCCCGTACAACAATGTTGCACTGTTTTAAAAAGTCGTTTAGATAAAATTAACAAATTAGTCCGTTTCTCATATACGATTCATGTTTATTGATTGGGAGAATTTAGACCATGATTCTAATTAAGAACACAAAAAATATATAATTTTTGTTTTTGTGGGCGTTCGCATATTTTAATCAAAGATGCGCAAATAGTGTGTAATGTAGTTGTGTTTCGTGATGCAAAAGCCACTATTTCGTAGGCCTCATGTTATTGAATAGCTAGAGAAATCCGCACTACAACTCTGAGGATAACATAAAACACCATTTTACGGTTCTAAGGATTTTAAAACACTATGAAAAACAGTCTGTTTGGTTAATTTTGTTTTTACCTTTTCATTATTTTCCTATTTTATCATGCAGTCTGTGTTAAGTACGTTGTAAAATAGGCGACGTTTCCTAGCCTTCTATAGTTAGAACTTAAGTTACATAAAGATTTGAAACCCAATAGTTAGTAGTTAGGTTACAGACAGACATCGTGTTGTGTATATTTTCCATTATAGGATTTGGATATATTTAAGTGAAAACTTAGTAATATTTTTGGACCGCATTCACTATTTATTATTGGGGTATGGAAGTGTCAAGTGTGTTTTTATGGGGGAGAGAAGGTTTTCTTCCTCTGTAATTGAGCAAATAAGTAGGACAAGTCAGCATTTGGCACGTGTCGATCTTGAATACGACCTAACAGCGTGGCAATTTTTTTTAACTCTGACGTGTCTATATGGGGACCACTTTCTCCTCCGACACTTCGGCATGGCTTTTTCATATACACTTTTTTCTCTCTCCTGTTCTCCACTCTCCTCTTATAAGCGCGTGTTTTTCACACTCTATTTCCTTCACACCTGGTTATGTGTTTTTCTTTTAACGTTACAATCTTTTTTTCCGGGCTAGGATGATCTGTAACTGTAAGCATGACTTTATTTTTTTGGCTGTAATTAACAAAGCGCGTGAAAGAAATGAGAACAATAAGAACGCGCGTGACTCGAAACTGACTCGGCACGTGTTAAGATAACTCGTACGGTTCCCAAGGTCCTCGTCCCATAAAGAGTCATGGCTGTGACTTGTGCGAGTGTGGGTGTTTAGCCATAGCTGTGGGTCCCAGTAAAAATCATCGATTAACTCCACTCTACACGGTAAAAAAAAATAGCGAGGGAAAAACATATGTGATGTTAGAACAAAAAAAAAAAATAACGGAAAGAAAAAATCTGGCCGGGGTATAACACAGAAGCCGACACCTTTGCCTGCCACGATCCAGACACAAGGGAAATAGACGATTGTGGGTAACGGCACCGTCAAGTCATACCGGAAACGGGATCAGTTCTAGCGTTTGTGCTTTACGCGCTCCTCCTGTTAGGGGCATTTTAGGGAATATAGTGTAAGTGAGGAGATGTCTCATTTATTACAGCGTCTATCGGACGGCTGCGATTGGCCCTCTTCGTTAATCGCACCGTACGTTCTTACAAAAATGTAAAATTCAACCACGGTTGAAATTAATTTAATCGTGGTTAATTAGTAAGGATCAAAAGCAGGTCCGAAAAATACAGTATCTTATGTAACGTCGTGTGACCCTTCGTTTTGTGCAGTCTTATTAAATTTATTATTACTAACCGGAGCCTCTAGCTCTGGTGGTAAAGGACCTTCAGCTAAGGTACCCATCATCACGAGTTCAAGTCCCGGTCACTGCGAAATTCACATATGGGCTGCAGCGTTTCAGAAGCCGACACATGAAGTGCCATTTGGTCGCCCACGTGACTAGTCTGAACCCACTTCGATGGGGGCCATGACACCTTAGTTATAAAAAAAAAATATTATTACTTTGGAAACAAAATTCAGTTTCCTTTTTAGCGGTGACATGAGAAATCAAAAATTTAACAATTATAGAAAATTTCAATAAATGAATATAAAGGAATTGGAGCTTCAACTGAAGTTACTGGTGGTGGAAATGACAGGTCTTCAGAATCTGAACTAATAAAGAGACGTATATATATGTATATATATATAGAGAGAGAGTGTGTGAATCTCTGCATGATACCGTGAGACTTCTTCAAAAAAGGAAGCAGCTTTGGTTTGCTGCAGATCGGGGTTAGGTATAGAGAAGCAAGCAAAGCTAGAAAGAAGAAACGGCGAGAAGTTTGTGATTGTTGAGGCGAAACAACACGGAATCTGAGAGGAGAGGAGAAGACAAAAAAAAAGATTGAGGAGAGAGAGAGGATCGGTTTCGTGGCTGAAAGAAAAAAAAAATCGGGGAAAAAGAGAGAGAGATTTATCAAACAGTGCCTGAATTACGCTGTGTAATCAATACAGACATAACCGTCCGTTGTGTCCTGTTAAAAAAGAAGAGAAAAGTTTTTTGCTTTTATTTCCTTTGATGGCTCTTTTCTTTCTTCTCTCTCGTGTTTCTTTCATGGGGTTAAGAGTAGTGTTTAGCGCGTGAAGGTTTTTTTTATAGTTTATTTTCTCTCCTCCTCTTCTTCTTCTCTTCTTCTTCTTCTTCTTCTTCTTCTGCTTCTTCTTCTCTTGTTTTCATCTGGGTTCTTCAATGGCGAATGTAGATGGGGATGATTTCAGAAATTCCTCGCCAAGTGAGTAAGAGGGAGAGATTAAAGAGATTAAAGAAATTAAAAAAAAAAAATCGTTTTTTTTGTTATTGTTGTTGTCTCTACCAGTGACTCTGTTTGGTTGCTCTGAAACAGCTTCGTAGAGTTGCAATTTTTCCTTGATTTTCTCGAGAAACAAGCTTAAAAAAACCATTTCTAATTTCTTCTCGTATATCTTCAAAACTTTCCTTATTTTTCCTTGTTGTGCCGCTGAAATGTGACTGTTAGGGTTTTTATTGTTTGATTTTAGGGTCTTATCAGGATCAGCTGTACACAGAGCTATGGAAAGCTTGTGCAGGTCCATTAGTGGAGGTTCCTCTTGCTGAAGAGAGAGTTTTCTACTTCCCTCAGGGTCACATGGAACAAGTATATACCCAAAATTAATCTCTCTACTTTAATTTTTTTCTTCCTTTTTTTCCCATTCTCTTTCTGATTTCTGGTTTTTGCAGCTTGTGGCTTCAACTAATCAGGGAATTGAATCAGAAGAAATACCTGATTTTAATCTTCCTCCCAAGATACTTTGTCGAGTTCTTAGTGTGATGTTAAAGGTAAAATTTTGATCTTATTTCTTATTTCTCCCCCTTTTTGTAATCTCCCCTGAATCTTATTTAAGTTGTTTAAGTTTTGATGTATAGGCGGAGCATGAAACAGATGAAGTTTACGCTCAGATCACATTACAACCAGAGGTTGATGTAAGTTATTAAAGTTTGAGCTGAAATTTATCCCAAGATAAAAAGTTTGAGCAGAAAAAGACTTTCTTTTTCTTCTGGGAATTGTTATTTGCTGAAAGTGATTTTGATTTTTTTTCCAGCAAAGTGAACCCACACCTCTCGTTGAACCGACAAAACAAATGTTCCATTCGTTTGTTAAGATTCTAACGGCTTCAGATACAAGCACTCATGGTGGATTCTCTGTTCTTCGTAAACACGCCACTGAATGCTTGCCTGCCTTGGTAATAATTTCTTTACAAACAAAGCCTTCTCAACTGAAGAATTTTTTTCTTGAATTCTCACTCCAATAACACTTTTTTAGGACATGACACAAGCTACTCCTACTCAAGACCTTGTGACTAGAGATCTTCATGGGGTTGAATGGAGGTTTAAGCATATATTCAGAGGTATTGACACTAAATCGTGGAATATATTTGGCTTTTATGTAACTGTGTTTGGGCTAAATGAGAGATGAGAGTTTGTTTTTGGTTTAGGACAACCTAGGAGGCATTTGCTTACCACAGGTTGGAGTACATTTGTATCCTCGAAAAGACTTGTAGCTGGAGATGCTTTTGTGTTCTTGAGGTACTTCCTTTTCCGAAACTTTACTGGTCCTGTTTTAGTTTTATGCAATTCATAAAATGCCTTTGTGTTTTTAGGGGTGAGAATGGGGATTTAAGAGTCGGAGTTAGGCGTTTAGCTCGGCATCAGAGCACGATGCCTACTTCGGTTATCTCGAGTCAGAGCATGCATTTGGGAGTTCTTGCTACAGCTTCTCATGCTGTGCGTACACAAACACTCTTTGTTGTGTTTTACAAGCCTAGGTACATTTATTGCTTCTTGTTTCCCTAGATGATACTGCTATATTCACACATAGTTTGTTTTATGAATTAGATTTAAGAAAGTTTTGTGTCTTTTCAGAATAAGCCAATTCATAGTAGGAGTGAACAAGTATATGGAAGCTATGAAGCATGGATTTTCTCTCGGTACCCGATTCAGAATGAGATTTGAAGGAGAAGAGTCTCCTGAGAGGATGTAAGATACCAATTCTTTTCTTCTGATCATTAATTTAGTATTCTTGATTCTCAATCCTTGAGTGTTTTCAGATTTACGGGTACGATTGTGGGAACTGGAGATCTATCTTCGCAATGGCCAGCTTCTAAATGGAGATCATTGCAGGTTCAGTTAACCATTCAATGTTCTTTCATTTTACCGGTTTTATCATTTTCCTATATAACAGTATTACTATCTCTTCTTAGGTCCAATGGGATGAGCCAACAACAGTTCAGAGACCAGACAAAGTCTCACCATGGGAGATTGAGCCTTTCTTGCCAACTTCCCCAGTTTCAACACCTGCACAACCGAAATGCAAGCGGTCAAGACCCATCGAATCCTCGGTTTTGACTCCAGCTCCAGCTAATTTATTGTACAGCTTCCCTCAGAGCCAAGATCCCACCAATGCATCCCTTAAACTGTTCCAAGATCCATCAACTGAGAGAAATCCAGGTGGATTTGCTATAAACAACAGCTTCAAAGCTGACACTCCTACTCCTGCGAGTTGTTGCTACAGGCTGTTTGGATTTGATCTCGCAAGCAGTCCTCCTGCTCTTATCCCTCCAGAGAAGCAATCGCTCGATACTTCTGCAGTGGCCAAGTGTCAAGAACCCATCACTCCAAACGCAAGTAATGAGCAGAAGAAGCAACAAACATCGAGGACTCGAACCAAAGTAATCATCTTTATCACTTTAAAACTCATGTAACAATGTTCTGAAATCTGATTTTCTTGATTTTTGGATTGATAGGTGCAAATGCAAGGGATTGCTGTTGGTCGTGCGGTTGATTTAACGCTGTTGAAATCATATGATGAGTTGATTAAAGAGCTTGAGGAGATGTTTGAGATCCAAGGACAGCTTCTTTCTCGAGACAAATGGATAGTTGTCTTCACAGATGATGAAGGAGATATGATGCTTGCTGGAGATGATCCATGGAAGTAAGTCATATCACAAAGTGGTTAACCATTTTCCGGTTTAAACTATGATTAATGAACTCCTTTAACGGTGAATTATTGAATATGTTCTATTTTGTCTATGGAAATTTGCAGTGAGTTTTGCAAGATGGCGAAGAAGATATTTATATATTCGAGCGATGAGGTTAAGAAAATGACAACGAAAATGAAGATTTCTTCGTCGTTAGAGGATGAAGAAAGTATGGATTGATAATCGTCATTATGGATCTAGTGTATTAGGTGTGAGAGTTTAGCTATATATTAAGGTTATTCGGCGACGTCGTTTTTTAGCAACTTTGGGTCGTAAGGGTCTTTTATTTAGGTTTGTATATAAAGAATCTCATGGTCTTGGACCTTAGTTTTCTTTTCTAGTCAATTTTCAAGTTGGCGATTAAATATTTTGGTTTGGGACAGTGGTTGATGGGTCGATTCAGACTTTTACGTTTGTTGTGTTCCTTAACCCATTCAATTGTCAAAACCAAGTACATCAATTAAGTATGGGTGCAAATGATGGAATCTAATCAAATAATTATCGAAATATAAACAAAACAATAGCGAATAATAAATAAATTAAAATTAGATTTTGCACTAAGGGCGTGGGAATCGAGGCGGTGGGCATGGTATGAAAGTCTTGGATTCTTGTAAAAATCAAGTAGTCAACGATGCCAAAAAAAAAAAGTTTCTGATTAAAATCATGGTAAAATGATTAGTGTTAGGTTTTTGGATCTACGGACTTTACTAAAATTGAGGGCATTTTAAGTTGACCTGAAATTCAATAAAAATGAACTAAATTAAAAATAAAAACAAAAAAAAATCTGTTTGTTTTTTCTTCAAACAAAATTAATACGAGCGGTGTTATAGTTGTAGTTTGTAGGTGAAATTGTCGTGACTAATTTTCCTCAACAAAAGAGTATGGTTTGACTTTTAGTTTAAGGATCGAGTAACGAAATAATCCAGCGGTTGGATCTTCAATGACAATTACATATTATTTAATCCATTTGTGGTCTTCTTCACACTCCCCACTCTCCCAAAATGATCACAAGCAGCAACAAGAATGATATATGTACTGAAGAAGACGATGATGAGGAGGAGGTGATCATCACATCGAAACTTCAACTTGTCTTAGCCGCGAAATCGAGAAAGCTACAATACATGTCATCACCAGTAGTAAGTCACCACGTGTCAATGTCACTCTTGTCGTCCCCTGATGATTTATCACACACTCGCGCTTCTGTTCCTTTCTCCTGGGAAGAAGAACCTGGCAAGCCTAAACACCACCATGCTCTTCGAGCTCCTCTTAACTCCAAGCGTCTTCATTTGCCTCCGAGACTGCTCCTTCCTGTTGCGTTTACCAAAACGCCCCTGGCTTCAGATCATCATCTTCTCCCCGGTTTGAAACGGTGGTTCCGGTGGAAGAAAGATAGAGCTGATGATGTGACCGGAAAGTGTAGTTTCGTCTTTCCATCAGAAAATGGAAACGAAACGAAAATCACTAGACCTGGAGATCTCTGTTCTTTCTCTGATATCACTAGGTGTTACTTCTGGGTAAAGTAACCCTTGAATTTCCTTCTACTGTATGTCTTAAAGTGTTTCCCTGTCTTGTAAAAAAGAGACAAGACTGTGTCACACATCCTTGTTTGTATCTTCTTTGATTTTGCAGGGAGTTCCATGGAAGAAGAAGCAGCTGAAAAAAGATGGCTTTTGAAAGGAGATCGTGTCTATAAAATTTGTCACCGGAGTACTTGTCTTCAGTCTCTTGGGCCAATCTGGGCTATTTTAGGCCTAACATATTGGCCCAATAAAAACAATTATCCAATTATATTATTTAGGACAGAGCTGGATTCGAATGTATAGCTGCTCATTAGATATATCATATATCTTTATGGAAGATAAGAATGTTGCGAGAAAGTGTTGGTGGGCCATTATAGAATGAACAAATAATGCATAATTAGTGGCTAGGATGTGTGGTTCCTTCAGATGCGATCATCATTACATCAAAGCGGTCCAATCAATTATTATTTTTTTTGTATAAAAAGTTTCGAAATTCGGTGGCTACGAATTAAAATATTTCTTTTATATATCCTACACATCTGAACTCTTAACTTGGTCATTCTTAATTCCATAACCAGTTGGGGAGAAACAACAAAATATGAATATATACTTTGACCAAGCCGAAAATGAGAATATACCAATGTAATAAGTCGTCTTTAAAAAAAATTAGCAATGTAATAAAAAGATATATAATTGATGGGCCACTATTAAGCCCAATAAATTGATGGGCCGAACACTATAATGGTCCAGGGAATAAAACCTTATAGTGGCTGAACAATAGAGCACACGTGAACGTTGTAGGTCGTGTAAGTCTGGAGAAAAACGGCAGGGAAGGTGAAGCTAGAAGCAAAAAATGACACGAGAGATGGAGAGAGAGGATTGTTGTGGGAGAGGGTGTTTGGCTAGGAAAAACAGGTGTCAACGTCAGGGAAGAGAAATGATTTGAATAAAAAAACAGTCCTTAGATTTGAGAAAAGCTAAATATTTCAATCACGCCCCAGAAACGGCCCCCACCATTTCTTCTTTGTCGCTTCTTGTCGGTCCTTCGTTAATTCTTTTCCAACCCTGACTATACCCACACAATTTGTTTTTCTTTTCGATCCAAAGAACAACATAAACTAAAAATTTACTATTTTCTCCATTTTACAAATTTTTTTTTTTTAAAAAAGAATGTTGTTTTAAAATTTCAATATAAATTTTAATATAAAAATAAATTTAGAAAATTAGTTATAAATATAATTCTAAAAATTATTTTCTATAAACTAATAAGGATATAAAAAACCTTTTATCTTATTTCTTAATTTATGAAAAGAATATTAGAACAACATGATAGAGAGAGTATGTTTTTCTATAACTAATTTAAATTATATTAATACGAAAACGATTAAACTCCCAGCAGCGTATGTAACTATTATGGTTTAATCAATTCCTGCAACGATCATTTGTGAAATCTGTGATTTAATCACTTTAGTGAAAAAATTCGCACGTTAGATAATTACATTTTATTTACACGTGATTAATATTTTTCGAATGATTATTCATAAACCCAAAAGCCAGATAAGCAGACAACATTATAACTCGTGCAGTATTTTTTTGTTTAAAAGTTCATTTGGTTTCTTATTATTGGCCTCGATTTTCAGTTTACGTGCTTTTTACAAACTTTTATTTTAATTATCTGATTAACGAAGCATTTGTTATAGCTTTGCCGATTTAAGAATAAAGTCATAATAACTTTATATATATAGCCATGTGTGGTGTAATATATATGGTCCTTTTACGAAAAGCAGATCACAATTCACAATTGAAATAGGGGATACAAATTTTGGTGTCCCCATTTTTCGTCCAAATAACATAATAAAATAAAGTAAAGTATTATTACGTTCGAATTATCCATATTCCCTAATACAGTCAACATATATATTGTACTTTATAAAAAAAGTATAGAAACGAAAAACCATGTGTTTTATCGACCATGTTAAGTCACAACTTTATTATAAATTGATTATGTAATTGGGATTTGAAGTTCGCCCCCGAATTTCGTAACCTAATCTACACATGATTTATAAATCACATATAGAGTAATGATAATATCTATATATGTAGGTATGCTCTAAGAATTCTGAATTGTTGCTTTTTTTTGCTAAAATAAGAATTTTGAAATTGACAAGGTAATTGACAAATCGTAAGCTAGCTCGAAAAATAATATAAATCATCAAATGGGTGGGGGGGGAATAGTATACAACTCACAGTTCCACTCACGCTTTGTATTATTATGATATGAAGTAAGAGTATTCAACATAGTACATTAGTTTTTTTTCCATGGATATTATATAGTGAATTGGAATTTAAGAAATTTAGATAATATTACAAACGACAATCTACCCACAAGAAACAGACCTTTATATTTTTCATAACAATTCACTCGCAATATATGAAATATTATGATAAGTATGATTCACCTCGAATTTGGTGAAAAATAATTTAAACCACGAAATGTAGAGTGCTAACTGTTTTTTTTTTTTTTTGACATGAGTGCTACCGTATTTTACTTGAATTTGAATTCTATACAATATATATATATATATATATATATATACATATATTATCACGACTTTTATTGAGCCAACCAATTTCAAAAATAGAACAAGTTTAATTTTAGCCAGAATATCATTTTCTTTAAAAAATATATAAAGAGGGACCAGAAAATTACTAGAGAGGGAGGCCATGAGACATTATTATCACTAGTCAAAAACAACAAACCCTCCTTTTGCTTTTTGATTAAAATTTTATATTTTATTTTGCAGGTTTCTTCTCTTCTTCTTCTTCTCCTTCCTCTTGGCTGCTGTCTTTCATCATCCATAAAGTGAAAGCTAACGCATAGAGCCATATCGTCCCAAAAAAGAAGAAATTTTCCGAAAAAAGCTCTCCAAAACATTCTCTCTTTGCTCTTTACCCTCTCTTTCTCTCTAGATCTCTCTCTCTCCGCCTTTCTATTTGTCAAAGTTCATGGATGCTACGAAATGGACGCAGGTACGTCAAAAAGATCTCCCTTTCCTATATCTGTTTGTTTCTTCTTCTATAACTCTTTCCCCCCCCCCTCTCTCTATCGCCATACTCACATGCATATATATATATATATAGACATGTACATCAGTACATGTATGTATGTATGTATGTATGTAACCAAGTTTTCTTATGACGCTTCTTGTGGTTTATATGAAAAGTCTTATAGAGATATATATGTAGAAGTTTTTATTTGGATATGTTTTTATATTTGAATATTTGCATGGAAAATTATCCGTTTCGAAACTTTCAAAATTCTGAATGGAGATAAAGAAACTTTTGTTTTCCATAACTCCAACTTTTTGTGTCATTAATTATAGATTTTGATAACTCATGGATGAAAAAGGTATGATTTGTTATTTACCTTTTGTTCTTGGTGCTCAGGTCTTACCAGTTCTTTTTCTAAGTTGTGTTATACTCTCCTAGTCTCCTTTCTCGAATTAATTTTCTTTTAAAGCACCGACGATACAACCAAAAAGCCCTAATTTTTATTATCTTATAGTACGTACGTTGAGCTTAATTATTACTTCAATTTTCATTCATCTTATTAAACCCTAATCTTGGCGAGATTCGAGATTCGGTTTTGCAATTTGTTATTATTCTCTTTGACATGGCCAGTAATTAATAAACCTTATCTTAATTATTATAGGGGTTTCAAGAAATGATAAACGTAAAACCAATCGAGCAAATGATTTCGGACACAACCAACAACACATCGCAACAACAACAACAAACATTCATCGCCACCACAACAAGGCCAAATGCTACCGCATCCAACGGCGGATCTGGCGCCGGAAATAACAATAACACGGCTACTACGATGGAAAGTAGAAAGGCGAGACCACAAGAGAAAGTAAACTGCCCAAGATGTAACTCAACGAACACAAAGTTCTGTTATTACAACAACTACAGTCTCACGCAACCAAGATACTTCTGCAAAGGTTGTCGAAGGTACTGGACCGAAGGTGGCTCTCTTCGTAATGTCCCTGTCGGAGGCAGCTCAAGAAAGAACAAGAGATCCTCAACACATTTAGCTTCACCTTCCAATCCGAAACTTCCAGATCTGAACCCACCGATTCTTTTCTCAAGCCAAATCCCGAATAAGTCGTCAAAAGATCTCAACTTGTTGTCTTTCCCGGTCATGCAAGATCATCATCATCATCATGGTATGTCTCAGTTTATTCATATGCCCAAGATCGAGAACAATAATACTTCATCCTCAATATATGCTTCATTATCTCCTGTCTCAGCTCTCGAGCTTCTAAGATCCAATGGAATCTCTTCAAGAGGCATGAACACGTTCTTGCCTGGTCAAATGATGGATTCAAACTCAGTCCTTTACTCATCTTTAGGGTTTCCAGCAATGGCTGATTACAAACAGAGTAACAATAACCTTTCGTTCTCCATCGATCATCATCAAGGGATTGGACATAACACCATCAACAGTAACCAAAGCGCTGACGATAGTAATCATGCTGATGGCATGAATGGGGCAAGTAGAGTTTTGTTCCCTTTTTCAGACATGAAAGAGCTTTCAAGCACAACCCAAGAGAAGAGCCATGGTAATAATACATATTGGAGTGGGATGTTCAGTAATACAGGAGGATATTCGTGGTGAAAAAAAAGGGTTAAGAAGAGATCATGAACTTATTAGCTTTTCTTCTCTCTTTTCACTTTTTTTACCTTCTTATTTTATTATATTTTTGCTTTGATGATCTTTTGTTTTTTCTCACATGGGGTACTTTAGTTAAAGTTGTCAGAACTTAGTTTACAGATTGTCTTTTTATTCCATCTTTTCGGGTTTTTTAAAATAGATATATTTTCATAATTGGGTTTGATGGTAGTTTATAATTTTTTTTTAGTATCATAAGGGTCTTTGCTCATGAGGAATGGTGAGGGATATGAAGGTAGAAGAATAAGTGAATACGAGGGCTTTGTCTGTAATCAATGAGATCTGTATTCATCATTTCTTCTATTTGTATGAACACGAGGGCTTTGTCTGTAATCAATGAGATCTGTATTCATCATTTCTTCTATTTGTATAAGTGTTCGTGTAATTGATTCATTTTTACTTTTATTTTTGTTGAGTACTTACAGCTTTAAATATTATTTATTTGTACTAGATCATTACTTGTTTTTAGGCACGGAACAAGTTGAGATGTTTATGGAACCATCGATCCAAATTGTAACTGAAGATTTTTGTTTTGTTTGTGAAAGGGTTTGCTAAAATGTGACTGAAGTGAAGATGCGATTTCCGTTCACGTATTGTACTAATTAGTACTTGGAAGTATCTAATATATAACAGGAAAAAAATGATTGTGGTGATATTTCATTGTTGTCATTGCTATAGCAACAGTTTTATTAGTTGTGTTTTTCAGTAACATAGCAAATAGTATAGATCAAATGGATATATAGCAACGGACAAAATAGAACAGTTATGCTGACAAAACAGATATTCTTACAGATATTTTAAATGGCATTATGGGATCTGACAAAACAAAAGAAAATTGTGGTAATAAATTGAATGTTCAGGTATTTATATCCAGCTCTAAAAAATTGAATAATTAACATATTAATTATAATTGTATATGATGGTTCTATAACCAAAACTCGACAGTGTATAAGTTGAGATGTTTATGGAACCATCGATCCAAAATGTAACTTATCAATTGGAATAAATATTTATAATGTCAAAATCTAATCAATTGATTAACACGTATCATAATTATATTAATTGCGAAGTTAGAGCATCAAAGTCATTATTAATAATAATAGTATATTTTAGTTCATATAATAATGGGTGATAAAAATAAACAAATATGATCGGGATCATTATCCACGGAGAGTCATGATTATCAAATCCTAAAGCATCGCATTTTGGGGACACTAATATACTTATAGAGCTTCTCAGCTTTTTGACTTTTGTGCCCGTGCGTGAACTTAGCGATGTTTTATATTTTTGAGGTAAATTCTTTACTACGTCTTTAAAGATGAGTATTATTATTATTTTGAAACTTCACAGATTAAAAGTTCTAAACTAAAACAACATTTGTTTTAAGACAAAAAAAACTCCTGAAAAGACAATGATTTTCCGAGTAGATAATTGGTAATAAGAAGTTCAAACTGAGAATTAATTAACACACTGCCCAAAAAAACAAGTTAACCTGCTCCAACCGAAAGCCGTTTGTAAGTTGTAACATTAATTAGTTAAGTTAATAGTTGTAGACTTGTAGTATGTGTAGATCAGTAATATAAAATCAACATCATTTGTAATGAGTAGAAATTAAATCTCATAAAGCAAACACCCACTTTGATTCGTAGAGGACGGCATGGTTTCATTGAATTCTCGTTATTACCAGGTTTACCGCAATGTCACATTCCACGACAATTTTTTTTTTCCAATCTTTAACAAATACTATAATAATAAGAATAATTAAACCGTACCTTCACGGTTCATCCACCTAATCCGCTAATTAATCTTCATCTAGCTGGAAAAAAATAATATTCCAATGGTGAGTGGCGGCATACAGAATTGACGTAAGTTTGCATATTCATTTCAAGTGTCGTATTACTTAAAAAGTCGCATAAATTTCATTTTCAGGTCTACTTTTCAGAGAAATTACAATTTAACTACGTAATATATCATAACCCACAGTCCCACACTGCCATACACCACGAAATACATATAGTTGTTCCTATTACAGTTTTTAGATTAGAAAAGCTGATAATATGGTGGAAGCTACATATATCTTCGTCAACTTTTTTTTAATAAACATTTATCGTCAACCTGAGAAAAGGAATATTTTATTCATTTATAATATCTATATATTTATTTATATAGTGATTTGCTTACGTGTCGCGTTCACAGTGAATTTCATTATTTTTCGCTTACGTGTTAGCTTTAGAATAAGTTTTGGCCGCAAAAAGACCGTTTAACCCTAATTTCTAATTACGTGTCATTTTTAATTAGTTCTCATCTGATGACGTGTCAAAAAAAACTTAAAACAAATCAGTCTAAAATATTATGGTTAAATGTTTAATTTTGTACTCAATCAAACCGTTTTAGAAATAAGATTAAATCGAAATTTAGACAAAAAATTAAAAACGTTTTTATTTTAAAAAATATAAAAAAATGGAATTTTACCATTTCTAATGTCTTCAAAAAAGTTTTTCTAAAAAGAAAAATTTACCATTTCTAATATTTTCGAAATAATCAAAAAATCTAACTAACATGTTAACTAAAATTTAGTATAAATATAAGCCACTTTTAACTACTTCTCTCACAACTTTCACAATTGTTAAACCTCTTTCTTCCTTTTATTCAAACCGTTTTTAAATTTATATTAAACCAAAATTTAGAAAAAATTAGACAAAAACGTTTTTTTTTAAACACAAAAACTAGAAATTTACCATTTCTTATGTTTCCGAATTTTTTTAAAAAAAAAATCAAACTAAAATATTAAAAAAAAAATTAAAATAAAATTTAAAATGTCGTTTCAAAAAAAAAAAAAAAACTTATGCTAGAATATCGCTAATTATTATAGGTTTACGATTTCTTATGTTTATAGGGTTTTCAATTTTTATAACTTTTATAAAACTAAAATTTAGTAAAAATCTAAGAAAAAGGTAAAAAATTAATAATAAATGAAATCTATATGTCTAATGAAATGTCGTTAATTATATATTTAGAGTAGAATTTTCAATTTCTTATCTTTATATTTCAGAAATATTTTTTAACTCTTTTGTTAAAATCAAAAGCTTATTTGTAAATTTTGGATTCGTCTAATTTAGAATAGAGTAAAAAAAATAATGTTCTCGAAATTATTTATTTATAAAATTATACTTAGTAGACATATATAGCCCACGCGAGCAAGTTAACGAGTTTATCAGTAATTTAGATAATACTGTATACTGCGTATGTATACTTTTGTCAAAAAAGTATATATGTAAGGATAAATGCGTGTATGAACACATGATGATTAGTAGCTGGCTTGAAATGCGGAAGTAGATGCCCACTTTATAGTGCCCGCCAACCAAACATGATTTTTCATTGGGTTTGTGTTGTTTTTGATTAATTAATTAATTACTGACTATATTTGAATAATGCTCTTAAGTCTTAATCACATTTAAATATCTAAGATAAAATCAAACGCGATATTCTCGTAGTCTATAACAAATCTAGATTTATCTGCGCATGGTCGCTTTATTCAATATAATTAAGAACACATAACGCAACGGATCCATCGAGTCAACGATTTATTTATTTATTCTTCTTAAATATAGAAAGCTGTTATCTTAAGGCCAAAGAATTCGAAGGAATAAAATGACCTGTCTCATAGTTTAAACACTAGTCGGTACGTTATTAATCGATATACTAATAGAAAAGGTATAAAAAGCAATTAACTCACACACCGAATCTCAGTCGTCTAATACATATTACTACTTCTAGATATACGTTTTTTTAATTTCTTTTACAATTGTTTTTTCTTGAAGAGTATACAATTCACAAGTTTCATAACGACGTCGAAGCTGTGACCCTAAAAAAGATTCCCAAAGTTTATTGGGCTCCCCCGGCCCATCTTAGCAAAATATAAATGCGCAGTCCCAGCGATCCAATACACGAAATTAAACAGGTTACAGATAACCGAGATCAGAAGGGCGATCGGTAAACTCATCGAAGAGAATTCTTCTTAACAAACGTTTTTTTTTTTTGTAAAGCGTGTTGTTATTAACGCCGTGTGGGGCAAATCAGGAAACTGAAAAATTCATATGGGCCTTCAATACAATTAGGCCCACGTAAAGAGTAATTTTGTTGTTCTCATTATGTATCGTAAATCTAAATGTACACCTTCAGCTAAAAAATGTGGAAGCATTTTGTTTAGACTCTCACAACCAATAACACACATCCACCTGTCAGTTGAGTTTAGAAATTTTTAAATCATGAGCCGTTCATTAGCCCTCGAGCCAGATCGAACGACTGAGATTTCCTTTTACTTTTCAGCCTCAACAGTCCATACAACTTCTTCAACCGCCGGGGAACTTCCTCCGCCGCATAAAGGTCGACTCGACTCTCCGTCGTAATCTTCCGACGGCGCTCTTTTGTAAAATGACCGCCGTCTTATCGCCGGGATTGCTCTCCGAACTCCGTCAGTTTGCAAAACGTCGATTACGGATATGAGTGCCCGGCTCGGCGAGTTTTTGTTCGCAATTATCAATTTTGGTTCGGCATCTTCCTGATTGATTTCCTCATGATATCGTCTCTCGGCTCTTTTATCAGTACGGAGCTTCTGAAATTTGTCCTTGCTCCTGTGGGAGGTTAATTTCCGGCAACCGTTTCTTTCGATTTTCGATATTGAAGACTGAAAAGTTTCATACTTTTGTTCATAAGGTGTTTCAAGTTTTTAGGATACAAGATGAAAGCACTCTCGAGAAGAAGAAACTGAATGTCAAATTAGTCTAACTTGACACACAATCCCTGCCACAAGACTGAGAATTGCTGCATTTGTGGATTTCAAGATAGATGCTTTCGCTTCTCAAGCACATGGTCAATTAAAGAAGAGTTTCTTGGTAAGGTTCTACAAGTACAGAGTTCTTCTATATTGATCGGGTTCATCTTGCAAATATGCTTACCCACCATGCAAATATCTTAGCAAACATTACTAATTCAATCTAGTAGCGAATCAAAGATGGAATCTGATGAGGTATGACTCGTCATGCCATGTCTGCATGCTACTAATTTACTCAAATGGCTTCATGCTATTTCTTTCTCTCTTTTTGTTAGAGAACCTTTGAGCTTTGTGATAATCGATGCAAATACGTCCTTGGAATTTAATATTGTTTTCTCTACTCTCTCTATTCGTTGTTATGGAGTACTTGGGTAAGAATTGTGATGGTATTATGTTTAGGATACAGGTACATCAAAATCAGGAAGGAAGCGTGCTAGACATGAAACTCTTGTTGGTCCTCTTATGGGCAAGGATGTGCCACATGAGACTGTTGCTCAAGATTATCCCAAAAGTTGCTCAAGATTGAATGTAAAGGGGCTAGTGAGAATGAAGGCCCTGCAGACGACCCCGGAGAAGAAAATTCAAATTTGAAACCCTTTGCGACTTTAGAGGAGTTAGAGAAAGTAAGGTTACCTCCGCAGGATATTCTTTCACTGCCTATATTTGTTCAAGGTATGGATACTAGGATCAAGTTACAATGTGTTTGTATTGAGAAGAAATTTTGTAATGATGTGAGCCTGATTATCAATTCCACCCTTTTTCTTTGGGTATAGAAAATTACTGGGGATTCTAAAGATATTTTACTGCTTAATAGTAGAGTATCTTTTCTTTGGAGCTACTATTTCCCTAGTTCATGTTATAATTCAAATTAAGAGGGTATCATATGATACATATAATTCAATGTATATGTATCATATATAGCTACTGTTGGAAGCATCGAATCAGCTAAATCCAGGCTTTTCTTATTGTCGTATTTTGAGATATTTATTCTTCAAAAGAGTGAACACATGTGTGTTTCCGGCTCGTTTTCTGTATGCTAAATTAGGACATTTTCGTCGGCAAAGAAGAAGAAAAGAAAAAAAAAACAAAGAAATTCAAGTAGTGTCCACTCTTGTGACACGTGTAAAGCTTTCACGGAGCTCTCTTATCTGTTTGGTTCGTTTTTTTCTACGGTTAAGGATCTCTTGTTTCTTCACTCTTTTTGCCATAATCTCTGTCACAAATCAGCGAGAGAGAGAGAGAGAGAGCGAGAGTATGGCGACCACACTTCATTGTCTCTCCACACTCCATCTTCTCCCTCGCAACCATTACCCTAAAACCCTCAATTCTCTCAAACCAATCTCCAAACCACAACCCTGCAAAATCCAAGAAAAACCCTCCAATCCCAACGCCCTCCAACTCCTTAAATCATCGTCTCTCCCTCTCGCAGTCGTCGCATTGCCTTTCTTCCTCGACCCACAGGTAACCAAATTTTCTTATTCTAAAAAATCATGTATCAAAATTGGAGACTGAAGGATGACAATGGTCGAAAGTTTCAATCTTTCACATTCAAAAGAAGAACCCAACAGAATCTGATTTTGGATAAAGTTAAGTTTTTTGTTTTTCAAATTTAAAAGGATGCAGCAGCAGTTGGAGGCGAATTTGGGATATTGGAAGGAAGATCGTTCGCGTTGATACACCCAATTGTGATGGGAGGTTTATTCGTATACACTCTAAGGACTGGTTACTTAGGTTGGCAATGGAGACGTGTCCGTACGATCCAGAGCGAGATCAACGAGCTCAAGAAACAGCTTAAGCCAACTCCTGTTTCTCCTGATGGATCCACAGCCATTGATTCTTCGTCTCCTCCTTCTACGACGGAGCTTGAGATCCAACGGCTCACGGCAGAGAGGAAAGAGTTGGTCAAAGGGTCTTATAAAGACAAACACTTTGACGCAGGCTCTGTTTTGTTAGGTTTTGGTGTTTTGGAATCTGTGTTTGGAGGACTTAACACTTATCTTCGTACCGGTAAACTCTTCCCCGGTCCTCATCTTTACGCCGGAGCAGGTAATAAACGATTCTCTCAAGACGTTTTTTTTTTTTTGGGTCATTTCTTTAATTTTAGGCCCTGATTAGTATATTGGAAATTTTATCATTTGAAATCTGAAAATTCGTTTAGCATTTTCTTGTTTACACTCGTACATAACTGGTGAAATTGGAGCTGACGGTGGTGGTTGCAGGGATAACGGTGCTTTGGGCAGCAGCGGCGGCTTTAGTGCCGGCAATGCAGAAAGGGAATGAGACGGCGAGGAATCTACACATTGCGTTGAATGGTCTCAATGTTCTTCTTTTCATTTGGCAAATCCCAACAGGTCTTGATATCGTCCTCAAGGTTTTCGAGTTCACCAAATGGCCTTAAATCATACTGATATTTTGGATTTGTATTATGAGTCTCACTATAAATATATATCCAAATCTTATGCAACTTTTTTTTTGTTTTAAATGGTGAGTTGTAAAAAACATGCAATTAGAGTGAGAAGTAGAATAATGGTAGACTATATGGTTCAATAATACTCTTACCCATCGGGTTTGAGAGTTTGCTTATGATTTTAATGTACATTAAACCTAGTAATTTGATTTAAACATGTTGAAGAATAGAATTCATGCACTCAGCTTTTTACTTTTTCATAATAGCATACATTTTAAATATCTTATTTTCGTACACTTGGATTTGTGAAAACCAAAATTCGAGTTTTGCCTATTAAGTTTCGCATCCACTGTATTCATTACAAAACTTTTTAAAACATTTGGTTTTATACAAAAAAAAAAACAAAAAAAAGACAGAGAGACAAAAGTTTCGTTTAGTTACAGTTAATAAATGAATACTTTGTTCGAAGAAAGCTATACAGTTGAATAGTTGATACCAGTCGTGAAATGTGGTTCTCGAAAGCTATACAGTTGATACCAATCGTGAAATGTGGTTCTCGAAAGCTAAATCAGATACCTTCCCCGTTACATTATTTAATATGTTCTAATAATTTTACTATGACACGACCAAATTTATTTTGCAGATATAAAATGACCTAAGCCATACCAAAATCCAAAACCATTGCATTATCATTTACCAATTAATAATAACACTTGAAAGTGCTGTCCAAAATAAACAAAAACAATTAATGTCGAACCGATCGGGTCGTTCTTGGTACCGTCTCTCTAGCATCGTCCGGCCCACACCACACTCTTCACGCGACCCATCCCCTCCCCGCGACGTCATCCAACCACCACAGTCTCCGACTGCTCCACCTTCACATCCTCCGCCGCCTCAACCCTTGTCCACACCATTACGTCCTCCACCAATAGAAGTCCACGAGGCTAAACCGAGTCCGGTTACATCTTCACGTTCTATAAAACACGAACCACATAAGCCTAGGAACGAACACGAGATCACTCATCGGAAAAACATATCTACGTTATCGGAGGAAACAAACCTCGTACATGAACCAAACAAGGAGGGGCAACAACAATCTGATGACGTCATCATGGGCACACAAAGGCTCATAACCATTTCTGGTGAAAACAAAGGAGCTGTAATGGAGATAATACGGTCACCGTCACCGAGGAAGACACGTGGCATCGGGAAAGGACGGCGACTCCAAAGCAGCAGTGAAGACGACGAAGGAGAGGAGTCAAAGTCAAAGACACATAGCAATAATGGTGGAAATCTACTGATGGATGGTTTTGTGAACAGTAACGTTCAGGTCGTAAATGGCTCCGTCGTTTACAACTCGGCGGAGACTCATTATGATCCCGGCGTTCATCTAAGCCTTTACCGGAAACCTAACTCCGGCAATGGTTTTAGTATCAAGGACCATGGAAATGGCTACAACAGTTCAACCAACTAATCCAAAAACAAAAATTAAAGAAATTATTAGAACGTATGAGAAAATCTGACAAATGGATACGCTACGCCCGATTGTGAAAAATAATATTAATGACTATTATTTCTTAATTGCAGTTTGATATATAATATATTACATGATATAATACTTTGTCAACTCTAGCCCATGTATTTTATGCTGATAAGCCTGAACTGTTTATCAACTCTTGCTCAGACGACCCACATTCAGTTTCACACAAATAAATGATTTATTTCTTTTTGTGTCACTTGGTGGACTAAAATTCGGAAACAAAACTGTTTTACAATATTAATTTAGGCCTTGGAGTACTTATAGGGGAATTATAAGTCCTTGATTATCAATTATGAATTTTTAATCTACTTTTGCCAATGACTTACTTTTACACCTATCCTCAGGTGAATCGGGGCGGCTTGCGAAGTTTGCTTTAAAAAAACTAACAACAACAAGGGACAGCGTATGTCAAATCTTCCACTTATATAAAGACTATCTTTTTATATATTTTGGTTGGGGCAAAAAATTGTGAAAACAACTTCTTAGAATTTTTTTGGTAAAAGTTTTAACAGGTCGATATTTTGAAAATTTAAGGATGCATAGGATTTGATATTTTCCCGAATACATGTATATATATATATATATATATCATATGAAAAAAAAGGATGAAATTATTTCATTATGTTGGATTGATATAGCCTAATGATTACTAGGCTATTTTTCTTTATTTAACATTCTTTATGTTGGATTGATATATCATGTGAATATTTACCATTCTTTATTGCTATTTTTCTTAATTTACGGAATAATAAAATAAAATAATTACATTACTCTTACATTACTGACGATCATTTTTCTGATCAATAGACAGTGGATGAAAGAGTGACATGTCATCGGGGCTTAGTTCGTGTTCAAGCAAAGATCGTTTCCCATAATTGCTGAGTTGTAATCAATATTCCATAGTATTAATTAAGTTTTCCTAAGATAATAACATTCAAACGAGGAAATTAAGTTTTATTATTAGGATAGAAAACTATACTACACAAGTCGTAATAACTTTTTTGTTCTGTTACGTCCACAATTAAAGTAATTATTAAAGTTTTCATTATATTTACAATATATCACTCCTCACACCACCAAACACGTCACGTATCAAGTTGTTAGTTCAAATAATATAAAAGCTTCATAGCCTTTCTTATTTTCCTTTTCCTTTAGTTTCTTTTTTCTTTCTTTACTGCTTTGCATTAGCATTTAGCACACTAATTTCTTTTACATTCAGTTTATTATAATCTTATCACCCGTTTAAACTGCGCCTGCAGCGCAATTTAGCAGTAAGAGGATTAGCCATCTCACACGAGAGCCTCAGTTTCTCGGACAGGTCAACGGTCTTATCATCGGACGGTGCAAGCCATACGAACTCGTGCAAGAGTGTCGCGATCCAATACGTAACGGTAGACAAACCCAGATTCTTTCCCGGGCAGACCCGACGACCCGACCCGAACGGTGCAAGCCTCAGATCCGACCCGAGAACCGAGAACTCAGCCTCACCTTCCTTCGCCACAAACCGTCCCGGGTTAAACTCCAACGGATTTTCCCACACGTGTGGATCTTGCGCTATGGCCCACATGTTCACCATTGCGGTGGTCCCCGCCGGCACACGACGACCGTCGATGATCGTATCTGTGATTGCTAAACGGGACCACGACAGAAGTGGACCTGGCGGGTGAAGCCTTAGCACTTCTTTGACCACAGCCGTCAGATATGTCAGAGACGCCACGTCAGATTCTTCGACGGCTCTTGATCTTCCAACTATCTTATCAAGCTCATTGTGAACCGTTGATTGAATATCTGGATGAAGGACCATCCTAGCAAGAATCCACTCGATCAGAACAGCCACCGTATCAGTTCCTCTGAATATCATTTCCTGTTAAAACCCACAAATTGAGAGAATACTTTAGAACCTTTTTTCTTGTCAAATTACTACTTAAAATAGAATTTAATCTTGATAATTTTAGTTGATCGTCAATAAAGTACAATAAAAATGATTTTCTGCGTCTATATTTAGTAAAAATAAATAAAAAGCTACGTGTACATACCCATAGTACGGCAACGATATCCGGATCGGATAATTGATCAGGACCATCAAGAGAGAGCAATACGTCAACGAAGTCACTCGGTGAGTCACGAGTTTGATCACGGTGGTCAGAGATGATACGGTTCACAAACCGGTTCACTTTCGGTACGAGATTGGTGCATCTTGACCGGATTCTCTGAGGATCAAATTCAAATAACCAGGGGAGATGATCGGTCCAGTTAAGTGTTGCGAGTAAATCATAACCTTCTTCGACCAACCCACGAAGCTCATTCACTTCATCGTGTTCTTGCTCAAGCTCGTATTCTTTCCCGAAAACAGAGCACATCATGTTATTAAGCGACGCCGTTTTGATCAAGTCACGAGCAAAACAGAATCCTTCGTTGCTACTCTGTTTTGCGAGACACCTCACAATCTGATTCGCGATCACACGTCTCTGCGTCTCGGAGCGTTTAATCTGTTTCGGGCTGAAAAGATGATTAGACGCGATTCGCCTCAGGGTTCGCCAGTAAACGCCGTAAGGCGCGAATCCGATAGCCCGGTTAAACATAAGGGAGTACGCTGATTCCTTAACCGGCCGGTCAGCGAAAACAGGGCTGTTTAAAATCTCTTTAGCTACATCAGGATCGCACGTGACGATCACGCGAGTATCTCCCAAGCTAAACGCCATTAGCCGTTTCGCTCCGAATCTCTCTGCGGTTGCGGCTATGCAGCGGTGAGCTAAAGCGTTGGACATAAGAGACATGCTTCCGACAAAAGGTAAGCCTCTTGGTCCGGGAATCACGGTGGTTCGGTGACGACGGTGGATGAAGTATTTTCCCCAGGCGGGTCCTCCCGGGTGAGACCAGAAGAAGAGAGAGACAGCGAGACAAGCTAGGGAGGCCACGAGGAGAGACAAAGCGAGATTGGTTTGAGTCAGGGAGCTACATTTGGATAAGAGGGCGAAAAGTAAGCTGCTTGTGTCAAGCTTGGTGGCCATGGAAGTACAGGAAAGAAAGACAGAGAGAGAGAGGGAGAAAGGAGAGTGGCTTTTGCTGTGGGTTTTAAGATGAAACGCTTCCTTCAGGTATTTATATAGAAAAACATTGGACGTTCCTCTTGTTAATTGTTAATTATTATTATTTCAAAAACTATAATTTATTTCATTTATTCAATTGTTTTATATTTCAAGGGGAATGTTGTCTTTTATACTAGGGATCTATTTTATTAATGATCTTTTGTGTGTACTTCATTCTGTTTTTTTCTTCTTAATTATGGGGTGATCCAGAATTTTACATTTCATTTAATTCCCCATAATAATTATATCATAACATCTTTTCAATTTTTTTTTTAACATTGGTAGTATTATACTTTTTTTATTTATATCTTTGGGCAAGTTTCCGTTTGCTTGCGTTTTTGAAATATACAATATACAAAATTTGAGCTTGTAACCTTTTTTTCATTTTAAAACTTTTCTTGTTAGTTTCATTTATTTTTCAGGTGTAAGAAAGTAAGAGCAGGATAATATATATATATATATATATATATATATAATAGTAATAGATGAACAGGCAGAACAGAAAAACATATATATTGTTAGGGTTTTTGCTAAAAATAACCCAAAACTTGATTTTGAATATAAAAGTAGACCTCTGAAAAAACATTTAGCAGATATAACCTACAGGTATAGTGAAAAGACCATTTAATCTTGTATGAGTAAACAAAAAACAGATGTCCTAATTACCGTTTTCTCCCTGACGAAGTCTACTAAAATAAAACTGAAGTCTACTAGTAGACTTCATTTTATCTAAATGAAGTCTACTAAGTAATTAAATCTGTAAATTTAATTTTAAAATTTAGAAAAAATTATTTTGGTATCAGAATTACATTCATAAATTCCGTAATTGTAACACAAATGTACATAAATTATTTTTTCATATTGATAAATGGAAATTTTTGTTTTTAAATTAAGAAGAAGAAAATCTATTATTTAGGTTTTAAAATTTGTAGACTTCTATATTGAAGTCTGTTAAACCGAATAAATTAACTTAACCAAAATTTAAACCAAATTAAACCAAAATTGAACAAAAAAATAGCTATTTTAACCGAAATTTAAACCAAAATTGAATAAAAATAAGTTTTCTTAACCAGAAAAACTTACCGTATATAAACTAGTTCTATAGCAAATAAACCCTAATTTTATCCCAAAGAAACTTTCGAGAAAACGGCGCTCTCTCAGGCTCTCTTGCCGTTGGCATCGCTCGTCCTTGTTCTGCCTCAGCGTAAGATGCAGTTCTGCAGCCGGCTTCTTCGATTAATTTGCTATTTTTGCAGGAAGATTTCGATGTTTGCTTCAGTTAAAGGTAAGCCTTCTGGGATTTGTTTCAATTAGGGAATTTGGTTTATAATACTGTTCATCTTCTTCTTTATCTCTCTGTGTGATTTGATGAAATCTACGGTATCATGCTGTAGTAATAATACTGAATTAGTTTTGCTTTTGTTTCTGCAACAACAACAGTAGGAGATCCGGTGCTCACCACCACCAGTTTACTCTCCCCCTCCACCACCACCACCGCCAGTCCATAACATTTTTCTCTGCTGTTTGATATCTTCAATCAACCAGGGATCTAATAACATACTAACACGTAGTATTAGTATGTACTAGTGTATCTTTGTGATCTAGGTTGGTAATACTTTGATTACTATAATAGTATTATTGATTACTTTTGTATTTGTGATAATTAATACAGTGTTCTGATAGTGTTATGCAATGTCTCTCAACCCAGAATGATGTATATATATTGAAACAAATCAGTCTAAAACAATACGTAGAAACAATTACATTTCTTGGCTGGCATAGGAATGGGATGATAATAAGCTGTAAAAATGATCGAAACTCTTGAATGCACATAACAAAATACTCAAATGTGTCCAAGATAATGTTTTAAAATTAGCTTATGTCACTTTAATTACTTGTGTACTATAACTGTTAACTTGCAAACAAGAATACAAAAGCATTACTTACACAAGTTCTCATCTATCATTCTCTATAAACAATATTTTGTGATAAAACACAAAAAAACCATATTAGCAAACAAAATTATGAGCCATATTATTGCAAAAACGTAAGTAACAATAGAAATATCTATTGGTCATCATTTGTAATAAGCATAAGTGTATTGGTCATGTTATGTATTTTTATCACCTAAGACAACACATTATATCTAAAGCCACATAAAAGAACATTAGTAGACTACACGACAAAGTCTACTTTGATAAACTAAGTACCTAAAAAATCGAAACTTCTGATTCAACAATAAATATCCAATGAAATAAAATAAAATTCACTGGGTAGTTCAATCACTTACTAAGAAGCAATTCTAAACAAAAAAAATTGAAAAATAGTTTAAAAATTTGCTTAAAACACGTTTTTTAAAAAACGTCAAAAGTAGACTTCTAAAGCATACTTCGAATGTAGACTGGAGGAGAAGTCTACTTTGATAAGCTAAGTACCTAAAAAATCAAAACTTGTGATTCAACAATAAATATCCAATTAAATGAAATAAAATTCAATGGATAGTTCAATCACTTACTAAGAAGCAGTTCTGAACCAAAAAATTTGAAAAATAGTTTATACATTTGCTTAAAACGCGTTTTTAAAAAAACATGGGAAAGTAGACTTCTATAGTAGACTTCAATTTTAGACTGGAGGAGAAGTCTACTTTTTCATCGAGAAGTCTACTAATGAAGTTTACTTAAAAAAAGGTCATTTTTGCAATTGACCAATCTGTTGACTTTTCCTTCAGTAGACTTCAAGAGTAGACTTTAGGCAAAAAAGGTTACTTTAGCAATTGACCAATGCGTTGACTAACATAGTAGACTTCTATTATAGACTTCATGTAAGAGTAGACTTCTCTGGCAGTCTACTTTTGAAGTCTACTTTTTAAATAGAAGTCTACGGAACAAAATAGGTTATTTTTGCAATTGAATTTTTTTAGTAGACTTCACGATGAAGTCTACTCAAAAAAAGATTCCTTCCAAGTTTGACCGAACACAATAAGTAGACTTCACAAAGAAGTCTACAGTCTACAAGAAGTCTACAGTCTACAGTTTGTAGACTTCTTTGGGAAGTCTACTGAAGTTTTTTGGGATTTTAAAATTTTTTTAATTTTTGAAAAACAGAAGTCAAACACTAAAATGACCTATACGTTTTTGGTCAAACTACAAAAGTAACTTTAAAGTAGACTTCGTATGCAGACGTAAGCAGTAGACTTCATACGGAAGTCTAAATCAATAAGTCAAAATACGGTCAACTACAAAAATAACCTCTTTTCTTTAGTAGACTTCTTGAGCCTTCAAACGAAGTCTACTAAGCTTTTTTTGTTTTCAAAGGATGTCGAGTAGACTTCTCGTGAAGTTTAACGAAGTCTACTTTTAAAAAGTCAATTGCAAAAAATAACCTTATGTTGACTAGTAGACTTCAGTATACTTCACGAGAAGTCTACTTTCGCGATATGAAAACTAAAATATGGAGAAATTGAAGTGCGATGATTACTTTTTACAAAATTGAGCTCGGGCTACAGTTCTTTTAAACACCCAGAACTCATAATATCACCAAAATAAGTAACCCAGATGTTAAGTAACCAGAAATCACCGAACATGCATGACTTTTGGCATTGTAACTTAGCCCAGATGTTTTGGAGAAGAAATTATGAAAGAATGAGGAAGGTTATGAGTGAATGAGCTTAAATATTTACTTATTACAGCTTTAAAATTGGTTGATAAGCATTTATTCCATTTTCATGGTTGTTCATGGTGGTTGAAGGTATTGAAGACGATGGCTTTTTCGTAATTAAAAAGTCTTTAGAAGGTCCAAGAAGACTTTAACCAATTAAAGAAAAATCGAATTATTAGATGTATAATGACATTTTCGTTAATAGTTTAAGTGGGAAGGATAAAATTGTGAGAAAATGACAAAAGTTGGAGAGAGAAAAAAAAAGAGGTTAGTTTTGTGTTTAATTTTGAAATATGGGTTAAATCTGAAACTTCCCTATATTGTTTGACAAACAAAAAAACATAAGAGCAAAATATTTTGAAGGTAACGTATCAAATTCTTCGTTATTTTAAGTTTACCAAAACTAATGTTGTATGAATTATGTGGGTAGTACTAATTATTATAATTGATTAAACATAAACCAAATCCAGATTTTATTTTACATACTTTTTTGAGAAAAGCGAGACCTTTCAGCCACAAGAAAAAAGGTTGATCAAATACATTGAATTAATAAGCTCTTTATTCACCAATCTATTAGACATATACACATCAAACTTACAAGTGCAAAAATTAAAAGTGACTAAGATTTCACACCACTTACAAAACTTATCGTTTTATAAAACTAAAACGTAAGCTCTTCATATAATGGATTTGACTGTAAAATGAATGTTCATTTCGGTAAAATATTGAAAAAAACGTTATATCAAGAAAGGTGTAAATGTATGCAGACATCAATTAACTTAACTTCTCGTGTCCGTTAAATAAAACTGATGGAACTTTGTAGAGTCACTCTTGTGAATTCATTCATTGTTTCTGTAAATTGCATTCTTAATCAGTTTTTGTTTGTAACTAATCTTAAGTAGTTGAATTACCTTATATTATAAATATATGTATATACATATATTAGCTTACACATTTATTCATTTTCTACAGATTCAACGTGATAGCTATAAGTTTCGGAATTAATCTTATTGCGTGTTTTATATAACTTAAAACAACGTTTAATTAGTTATACTTATGACACCCATCAAAATACGTAAATCTTGGTCCAGATAAATATAATTTCGATCAGAGCATACGACGTCGAGTTTTTGATATTGATACTAGATTATTATTTGTTAAGGAAAAAAATACATCGTATAATATGTTTGTTGCACGGTGCACTATATATGTATACATATTAGACATATCATAGCCGTTGAGACTTCATTTAACGGTTTAGCGCCGAAATGAACTCTATGCAGTGCAGGTTACGTAATTTGTGATCCATCACATGACG